CAGAACGTGGAGGGCAATCAGTGGTAGTGCTGAGGCTGCAAGGGAAGGATGAAGCGGGAAGTGGGGAGGCCAGGCCTAGGGACCCTACCCTTCATGAATTTCGTGCATCACGCCTCTAGTATTTACATAAAGTAACACAAAGCTTTTGTAAAATGGGCTCCTCTGACTCATAAACTGTAAAACGAGTTGCAGAAATAAGGCCAAAGGATTGTTCTCTGCTCTGTCCTGATACTCCCTCTAGTGTCAAGAACTGCAAGTAAGCTAAGAAAGGAAATGGAGACCAGTGGATCCTGTGCAGTCTCTCTGTCTCGTTCACCTGCTTCCCGAAGTACACTGGGATTCCTTCCCACCTACTCCTGGAGAAAAGGCCTGACTCATGTGAGTAGTCCAGGCAGTACCTTCTCTCCCTGAAGTCACCACAGCCACAGTCACTGTGCTGGAAGGCCGTTGGCCATCTCATGCAACTGTGTCCAACCTGAGTCCCCAAACCTCTGGGCCTCAGAGGAAAGAGTACTGGGGTCCTGGAAAGGGTTCTGGATTTCAAAATGTCTAAAGAAATTGTACCATCACTGGAGATAAAACTGGAAACCATCAAAAAAAATTGGCAAGTGCCTTTGCCTTCAGCTGAAATGTATCAGCTTGGTGTTGGATCAGCATTGCTTACAGTACTCACAGTGTTGAATTCATTGAATATAGTAAACTAAATAATGGCTTCCTACATGTGGTTGGTAATGAGTGGTTAAATTTAGGCACATAAGGGTAAAAATTAATAATAATAAAAGTGCTCCTTCACAATGAAAAATCCAGGACCCACTTCTCTGCCCCCTACTGGCCTCTGAGGTTCAGATGCACTAGGTTACTGTTAGACGAGGAGCATTTCTCGGGGCCAGACCACCTCATTGGGCATTTGGAGGAGAAATGCTTTAATAGCCTGGACCAGTGAAGGCCAAACAGTTATTTTCTGGAAAGGCACTCCTTTTAAAAATCTCGAAAACTTTTGAAGTCTTCTGAGTCTACTGTACGAAAAACTTTTGTTGGTCTTTTCTATTCTTTTTCAGGGATTTCTATCCTCCAATTCCACCCAGTCTCCCAAATAACTCCTGTGTCCCAGACTACCAGGTCTCCTCATTCAACTGTGACTATGTTTTGAACATTTACATATTCATCCAGCACATATTTGCCGCAGGCTCATATTGGCCCAGGCATTGTAGTAGGTGTTGGAGAAAACAGTGACAGACGTGTTCTCCACCTTCACGGAGGACACAGAAGAGGAGTGCAGAGACGTGGGAAGGCTGGCCTGCTATAGGAGTCCACAACAACAAAATAAAATCTACATGTGGAGAGCGGGGAACCTCACACAGAAGTGGCATATAAACAGATCTGAAGGACAGGAAGGAGTTAACCAGGTAGAAAAAAGGAGAAAACACTCCAGGTTGAGAGAAGACAATGTGCAAAGCTGTGAAGTGGGAAGAAGCATGGAGATTATTAAACCATCCTTGCTCATTCCATCTTCTCTCCTAGACTTCTGCCCTACAATCTCCACCTAACAAAAACCTTTAAGACAGGGCTCAAACCTTATTTCTTACTGATAACCATGACCAAAAAGTGTAATTCTCAACTAACCCGAAGGATTTGTTTTCTGTAACCTTTATATGACACTAATCTATTATTGTGTGGAAGCGATATACTTGTTCTGTTCTCCCAACTATATTACAAGTTCTTAAAGAGCAGAAATCTTTGCACACAGGAATAAATCAAATCGTTATGTTTCTGAGTTGTTTCCTTACGTTCCTCAAAGTAACCTTAAGCCTGGCTGGTTTTCTGTGAGTAAAATTGAAAGGATGAAAAAAAAATTTTAAGTCCAGAGTACGGCAATGATTGTCAAGGACTATGAAGGGTCTGAGATCTTATCCTATTTTCAGGCTAACTAGTTAGCCTGTCCCTAACATGGGTTTTTGCCTGGATATTGGCAAAAGACATGGGGATCCTTGGCCAGAAACAAAGGACATAATTACTCATGGCACAGCCAGCTACATGAGCATCAGCATATTTGTGCCAGGTCCCAAATCTCATGGGGATGATGCAGATGGTCCCAGGAATGTACCTGAGTATCTGGTAGCTTGCATTACAGAGAGAAACCCTGAGCTAGGAAAAGCCAAATCTTTTAGAGTAGGCAGCAAGCATGAGGCCTGCTGCTCCAGAGGGAGACTATATTTCCTAAGGCTGCTCATCATACAAACTTCCTTGAAAGAGAGTACAGCTGAAACCGGTTTGGCTCAGTGGATAGAGCGTCGGTCTGCGAACTGAAGGATCCCGGGTTCAATTCCGGTCAAGGACATGTACCTTGGTTGCGGGCATATCCCCAGTGGGGGTTGTACAGGAGACAGCTGATCGATTCTCTCTCTCATCGATGTTTCTAGCTCTCTATCCCTCTCCCTTTCTCTCTGTGGAAAATCAATTATATATATATATATATATATATATATATATATATATATATATATAATTGAAAAAATATATTAAATATATATATATATATATATATATATATATATATATTTTAAGGGAGTCCATGACAAAACGCAGAGAAGGCCTCTGTATAGGAAGTATGAGAGACTCATGGAGAACTACCTCCCAACATTGAACAAGGTCAACAGCAATTATTAATAAACATAGCTACTGTTTATTGGATGTGCCATGTACTGTGCTAAGCATTTTATATGTATTAGCTCCTTTATTCTCTCAACAGACATAAAAAATATTAACAAATTTATGGGAAAATAGTTTTATGAATTGAGACTTTCAGCATACAAAAAGGAGATTTTGGAAACACGGAAACATAAAGAGGTCTCAGGAAGCGGCTAAATCTATTAGCTCCACTCTCACGCCATCTGCTACTTCTGCTGCAGCCTCTCTGTACTTCTCCCGCCCACTGGGCGGAATATGGCTCTCGCAGCTCTATAGTTCCAGCCAGTTTTAGTGAATGGTTAATAATCCCTGAATCCAATAGACAGCTCCACGAAAGAGAACAGGATTGGCCCAGCTTTGGTCACTGACTTACCAACACTTATTTTTCTGTTGGGGAGAGAGTCTTACAGTAATATAAACAATGGCCAGTATTAATAAATAAAAAGGTGTGCTTTTTTTATTATTATTATCATTATGTTAAGGTAAATAAAAATACTTTGGTCCCACTTACTGGTCTGAATCTTCCAGTGGCTGTGAACTCCTCCAGCCTAGGGAACATATCATTTAACAGAATTATAATCATATTGGAAATACACAATTGACCCTTGAACAGCACTGGCTTGGCCTGCACTGATCCACTTACACACCGATTTCCCCCCAATAAATATATAGGTTCACATCTGTGGATTCCACCAATCTTGAACAGAAAACAGTACTTTTACATTCACAACTGCGATTCCCAATTGTAGATGGAAAATACCATGTTCGGTCCCCAACTGGTTGAATCTGTGGATAGGAAGGGATCTACTGCAGAATCAAATGTTGTATACAGATTTTGGACTAGGCTGGGATCAGCACCCTAAATCCCAATCCCATTGTTCAAGGGTCAGCTGTGTGTGTGTGTGTGTGTGTGTAAATGTTTCTGTCGCTAAGAATTTTTTAAAACTACTTAATGGTTGCTTATTATTCCAACTTGGAATATTTCTGCAAGTTACTGAATCATTTTTACATATTTAGATAGTTTTAAATTTTTTACTATAAATAACACTGCAAGAACTATAAATTTTAAGTCTTAGGCTACAAGTGTAATTATTTTTTCTTAGGATAGATTCTTAAAAGTGAAACTTTGTCTATTCACTTTTTAGAGTTTTCATATATATTAATAAATTGCTTTCCAAGTATGTTGTACTAATTTACACTCCTGCCAGGAGCATGAGTAGCCCTAATTGCATACTTGATAGCATTAATATTATCACTTTTTAAAATCTTTAAAGGTTTTCCTTAGCTGGTGAAATTAAACTGTTCTTTCTTATTTATTTTCAGTTGTTAGTACCCATTTGTATTTTCTCTCCATGTATTACCTGTTAAAGCCTTTGCTGGCAGGAATCAAGTGTTGTTCTTTTAACGTGCCTGAGTGGGTAGAATGGTGCTTTTTACGTAGCTGACGTTCCCAAAACAGCAAGGAACTTACTGCTTGCATAATTACGAGAATAATTAAATTATTAAAAACTAATGATTGCTGCCATTTTAGATCTAAAAATAAAAAATAAAAAAAATAAAAAAAGTGCATTAGCCACGCAACTACTGTGTGTTGTTATTTTCAGCATTTTACCCAGTGGAGCAAAATCTGAAATAGTTGAGGTCTGAGAGGGATACGTGGAGAATATCATCAGATCTACCCTAGAAGCAGAGGAATTCAGTTTCCCTGAAGAGGGACTCAACCAGCTCAAGTTCCTCCTCCTGTGCACCAGAGGGCGAAGCTGCAGGAGGTAAGGCAGCAAGAATGAGGAATTCTCTGGACTACATTTCCCAGAAGGGTTCTACGTGACCCCACCCCCACCTCACCCCCACCCAGAAGGCTTAGCGGCTAAGGACTTCAGGTCCCAGGTTGCTGTGCGGCTAAATGTGCCTCCATCTCCCAGAGAGACACAGGCGCAATGGCTGCTAGTTCTCCAGGGTTATTCTGCTGTTGAACTCTACCTCATTTGCCAGGAAGCGGGCGCCAGAAGGTTCAAAGACAAGATCCCGCTTCCTTAGGGCGGTAACGGCGCGTAGGGGCTGGGAGGGGGTGGCGGGCGAGGCGGAGCCGCTCTGACCTACGCCAGTGAATTGTGGCTCCGCCTGTGAGGAGGCCCCGCTTGGCTTGGCTGAGTCGCTGTGCGAGCCGGCGCTGGGTGGGGCTCCTGCGACAGGCCGAAAACTACATTTCCCAGCATCCTCGCGGCGCCAGAACTACCGTGCCCGAAAGTCTGAGCGTGAACCACCCAGCCTTCCGCTTCCTCCCGCTGACCGCTGACCGGGAAACTCGGGATATGTGGGGTCGCAGTGCCTGGCGGCTCCTGCGCTCCGAAAGCCTCGGGGGCCGCCGGGTTTCAGCCCCCCGCTGGCGTTTCTCGCCGGCCCTGCGGAGAGGTGAGGAAGGCCCCGTGTCCCGAGGTCGGGGTGCGTCCCAGAGAAAGGATGCTCCTGCCAGCCCGAGACCAGGGTGCGGGTGCCACGCCCCCCTGCCCGGCGCGCTCCGGGTGCTGGAGACGCCACTGCCCGGCCTCGCGCCGGGTGGGCAAGGCCTGGGGAGGACTCAAGGCCTGGGGTTCGAGCCCCGCCGGGCTTCTTTCCGGGCTTGTTTCCTTTTTACCGTCAGATGAGCCGGTGGTCCCCGCCCTCTCGTGGGTCTGTCTGGGGCCAGCGTAAGGTAATCGGTGTCGGGAGACCTGACTTCTCTCGTAGCCTGTTCCCATGTAGACTGTTATGTGGGTGCTGGCCTCGAACCCAGGTTATGGGGAGGCCAGCATGTGTCAGGCCCGCTTCATTCTCGCCGTGATGTTCAGTTCTCCGCGATCATCAGTGTGGATCCTGGAACTTACAGGTTGAACTGTTGGCGCCCCTGTTAGCAGTGTGCCCTGTAGGACATCTGACTCTTATTCTGAGAGAGGTTTTCAGAGCCATCATCCCACCACCACCACCAATTTTTAAACCCGTTAGGGTTGTCCACAGAGTGGCCGATTGGCACTAATGTTAGCATAGTGTTCACCTGGAATCTCCAGTGCGGGGTGAAATGAGCCAACCAGTACCCACCGTATTTTGTGCTGTTTTGCGCATTGCTCCATTTTACTCACAGTAAGACCCCAGTTGTTGATTCAGCGGCCTGGGTCCTTCACAACCTCTTTGGTTCTCTGTTTAGGTGTTTAACTTGTGTGCACATTAAATGTCCTTTACAAAAAGAAAGTAACATTTTTTTTGAACCCTGGGAAATAACTCCAATCTCAGTTCTATGTGTGTAAATTTTTAGAGGTGAACTTTGTTTACATATTCAAATGAAAACAATATTAAACAGTTTTAAAGAACTTTAAAGTGCATATAACACTGGTAATACATCACCATGAGTAAAGGATAATGCTTCAACATATTTGTTGAGTTATGGCTCTTAAATCTGTTGGAGAAACCTTAAGTGGCCCCTTAGTCTTTCCATCCTTTGAATTGAGTTTATATTTAGATTTTTAATCTGTTTCCTCCCTACTAACATATAAAGTCAATGAAAACATGTTATATCTGATTTTGCTCATTACCCCCATGCCTTAAAAATTGGGACTTTATTGAAACAGGACATATATTTTTAAAATGTGACACTTCCTAGAGCTTTGGTGTTAACAGCAAATACTCCAGCTTTCCAACCACTGTTCTAGGTATTAAAAACAAACAAACAAAAACAGTAATGAAAAACAGAGTCAGGGCCTCATGAAGCTTATATTGTGACTCAGAGAAACAAAAGATGCATAATGCATAATTTCAGATTAGAACTGAGAACTATGTGAGAAACTGAATATGGAAGAGTGTGGGAGTATAGAAAGCTACTTTGGAGGGAATATAAGTATTAAAAATTCTCATAGCTCTATAAAAAACTTGAGCACTGAGGCAAGTTGGGCAATTTATGTTCTCCAGTAGAGATGTGGCAGTGATAATCAAAGCTTTTGACGAATATTATTTTAGAATAACTCTTAACAAACATTTCTAAATACTAAAAGAAGGAAACATTTATTGAATGTTAGTTATGCCAAATAATGATAGACATTTTTGGATAAAAGAGTCAGGGGGGAGGAGTCAGTTATCTTGCCTGAAATTATAGAATTCCTAAGTAGAAGAGCTGGAACTGTATTATAATAAATGGGGAGAATGCTTTAGAAGCTAAAGTATGCTGCTTCTATTAGTTATAACAAGAAATAAAAATATTGTCTTCTCTTCTCAGACTTCTTCACCACCACAACCAAAGAATCACATGATATAAGGCGAGTGGACATAACTCCTTTAGAACAAAGGAAATTAACTTTTGATACCCATGCATTGGTTCAGGACTTGGAAACTCATGGTGAGAAACAGGGGTATCTCTTGACAGAGTATATTAATACCACTCATGATATATTACCTAGTCAAGACAATATCACTATTAGGAACAATTAAGAATCACTATTTAAATGTAAGTGCCATCCAGACAATTTTATAGTCATAAAAAAAAAATGGTATTGCTTGATTATGTTCAAGTATTTAAGTGAAAAAAGCATTATGTAAAATTACGTGTATAGGGTGGTTCCAATTATGTAAAAAAGAAAAAAAAAGAGTTTCTAGGCTGATACTGAAGTCCAAGTGGAAGTACAAGGACAATGTTTAAGAACAGCAAAAAAGAAAACAAGCACAAAAACTGACCAGATATCAAAACAGTTATTTAAACTATGTAATATCACATAGAAAAATAGATTATAGAATGGGAATCAGACACACACACACACACACACACACACACACACACACACATATGAGCTTAGCAAGCAAAAAAGAAAGTATCATAAATAGGGAAAGGAAGGACTATTTATTTAATGAACTATGGTAACTGACTAGCCATTAGGAAAAATATATATGATCTCCTAACTGAAAAATAAATTTTAGATTGACTAAAAGCTAAATATAAAAAATGAAAGAAAAGCTGTAATAGAGTACTAGAATATAGAATATGTTTAGATTTTTAGAGGGAGCAAAACAAAACTCTAAAGCAATGAAAGTAAATACAGATGTGACTACAGAAATATATATTTTTTAAAATATATTTTATTGATTTCTTTACAGAGAGGAAGGGAGAGAGATAGAGAGCTAGAAACATCGATGAGAGAAACATCGACAAGCTGCCTCTTAGCACACCCCCTACTGGGGATGTGCCCGCAACCAATGTACATTTCCTTGACCAGAATCGAACCTGGGACCTTTCAGTCCGCAGACCGTCGCTCTACTACTGAGCCAAACCGATTTCGGCTCAGAAATATTTTTTTACAGAAACATGACAATGAGCCTATGTTTTAATAAAGAGTCCATATGAATCAATGAGAAAAAGCTCAGCAACTTTACAGAAAAATGGGCAAAAGCTCTAAATAGCTCACAGAAAAATAAATATCAGTAGTCAATAAGTAAATGTAAAGATGTTTGACCAGCCGAAACCGGTTTGGCTCAGTGGATAGAGCGTCAGCCTGAAGACTGAGAGGTCCCGGGTTCGATTCCGGTCAAGGGCATGTACCTTGGTTGCAGGCACATCCCCACTAGGGGGTATGCAAGAGGCAGCTAATCGATGATTCTCATCTCTCATCGATGTTTCTAACTCTCTATCCCTCTCTCTTCCTCTCTGTAAAAAATCAATAAAATATATTAAAAATAAAAAAGATGTTTGACCAAGGAAATACAAACTTTAAGTACATATTAAAATAACAGTGCAATACCATTTTTTATGGCAATTGTACACTTAAAAGTAAAAAAGACTAAAGTGACCCCAGAAGGAGAAGTGACCTGCTTATTGCTGTTGTATGCCACTGTTTTAGGGTCGTTTGTCGTGCAGTAAAATATAACTGGAACAGAGACCTCTCACCCTTTATACATTTTCAACTTTCCATTATGTAAATGTATTTCTTATTTGAAAGTAAATAAAATTAAAATTATCTCAAAATGTACAATTAAAAATAAGAGTAGTAATATCATTATTGATATAAATTGGGAAAATGGACAGTGGGCATTAAACTTGTAGATGGTTTTTAGAGAGTAATTTAGCAAAATCTGCCAAATTTTTATTGTAATCATTTTATAAAAACAGATAACAAATTATAGGGAAAGTTATTCCACCTGTCTATTCTGATAAGAATGTGCACTTTAAAAAATATATAAATACCTATTTGCTGCCTACAGGATTTGACAAAGCACAAGCAGAAACAATTGTATCAGCATTAACCACTTTATCAAATGTCAGCTTGGACACTATCTATAAGGAGATGGTCACGCAAGCTCAACAGGTAACATTTTTTTTTTTATCACTTCTAAGTTTATTAGACCATCTGTTTTATAACTGCATCCGTTTGCCCAGTGACCTCCCACACATACCTGCATCTTCTTAGTTCTCTCTAAAGGGATTAAAAAAAAAACAAAAAACCTTTAGTAAAGTCAGTACCTAGAGAGATTAAGGAGTGAGAATAGTCATAACCATTTCGGTAACACAGAGAATGAAATTTTGTCAAATCTTACATTATGAGAAAATTATATTATTAGAATCATGAGATGGTGGTAGATCGTTAGTGAAACAACTTTTCCCTTTTGAAAGCCCTCCACAGTAGAACAGCTAATTCTTCTATATAATAAAAATATTTCACTGCAGTCACGTGTAAATTCTGCTTAATCTTCACAAACTTAGAAGGCTAAAGGTACTTATATGGCTGGAAGGACTTCATCAATCACCTGGCTAAGACACTTTAATTTGACTGGATACACAAATCCTTTAAGTCAAAATAATGTCATTTACTAAGAACTTAAGATGTTGGAGGCACAATGCTGAGGACTTCTCATGTATTACTAGTATTTAACCACTCTACAGCCTTGAAATGGAGGTAGAATTTTTCTCTTTTTGCCACTGAAGAGATGATTAGAGAGGTTGAGTAATTTGCAAGAGTTGTCATTGTGATGTTATGGACAAAAGCTACAAATTTATATAAAGAATAGAAAAAGCTCAGTGATCCTAACAAATTCATAGTATGTCATCATGAATTAATTCACTATGTTTAAGAATCTTCTTATGTTTATATTTTTAAAGTAACTTGTTATCTGTTTTTAATTTTTTAAATTTGAACTTCCTTAATTATTGCACAGCAGCGGGTTTCTTTCTTATGTAAAATTAACAGCTCTGCCAAGACCGGTTTGGCTCAATGGATAGAGCATCGGCTTGGGGACTGAAGGATCCCGGGTTCCATTCCGGTCAAGGGCATGTACCTTGGTTGAGGGCATATCCCCAGTGGGGGGTGTGCAAGAGGCAGCTGATCGATGACTCTCTCATCGATGTTTCTAGCTCTCTCCCTTCTTCTCTATACAAAATCAATAAAAATATATTTTTAAAAAATTAGCAGCTCTTTTAGCTTAATTTATTCAGAATCCTAATCAACTACTAAATCTACTGAGAAAAAGCCAATCATTTCATTCTCCCAACTCTCCGAGCTGTCCTGAAAGATCTAATGGAGCAACTGACATCCTAATATATAAAAAGCCAGGGGCCGTCAGACCGAAACAACCAGAGAGATGACTGAACAACAGGCTGAGTGCTGTTTTATAGGCCTGTTGGCAGGGGAGGGCAGTTGGGGGCAACCAAGCCAGCTTGGGGGCAGTTAAGGGCGATTAGGCAGGCAGGCAGAGGTGGTTAGGGGTGATCAGGCTGGCAGAGAGGGGCAGGGGCAATCAGGCAGGCAGGCAGGCAGGTGAGCAGTTAGGAGCCGGTGGTCCCAGATTGTGAGAAGGATGTCCAACTGCCAATTTAGGCTTAGTTTAGGGCATAAACCGGCAGTTGGACATCCCTCAAGGGATCCTGGATTGGAGAGGGTGCAGGCTGGACTGAGGGGACCCCCCTCCCCCCCGTGCACCAGACCTCTAGTCTATAATAATAAAAGTGTAATATGCAAACTGACAGGACGGCCAAATAGCAGAATGATGGTCTAGATGACCACACTGTGACACACACTGGCACCCAGGTGTGATATGATTGGTTGGGGGTCCTGCCATCGTCCCATGAGGGAGGCCCAGACCAGCCAAGCAATTGCACCCTGCACCTGTTGCCTGCAGAGGGAGGCGACCGGTGGCAGGGGAAGAGGAAGCAACTCCACACAGATGGCAAGCAGTGGTAGTGGCAGGGGTAGGGCCAGCTACCCAAAGTCAAGGGAAGGAAAGCCCTAATCACTGGCCAGGCCTAGGGACCCTACCTGAGGGGTCCTGGATTGCAAGCCAGTTTGCCAGAGGGTGCAGGCTGGGCTGAGGGGCACACACACACACACACACACACACACACCCATGCACAAATTTCATGCACCCAACCTAAGTAATATACTCTTACATCAGATTTTTAAGTTTACCTGATATGTAATTAGTGAGTTAAAACTAGCTTGAGGAATGTTTATGTTGCCAGGACTTTTTTTTCAGGCTGCTTAGGGCATCAGCCCAGAAAAAAAGAAAAAGAAAACCTGGGAGGGGGAAGAGGAGAGTGAAGTGGAGGGAAAGCTGTGAGGGCAGGGTCTGCCCAGGCAGGGGAGACTGCTAGGACCATTTATTTTTTATTTTATTTTTTTTTATTTTTTACTTTTTGCTAGGACCATTTAATCATATATTCAAAATGTAGGATCACATGTGGGAATATTACTGCTACACTTTTGATTTTTTTTATTACTGGTGTGTGACATTGAAATCCCATTCCATCCTTGAGCTAATCCCCTTGCTGACCTCACCTCTAGGATAGAATAACGCACAAAGATGTTATGAAAGATGGGGTGAGGCTCAGGGCCATGAGACAAACAAGCTGCATACTTGATCACTTCAGAAAGGGCCATACTAAGTCGACTCTGCTCCATCTGGGAATACAGTTATTTGCTGAATTTATTTATAACCTGAATTATATTCATATTCTCTGGTGGCTCCTTAATAATTACAATGATTACACTTAATAGATTTGACTATTTGATACTGGATTATGCTTTTTCCATTTCAAGTTTTTGAAGATGGACTCCTGTGCTGTTTTATAGGCCTGTTGAGTCACAAACTGTATTTAAAGGAGGAAATGGAGATAAATAGAGGCTATTAGGGTCATAGTACAATTTCTTATCTCAGGTTCAGACTCCACAAAAACCTATGATTACATTTTCATCTATTCTCTACATAGTCTCAGTAATAACATTTTATTAATGATTCAAATAAAGATAACTATGTTTAATGCTTTTTGAGTAGGACTAACAGCTCATAGAGCCACTTCTATATAACTTCTGAACTAATTCTCATGATTATATAAAGTAGAACTGCAAAAAAGAAAATGAACCCCCTATCCCAATAATAAGGATGAAGGTTAGGGAAGGCATAAGACTCAGGGATGTTTATTGTGCACAGCAAAAAATAATAATTTTTGATAGGATTAATATTGAAGGCAAAACATCTCCACATCAAAACATCGGTGTTATTACACTGGCCTGCTTCAGCCATTACATCCCTGTCTCTGGTAATATTAATAATAGACAACATTCATGGAGTGCTAACTGTGTGCCAACTATTACATTAAGCATTTGATGTGACTATCATTTAATTCTCCAAATAACTCAATAAGGTGTAAGTACTGTTATTATTTACATTTTACTAATGAGGTCAAAGAAATTAAATAACTTTGCCAAAGTCTCACAGTAAATGGCAGCATTTGGATTCAAAGCCAGGCAGCTTAAATACAGATTCACATTTTTAACATCTACTCCACATGACTGTGCCATCTGGGAGTTGTTATTGGAGAGCGTTGTGTATTCCAGATCTTCTGAAAACTGAGTCATTTCTTGGCACGCATCTGGAACTGTGATAGCCTGTTTTCTAAAAGTCCAGTCAGTTTTAAAATAGACTTTCTTGCACATATTGGTCAGCGGAGGACTGTAAACTCAACAATGAACTGACCACAAACTGACCAGAAAAATGGGAGTTCCAGTAATAGTCCTGGTCTGTCGTAGGCTTTTTTGGTTTTGTTTATATACCCTGGTATAGAGGGTCCTTTTCCTGGCTACATCCTTATCTTATTTTTCTTTTGGTAAAGCAGGAGAAATGAGTCAACAAGCTACCAAATTTAATAAGTTTAGTGTTAAATCCTAGCCAGTTTGGCTCAGTGGTTAGAGTGTTGTTGGCCAAGGACTAAAGGGTCAAGGGGACGTACCTGGGCTACAGGCTCATTCATCCCAGCCCCAGGTGGGGGCTCATGTAGGAGGCAACCAATTGATGTGAGAGAAACGAATGATGTTTCTGTCTCTCTCTCTCTCCCCCTTCCTTCCACTCACTCTAAAAATCAGTGGGAAAAAATTGTCCTCAGGTAAGGATTAACAACAACAAAAAGTTCAGCATTGAAGTTATTTCTACAGAAATGTCCCTTCTTAGCAAAGCAAAAGCATCTAAATCTATCAGATAGGAATCACCTTTTCTTTCACATATTCTTTGTAGTGCCAAATGTAGGAAAGTTACCCAGGAATTTATTTATTTTGTGTGTGTGTTTATATTAATTTACTCATGATATTGCCACCAGGAATGGGCATACTTACTTTTTTCCCCCTACAAATTACAAATTGGCTTAAAGGTTTAACAAAAATCAACTAATTAATAGCTAAAAATGATTTTTTTTTTCCTTTTCAATGTGTCTATTGCTTTATCTATTTTCAGCTGAAAGATACAGAATTGAAATGACATTTAAAAATCACTAATGCTAACAAGGGGTAGTTATTTAAATCATACTTCTACCTATTTTGTTTTACTACTTAACTTCTGAGTCTTTATCCAGTACCCTGGAATTTTCTGATGGCAGAAAATCCCTCAAAATTAAAGCAGTAAAAAGATTAACAAAGCCCTTTCCATGTAGCCATTTTAAAAACAATATTTGTTGAGGAACTCATAGATGTTAAATATTTTATTAGGATTCTTTCATAGATGTTTCCAGACATTTATTTTGCTTCAGGAAGTGTTGTTGTTGTTTTTTTAATTGTTTTTGTTAATTCCCACCCGAGGATATTTTTTCCATTGATTTTTAGAGAAAGTGGAAGGGTAAGAGAAAGACAAAGAGAGAAACTTCAATATGAGAAAGACTCATCAATTGGTTGCCTCCCACACATGCCCCTGGATAGGGATTGAGCCTGCAACTTAGATACATGCCCTCAACCCTTCAGTCCGAAGGCCGACATTGTAAGCACTAAGCAAAACTGGCTAGGACTGGGAAGTACTTTTTCTTCCTTGAATCTCCTTTTGCTTTTCATTTTGATAATATGTAGGTTTTATGTGTTGTTTAGTTTTACTTAACCAAGCGACATTGTATTTTTAGTACTTGAAACCCTGAAGTTTTATGAAAATGACTCCATGTAAGGGGATGGCTTTCCATAGATCACTAGGTTATTTTATTTTACTTTCTAGGAAATAACAGTACAACAGCTAATGGCCCATTTGGACTCTATCAGGAAAGACATGGTCATCCTAGAGAAAAGTGAATTTGCAAATCTGAGAGCAGAGAACGAGGTGACACAAGTTTCAGTTTATTATTAATAAAGTAACTGACTTCACAAGTGGTCTACTTAGTGAATAATAGGACCAAATAATTTTATGTGGTTATTAAATAGTTATTTATAAATTTTCAGATAAAAATAGACTATATGTTTAACCATACCTAATCTTTTGATGTAAAAGCATAGTTTCTTGCATAGTAAAGAATAAGAGATGTATCTTATATGTATAAAAGTCACTTAGATATTTGAACTCTTTATATTATATACAATTTGAGAATAGCGCATAGTATAATATTCTCAGAACTGAAAGTAATGTGGCATTTTCCATTTTATTTGATTCTGTACTAATTAGTCATTTAAGAGAAAAATATGGTTTTTGTAATTCAGGGGAATTTTGTTATCCAGTAGATTAACTACTAATATTTTTAAATGTAGACTATCAATTGTTTTAAGAAATAGAAAACTAAAACATAAATATTTTCTAATGTTTTCCTAAGAATTATTTTCTAAATATGAATTACTCTTTTTTAATCTTTATTTTTAATTTTAAAAATCCTTAGATCATCCAGTTTTTGCTAATCTAGGGTTTCAAATTTTATGGGAAAAATATCATAATATGGGCTTTTAGTTTAAAGCCAATTGTATGTGATCTTTCTTACATCTAGAAAATGAAGAGTGAATTAGAACAAGTTAAGCAACAATTAATAGTAAGTGAAATGTTTTTTTCCCATTAAAAACATTGTATTATTTTCAAAATACTCATTACAAGATAACTTTTTAACTATTTTTACTTTCTTTAAAGAATGAAACCAGTCGAATCAGAGCAGATAATAAACTGGATATCAACCTAGAAAGGAGCAGAGTAACAGATATGGTAATGTGCTTTTAAATATATTTTCTTGTTTACTTACTGCTTCTTAACCCCTTTTAGTCTTTTTTTCTTAACCTGATGCATCATATTCTTTAGTTTACAGATCAAGAAAAGAAACTTATGGAAGCAACCACAGAATTTACCAAAAAAGTAAGTTAGTGTATAAAAATTTCTCTTTTGTATAGCTCTCAGGTCTTGTGTACCTGCTTTTATGTGTATCATGTTATAAATTTGGACTTTAAACAGATAGACCTAAAGAATTCATGATTTCCTCATAGCTTTTATGGTTAACTGGCACAGGGGGTAATGCCACCAGGTGCGTGATAGTACCAGAACTTTGACCTCTGAGTAAGAACCAAGCTTTCCTGGTAGCATACTTTTTCAAACTATTTTCATATAAAAAAGAAATGATTCATAATTAGTATTTTAGTATTTTATTATTTTAGTATTTTAGTCTAGGTCAAATTATCTTAAAATTTTTTTAATAATAGTAAACATTTAATAAGTGCTTATTATATGCTAGATATTGTTCTACTTGCTTTACTTTTGTCTATTATTTAATCCTTACATCAGCCTCTGTGAGGCAGGCAGTCTTATTTCCTATTTACCAATTTAAAAAATGAGGCACAGGGACATTAAGGTCACACAGCTACGATGTGGTAGAGCTGGGATATGAACCTGGATTTTAAACCCCATACTTATTGTTAATGGTTAGCTTCTCAGTAATCCTACATTGTAATCATTAATCTCTGGCTTGAGTAAAACCCAGCTTTCTGGCTTTGCCTCGTCCTTTTCTTAAAAGTTAAAAGCCATTTGGTCTACATTTTAACAGAAAAGATGGCACTTTCTTGCTTCTAATTTAATAGAAGGGAAGGGTTCCATTTGTCCTTCTTAGCATTCTATTCTGTCCTCTTTTTGGCGAGATAAAGGAGATAAGGAAATGTAGTAATTCTCTCAGAGCTCATTTCTGAGCTCTCAGTACCATCTCTCTTCCCATCTCTTAGCTCCTATACACACAGCATTCAGCGTTACCCAACAAGCATTTCTGCCATTGCCTTTAACGTTGGTGCCAGTTTCACATTATAAACTTGGTCAGGTTTTTTCTTCTGCAGAACATATTTAAATTTTTAACTATCAGAGCCTTTCTATGCATAAAGTGATAGTTCAGTGATTACAGTATTTTCTGTGTATAAGATGCTTTTTTTTTTTTTTTCTAAAATCATTAAGACTGAAAATGGAGGGACATCTTATACACAGAAGTCAGCTATGCGCAGTGCTTTATCAAACAGGCTTCCTCCAGTCACGAGCCTTATTTTTACTGACATAAGGCCTGTGAATCAGGAGGTCATGGTTTGATTTCCAGTCAGTGCACAAGCTCAGACTGTGGACTCGATCCTTAGTGAGGGGCATGCAGGAGGCAGCCGATGATATTTTTATCCTTCTCTCCCTCTCCCTTCCTCTCACTGAAATCAATAAAAATATCTTTTTTTAAAAAGCCCTGGTCAGTTTTTCTCAGTAGGTAGAGCATCGGCAGTGGACAGAAAGGTCTTGGGTTCAATTCCCAGTCAAGAGCACATACCTCAGTTGCAGGTTCGATTCCTAGCCCCAATCGGGGTATATGTGGGAGACAGCTAATCTGTCTCTCTCACATATCACTTTTTTTCTCTCTCTCTCTTGTTCTCTCGCTCTCCCTTTCTCTCCTTCTTCCCTCTCTTGTACTATCTCTAAAAAAATCAATGGAAAAAATATTCTTGGGTAAGGATTAAAAAAAGACTATTGTAATACACAAAATCATTCATAAATAATATTTTTAATGTAAATATTTTTCCCAATAATATATTGAGGACAAAACTTAATTGTATTTATTCTCATTTATTACAGGATACCATAACCAATAGTATTATTTCAGAAACCAGTAATAAAATTGACACTGAAATTGCTTCTTTAAAAACACTAATGGAATCTAACAAGCTTGAGACAATTCGTTATCTTGCAGGTAAGGCTGTGTTTGTCAGAGAAAGGAATTATTGTCATTTGATTATCAGACCTCTCAGCTCCTACCTCCCAAGACCAGCATAGAAGAAAAAAATGAAGGTTTCTTTTATTGCTTGGTCCCTGCAGTGTGTGAAGAATCTAAGTCTGGAAGGCAGTAAGATTAGGATATAAGTTTAACAGGCAACTTTGCAACTTACTAATAGAAAAAAATTATCGATATCAAAGAAATATATAAACACAATACAGAATACTGCAAAGATGAACTAGTATTCTACAATTAAAAAATGTTATTTTTATTGCTGTGCTCTTCAGTATTTGAGTGGACTTTCAGGAAATTATAGCTAAAATATATGTAGGCCATTAAAAATTATAGCAAACAAAGGGGGAAATAACTCCTACCTTGAACCCAACTGACTGAGCACAGTTACTACCCCAATATTAGATTATTTGTCCTATACTAGGCTCCTCAAGTATCATGGGGCCTGAACCAATTACAGGACCCCAAGGAGGTAGAAAAAATGCCCTAGTCAAATAGAACTTTTTTGTTCCTTTTTATAAAAAAGTAATATATTTTCCTTATAAGTGATTCCTGTAATTCAGAAACAATATAGTAAAAGTAAAAGCCTTTTACGCCCTCATAGGTATTTACTATTAGAAGTATATATCTTTCCAGAATTTCTCTTTTTTATATAAATATTATAATTTTTATTTATTTTTTTTTTATTTTTTTTTTTTTAAAAAATATATTTTATTGATTTTGTACAGAGAGGAAGGGAGAGAGATAGAAAGCTAGAAACATCGATGAGAGAGAGTCATCGATCAGCTGCCTCTTGCACACCCCCTACTGGGGATGTGCCCGCAACCAAGGTACATGCCCTTGACCGGAATCGAACCCGGGTCCCTTCAGTCCCCAAGCCGACGCTCTATCCATTGAGCCAAACCGGTCTCGGCTAAATATTATAATTTTTAAAAATAATAACTAGATCATATTGTACAGACAACTTTTCTGCTACCAGTTTTTTATTATTAAAAATTATGCACTGAACAGCTACATATATGTTTGTATTTGAGTAAACACACACACCCCTTTGTGCCCTCAGGATAGTATTTCTGTATAAATTGCTTTGCACCATCTATACTTTTGTTTAAAAGATGTGCACATTTAAACGATTTCATGTTATGAACTGCTGGCCAAAACAAAATTGCTGATTTATACTACCAGTGGTTTTCTGGGCAGTCACTAAGGATGTTGAGGTGGCAGTAGGAGTAAAGATGGAGCCCCTGGCCTTCAGCCATGCACCCCCTTTATTTCTTCAACTTGAATGCCTCAGCTTCTGTCTTTTTAAAATACTTGGCTTCTGCCAAAATTTCATTTGAAGAAAGCGTTCTAAGGGGAAAACAAGTTTTGAAAACCCCCATTCTAGCAAAGTCTCTGGAACTAGAGATCTATTCAGTGGTAATGCTCAGGGAAAATTTCCAAAAAGCCAGTTTGTTTCCACTTTCAAAATGGATTTTAAAGCAATCCAGTTTAGGAAGAGCTTCAAATTCCACTCAGCTTCCTCTAGAGTATTTACTAAAAGAATCAATATCTTAGATAAAAATAAAATCCTTTTTGTACTCAGTTTGAAGAAGGTGATAGTCTCCATAAGACTTTCATTCAGTAGTGGATTTATAAAAGGCTGATTCTTTTTTTTTTTTAATATATTTTATTGATTTTTAACAAAGAGAAAGGGAGAGAGAGAGAGAGAGAGAGAGAGAGCTAGAAATGTCGATGAGAGAGAAACATTGACCAGCTGCCTCTTGCACACCCAATACGGGGGATGTGCCCACAACCAACATATTATACATGCCCTTGACCGGAATCGAACCTGGGACCTTTCAGTCTGCAGACCGACGCTCTACCACTGAGCCAAACCGGCTTCGGCTATACAAGGCTGATTCTAAGAAACTTATTGGCAAAAACAAAACAATTAGCAAGTCATTGTTTGGAAAAGTACCTTTCCTAAGTTACCTGCCTTTCCTTTTTTCAATGAGGATTTGCAACCAACAATTCTAAAGGCATTGTCTTTCTCCTTTTTCTTATCCAATTATTTGTTTATTGCTGATGTTACTGGTAAGTTTTTTAGGAAATCTGAATCCGACACTCTCAGCAGGTGGGTAGTTAATGCCAAGAGTGGATCCACTGGGCCCTAGAATACCTGAGATGTTGCCAGTAAGACAGTATTACTCCACATATCTGAGATTCACATACTGGATGTCACAAACCCAGAAAAAAAAAATACTAATAAAACCCTAGCAGTAAAGATCTTGTGTTTCCCTTAGAGAAGAAATCCTTCTAAAATGTTAACCTTAATAATTTTGTTTTCCCAGAATGCATCAGCCAAGGTGCTGTTCATTTCAAGTATTATACTTTTGAACTTGAACTAGCTTAGGCATAAAGGGGAATTTACATATTGAATTATGGAAGAAAGGCATAGGTATAGCTTCAGCTTAGGGATAATTGGAATCACAACTTTCTCTGTATCTTGTCTCTGAATATCTGTCTCATTTTCTTAAACCAGTTTCCTCCATGGGATTATAAACATAGCCAATACACTCATATTCCAGTTTCATCAACCATGAAAAATTATCCTTTTCCTTAGTTCCAATTCAGAAAATCCCAGGGAAGGGATCTGAATGGCTCATCTTGAGTCATATACAACCCCTTGACTCAGATCACTACTGTCAAGGAAACTAGAGCTGTAGATAATGGCAGTTTCCATGTAATCTATAGTTAATGTGGCAAATTCTGTTTTGGACAGATAAGTAGTAAAATCTAACACAGAGTACTTAAAATGTATCAGGCACAGGCTCAGCTATGCATTTTATATACCCAAAGAAGTGTCTCAGATAGGCCGTAAAAGATAAACAACAAATTTGAAAGCAATTTGGGGTTAGCACAATGACAGCAATGAGAAGTAACAGTTGACAGTAGAAATGAGAAACTTAAATACATTAACCACTGTGTCAGATACCAAGAGCACTGCTCAGCACTGCTGCTCTGAGTTGTCCTGAATCCATATATTCGAAGTTCTTCCTGACTATACCAAAAGGTGGCTCCTTTTCAAACCCTGCCCACTGTACTAATTATTGGGAACTTAGTCCAAGTTCCTCCTTTATCCTCTGTTCACAAGTACAATAGGTGTTGGGTCCGAGCCCCTCAGCCTAGGCTGTACCTCCTCTGATGCTGGGTCTTAGATGGAGAGCCATGAGAAGTTGTGAATGTGTACGAAGGAGTCTTTATTGCAAAAGTCAGTGGCACAACAGCCCTATACAAGCAAAACAGTCCTTCACAGCAAAGTCCACACAGGCAGGCAGCCGGACACCGGCTGGTGAACAGATACATCTTTCCCACAAAGCAGCATCAGTCTCTGTACCCATAGCTATTATCTGAGCAGCCGCATGCTGCCCCCTAGACTCACTACCTTACATCTTAGTGGTGCCTAAGCTCTCTGTCTAGGCAGCTTCTCTAACCTCTCTGGCTTAGTAGTTTCTCCTGTCTCCCCTGCCCAGCACACTGGCTGGTGAATGAGGTAGCTGAATCAGAGCTCTTTTGCCTCTGCTCTACCCAGCACCCTGACGTTAGTGATATCCTTTTATATTATCCCTTAGACAAAGATGGCTTTGTGCCAATAGTTTCATTAATCATACTTTGGCTATCGAAGGGCACAGGGTACCATGAATCCTTGCACCCTCTCATGGTATATTGGTCTTGGGCACCCCAATTAGGCTTACTTATGCTTAGAGAGGCCTTGGCCATTCTGATGTGTTAACGACAAGGCCTCTGTGTTCCCATTGGCCTGAACTATCTGGATACCCTGGCAATAGGTGTTGTTTTCCTTCCTCACAATAAAGAACTCACTAGTAGTCTTAGACAACTTAGCTCTTTGTGTTAGCAAGAATATACCAGATAGCACTGTGTAGCCCCCAAATTAACAAATTAGATTAAGTCCTTCAGGTGACAGGGGATAAATAGGATATTATAATGGCTTCCTATAAAAAACAACTTTGAAATCAGGAACACTTAGTTGAGTCCTGGTTCCACAACTGGTAGCAATATAGCTTTGGACTTGTCTCATTTATACAATGGGAATGATATCACCTACCTCTTTGGATTTTAATTATGGATAAATGGGTAATTTATGTAATCAGTTGATCAAGACAAGAAACTCAGTATTAAACTTTCTCCTCAAATGTTCTCATTTCCTATGTGTCTTAAAGAGACCTAATCCCATTTCTTAAAATTAAGAAAATGATCTTGTCATTAGCCAAGTTTCAGTAAGTAGTGGGATCAAATGAGATATTGTATAATTTTATACATTAAAATTAGAATAGCTTTACTATGAAAGGCTATTTCTTTTGTCTTTAGTCAAAGTTTGCCCTTCATTTCAGTTTCTCTATTTTAAAAATGATAAAGAAGAAAATTAAATCATCCATAATCCCATCAATCATTAGACATGTTATTGTATTTTATTTATCTTTTACTGTATGAATACATGTCATTTTTAATGGCATCATAGATTACTTCTATTATAGATTTCCAATTTTTTTCTATATAAATCTTAATAAATATCTTTGTGCATAGATATAAAAAGGTCATGGCTGTTTAAACAAACTACTAGAAACTAGGGAGTCCCTAAAAGCTTCACCCAGATTAAGCTGCTTAAGAACAGGAAGGTTTTTTTTTTTTGTTCAGAATGAAATAAAGAGCAGATGATATATTAAATGTTAAAGTCTGATGCTTGTTCTGCCTTTGCTTCTACCTCACAGATTTTTTAAAGGGTTTCATTACAATTTTTTATTTGTTTTTAATATGAGTTTTAATATATGTGAGAAAATTTATTTTTAAATGTATTGAAAAGGCAAATTTTCTCATGGATGATCTGATGTCAGTTTTACTAACTACATAACTTTAAATATAAGTGAAATATTTTTTCACTTCTAAGATCTGAAATTAAAGTTCATAATTGTCACTATTAATGCTAATATTAATAATGGATTTAAACAATTTATACATTCTAACTGACATATGACCTACATTTTTAAATTACTGTCATCCTTAATTGGGTTTAAAATACAGAAAGCTTTTAAGAAGAATTGGTATCCTGCCCTAAAGAATATCCTTTATTTTTAGCTTCATTTTCTGGGAATTGAAAAACCTAAGATACAAAATTGATTGGATGCCCTTTTTTTTGTTGTTCATTTAAGTTGAAGATGACATTATTCTGTTTCTCTCTGCAAAAAAATAATCACAAATGCATGCCCTACTGTAACATGTTTTCTTCTGTTCACAGCCTCAGTGTTCACTTGCCTGGCAATAGCATTGGGATTTTACAGATTCTGGAAATAGCAGTGGAACAACTATATTATGCTTCTACTACTGCTTCCATTGACTTCTTAAAGCACTGAACTAGGATAGATTTACTTTGAACATTGAAAGTTGTAGCAAAACTTAATACAACAAGATTATTCAAAGTACATATGGACTAAAATGTTTTAGAATAAGAAAATGTAGTTTGTGTTTTTTAATGTCTATTTTATTATGTTGAAAAGCTGACATTCAAAACCTGGTTAATTTGAGACAGAAGGGCCTTTTGTCTTTATCTTCTTGATAGCTTATAGAAACTGAACTGGAGTTTTGTGTTTGCTTGAATAACTGTGTAAATCATATAGGATTTCTTTGCTATCTGCTGCCTACATACTTTGATATGCAACTTTCCTGGTACCTATTACACAATTACCTTTTCATATTTAATAAAATATTATTAAAAAGTTGTTTGGATTGTTAAAGTGACTTACAATATAGATGGAGATTTTTTTATAATGAACAATTAAAAAACAATTTTAAAAATGTTTAATTTGTTTTCTGTTGACCAATGTTTCCTATTCTCTTCTCCCCCTCCACTCAGTCCCCATTCCACCCTAGGCCTTTACCCCACACTATTATCTGTGTCCAAAGGCTATGCATATAAGTTTTTTGGTTAATCTCTTCCCGTCCCTCTCATCCCTCTCCCTTCTAAGATCTGTCAGTCTGTACCATGTATCCATAAGTCTAGACTTATTTTGTCTATCACTATTTTGTTCATTAGATTCCACATGTAAGTGAGATCATGTGATACTTTTCTTTCTCTAACTGGCTTATATCACTCAGCACAGTATTCCGCAGGTCCATACATGCTGTTGCAAAGGATAAGAGATCCTTCTATTTTACAGCTAAGTATTCCACTGTATAAATGTACCACAGCTTTCCCCCCCACTTATTACTGATGGGAACTTATGCTGTTTACAGATATTAGTTATTGTAAATAACAATGCTATAAACATAAGGTGCATACATTCTTGAACAATTAAAAACAAATTGGCCGAAGCCGGTTTGGCTCAGTGGTGGAGCGACGGTCTGCGGACTGAAGGGTCCTGGGTTCGATTCCGGTCAAGGGCATGTACATTGGTTGCGGGCACATCCCTGGTGGGGGGTGTGCAGGAGGCAGCTGGTCGATGTTTCTCTCTCATCGACATTTCTAGCTCTCTATCTCTCCCTTCTTCTCTGTAAAAAAAATCAATAAAATATATATATTTTTTTAAATTTGAAAATTTTTAAATGTGTGCCCTAGTACAAATGTATGACATTTAATATGAAATCTGTTGAGTTACTAATCTTGAGCCCTAACTATTATATATATTTTTAAAATTTTTGATTCACAAAAACATGTTTGTCCATGCTTCAGATTTATTGCTTAAATATTTTTCTTATGACAGTTAAGTTCAATAAATGTCTATTTATATATAATCCCTCTCTCAAGAAACTCATACTGTGGTTTTATTGCTATTAGGTCTATTATATATTTTTCCTTTATAATAGTACCTATTAATATAATACATGTAGTTCTAAGAAAAGTACAAAATATGTTCAACTCAAACCTTTAATTGAAGATATTTCAAAAAGCCAAGGCCAGGAAGTACTAAAAATTTCTTAATGCCTTGACAATAGCTTTAAAAGTTTGATAATCCATTATTTATTCACTATGTTAAAAAATAACCCCATCATTTGTTTAGTTCTAAATAAGGAATGTGCAGACTAGAGAAGTCAAAGACTGGCCCATGTGGTCCAATAAATGAGAATCAGAGGCTCTCCAACTAAATGTTCTTCGCAGATCTAACTACTGGGTTGTTTTCGAAGCAAAACTCCATTTTAATATCCTGGTACGTCCCGATTCATTTCCATCTCAAAGTTATCTTGGCACACTGTAGATAAATTTTTATTTATTTAATAAATAACGACCAAAAGGCTCCACTGTAACAAACTATTCATTCACTGAATAAATAGAATGCCTCCTGTATGCCAGACAACATGCTGGTCCACCTGTGCACAAAGGTGAACGCAGTTTTCCTTCTTACAGAACTGACTATCTTAGTGAAGACAGACAGGAAACATTATTGGCTTGTTACAATTTATAATAAAATATTGAGAGGGCATACTTCTTTCCTCCACATGAAAGAAACTCCAGTAGCATACCATTGTCATCACTCTTCCTCCCATCATTCACCTGCCCCAGGTAAAGTGAATTGAAAATAGAAACAGGATCCAAGTCACACTCTGAAAATAATTTGGTTGGTAAGCTCTAGATATGAAACCACCAGAAAATAGAAACTTGAAGTTGTTGAATTGTTTTACCGCTTCCTCCCCAGTCCTGTTTGGGACCAGCATGTCTTCAGAGAGCATTCATTCTATTCTCCTATGGAATCAGGCTCAGCCTACCCAAGTACAATGTTGCTTGGAGCAGGTGAATAAATTTATCCAATTCTGTGGTTCAGTGATAGAAAATTTACTGGACTGAAGAACTAAACTATATTTTCCAATATCAGTTTTAATAGTAAACTAGAGGCCCAGTGCACAAATTTGTGCACAGGTGGGGTCCCTTGGCCTGGCCAGTGATCTGGGCTGATCTGGGCCATGTCTTTCAGTTTGTCTTGCCCAGTCCAAGCAGAGAGACCATGGGAGGTTGGCTGGCCGTGGGAGGTTAGGTTGGCTATGGGAGCACACTGACCATCAGGGGGCAGCTCCTGTGTTAGTGTCTGCCTCCTGGTGATCAGTGCACATCATAGGGACCAGTCATTTAGTCAACCAGACATAACAGCTTAAGCTTTTATATATATAGAAAAGGGTACTATTTAGGACTCTGTTCAATTTATTCTTATCTCAAGTTCACAATCCAGATGGGAAGAAGGGGCTGGCCATTTATTGGATCTCCTCAAACCAAAACAAAGATGCATATTTCCAGTTCACAGCCATTAATAGTAAAATAGATGTGTTCCATCTGTAGCAAAGTGCTTTGCATCCAATAATGGAAGAAATATATACACCATCCCCAATTCCCATTACTTGTAGATTCTATACCTTTTCCATGGAAACTTTGTTTTGATATTAGTTTTGGAGTTTGATAGATTTTTGATTAGAGAATAGAAATATCCGAAGTGAAACATGAGAGGATTGTATCTCATAAACTACCCCTCTATTCCAGCACTTGCACCCCCTATAAAACAGCTATTGTACATCTGTTTCTTATACTAAACTGAGTTCCCCAAAGGCCTCTAAGTATATATGAGGTACTTTTTATGCCTGTGAAATAAGTGATATGCATAGACCTCAATCTTAATCCAATTTGTTAATATTTTAAATATTCTATTATGGGTGTAATGAGAATGTTTCATTCATAGAGTTTTTGAGAACTCTAAACCTTTTTAGCATTTTCTGTAGGTGATAAGTCTCCAAGAGGATTAGTTACCTTCATCCTGTTTATGGCCATAGACTAGATCCTAACTTGCCCATTCAAACTATTTGGTGAGAGTAGACCAGGCAATATTATGTAAGGACTAGTTAAGAGTCAATAAAAACCTTTCACCATATTTGAAAAACAATTTAAGGCTTATAATGCCCATTTTATCAATTGTTAATTTAGATATGTAACATCTTAAGTTTCAAATATTCAAAAGTTTTAAATATTTTTTAAAATATTTAAGTATTTGTAAATGATTTGGCACAAATCACATACATAGTAAGTGCCTAATAAATTTTGATAACTATTATTACTACAGATTGAAAGCTTTTTGAACTATAGAAAAGCTAACAATAATGACTAAACGTTATGAAAAGGGTTTAATACTGTCTTACAGACCCTTAACCAGCATGGTATTGGTCTTAGCAATAACATGCACTTATGTCAGGGCAAACTGGTAAAACAGTCCAATTAGCCTTTAGCGTCCTTATAAGATACATGCCAGGGCCTGGGGGGTGGACAGTCTGATATACAGTAAGAAGCTGCTATCAATGAAGCCCAAAGCTAGCCATCAGTTCTTCGGGGGGAGTCAGCATCTAGACAATTGCCTCAGGAGAATGATTAATCTTTTCTAGGTCAAGGAGTGGGGTCGGGTAGGAAAAGGGAGGGAATTAAAGTCAGAATTTCCATTGTTGTTTTTTTAGTCATCTAAGTTGAGGGGAAAAACAATAAAACCATGTATTTTTTTATTCTGCCCAATTTGCCTTGTCTCTACATTCCTTTCTTAGAGAGCTTGAAAGACAGAACAATGGTTGAATTTTAAAGCAGGTTATATACCTGGGTTTTCTTAGTAAGCACACATGTATTTTCTAAAATCCTTTTACAAGTACTGGTCTTCATTTCTGTAAAATTTTCTTGAGTGAGATATTTGGTTGTTATTGCAAAATTGGCCTTTTTTAAAACTTACTGTTCTTATATTGCATTTTCTCCCAAGTCCAATTGCTTTTTAAAAGTCAAGTCACTTGAAAAGTTAAAAAAAACAACAAAAAACAACAACACATGTACCTGTGGGGGCCAGATTCAGTGGGGGCCAGATATGGCAGGGCTTCCCCTTTTCCGCATCAACACAGAGAGAGAGATGAATGAACTGGTTTTAAGTGGATGCGGGCCAGGGATTGAGAAATAATAGAAAGTAATAAGGAAGGGAGGGAGGGAGGGAGGGAAAGAGGGAGGAAAGAAAGAGGGAGGGAGGAGAGAGGAAGTGAGGGGAGAGGGAGCAAAGGAAAAGGAAAGAGGAAAGAGGAAAGGAGAAAGGAGAGGAAAGGAAAAGAAAAGAAATAAAAGAAAAAAAGGAAAGGAAAGGAGAGAGGGGAGAGGGGAGAGGGAAGGGGAGGGGAAGGGAGGGGAGAGGAGAGGAGAGAGAGGAAAAGAGAGAAGAGAGGAGAGAGGAGAGGAAAGGGGAAAGGAAAAAGAAAAAAGAAAAGGAAAAGAAAGGAAGGAAAGCACAGATTTAAAAGCTGAGAACTAGGAGGGACGCCATTCTCTCTGATGCAGAGGCAGCACTACAACCCGAGCCATGCAGCATATTTATTTTATACCCCCAAATACCAGGAAGTAACACCAAAACTTAGGATCAAAGGAGCTTATTTGCCTTCATAAGTAGGCCAGAGCATTCCTGGAGGTTGACTGGATTTATATATCTAGACCCACCCCTGCCGCCCCTGCCTACCCGACAACACCTGGACTGATATGAAGGCCAAGCTGACATGTGCTGCCTCATTGGGAAAGCATGTTCCCAGGGCGTGGCTCTGCCTATCGCCCTGAGTTAAGGTGATGATAATTAAAAGAAATGCCCATGTGCCTGCCCAGGCGGCCCTCTACAGGTATCTTAGTAGTAAGGTACTCTCTAGAAAATAAGAGAAACATAATTCTATTATGAAGTTATAATAGAATTTTTAATAATTTTTAATATCATAATTTTAACATCTAGAATTATATTTCTTTGGAAACTTTAATATTATATTTTAAAGTTTATGTGAATATTTGTAAATTAATTACTCATAAATCTAAATCTTGACTTGCCTACATAACTATAAGGAGGATATATTTGGAGAGGAATATAACTGATTACGTGTAATTTTAACATTCCTTTGAGTTTATGTAACATATTTTTGCCTTAAGAATTGGAGTAGCCGAAACCGGTTTGGCTCAGTGGATAGAGCGTTGGCCTGCAGACTGAAAGGTCCCAGGTTCGATTCTGGTTAAGGGCATGTACCTTGGTTGCGGGCACATCCCCAGTAGGGGCTGTGCAAGAGGCAGCTTATGGATGATTCTCTCTCATCAATGTTTCTAACTCTCTCTCTCTCTCTCTCTTCCTCTCTGTAAAAAATCAGTAAAATATATTTTTAAAAAAAAGAATTGGAGTAATTGTATATCAGAGTAACTTTAGAAGAGTTTAACATATTAACATATCAATTTTTTAAATAAAAGAGAGAAATCAAGCAAGTTTATTTAAATTTGTTTCATTGCTTAGTACCTTCTCACAAAAACACCCCTAGAAGACACTTTTTTCTTCACTCGCTTCTTCTCTTTGCTTGATTCAACAGAAGAGTCATCTTCCTACAAATGACAAAAATGAGAACCAAGTTAAGATTTCTACCCTGGACACATTTCATCTTTACATCTGTTCCAAAAGAAAAAATTAATGATACTAATATTTTCAACTCTAGATTAAAATAAAATAGTGTCAGGAAGTTTGCCTAACAGATCAGGTTTGAGATGATACAGGCCTGGAACAGAACTAACTCACCTTATGACTGAAGAAAAAATTTCCTGTGAAAAGAAAATATGTAACATACTCAAATCCCTACACTGTGTCACATTAGCTGTCCACAAGGACGACATCATGGCTGTCTTCACTCACAGGAGGGAGCAAGGGTCAAAGTTTCCCCAGTACACTTTCTGCCTTTTCTATGAGACCTGATGGCCTGAAATACAAGTGCCATTGGGTTTCCTGCTGATGCTATCACTCAATTATAAAAATACTCCACTTGCTTTTCTGTATTTGTTCTTTGTAACTGTTTCCATATTTGCTTCCTTCTAGAGATTTGTCCTTTTCATCTATAACTATAAGCATTTTCCTATATTCCAAATTCATAGTTCTAGCTGGGAATTATGAAAAGAGCTAAGTCTATGGAATCAAAAGTTAGAGATTGAATACTGATCCCACCATAACTTGACAACTCTGCTCTCTAAGCCTGTTTCCTCAGATGTTAAATGAGGGCAGATCTAATGACATGTCATAATATGTGTAAGAACTTTGTAAGTGTTGCAAATGTAATCTGAACAAAGGGATACTATGCTGGCTTTCTATTCTTAAAATTGCTCTTTCGAGAAACTGACGCTTTCTTATATGGATTCCACTCAAAGCACTTTATTTTGGCTATTTAGAATGTTAAATATATATATATATATACACTCTAATTGCCTTAGAATTCTTATTGATTATTCTGCAAATATTTTTTCCTTATATGGGGCAATAATAAGAACAGTAACATTTACTGAACTTTTTATGAGCCAGGCTGCTGTTCTAACCAATATATATATAAATATATAGATAGATAGAGATATGTGTGTACTAGAAGCCCAATTCCCAAAATTCATGCAAGAGTAGCCTTCCTTCCCCAGGCTGCCAGCACCGCTTCCCTCTGGCACCTGGCACTCTGGAAGGACGTCTGGTCTAATTAGCATATTACCCTCCTTTTATTATTATAGATATATGAAGGAATATACATAGATATATATTCATTTAATACTTACAACACTCTAGAAAATATAAATTATTACCTCCAGTTTACAACTAAGGCAAAGAGAAACTAAATGATTAGTTCAAATCAAAAAAGGTTGAAGCCAGGATTCAAATCCAGATATCCCCAAGTCCAAACTTGAACTCTTCACTACTCTTGTATACTACTTCTTGAGAAAGATCAGCGTGTTAAGAAGGGCACTAACCACTGCTATGAGACTGGGGACCTGAATATCTTCCAGGTTCTCCCTGAGCTGATCCACCGCTGCTCGATACTCATCCAGCTGACTTTCTAGCTTTTCTCTCCGTAGTCGTTCATACTGCAGCTGGTCCTGCAGCTCTTGAATAGTCCTGTCAAAAACAGATTTTGTTTTCAGCCAGTCCCAATATGAACTAAATATGATTTTGATAATAGTGAAAAGCATCCATGCACTGTATTTAAGGCAAATCAAAAAATAACTCTGTATTCGACAAATATGTATTGAGAAGCTGCATACACCAGCAATAATCCAGATGGGGATCAGCAATAAACCAAATGGACCAAATATGCCCTCAAGGTCTTGCCTTAGCAGTGGAGAAAGACAGACATGAAAGAAAATAAGTAATTATGGTATGTTGGAAGTTAATAAATGCTAAGGGAGAAAAAATAAAGCAAGAAAGAGTCATATAAAATGTTATTGAAGAGGGCATTATCATCTCATACACAATGGCAGAGAAGGCCTTACTGAGAAGGTAAGAGATGAGGGATATAATCAAGCAGACATCGGGGGAAGGGCATTCCACAGGGAAGAGCGGGTCCAAATGCCCTACATCAGAAGTATCCCTGGTGACCTGAAAGACAACCAGAGGCCATGTGATTGGAATAATTTAAAGTATAAAAAGGGATAGTAGGTCAGAGAGGTAAAAGGAATCCAGTAAAGTAGAGCTTTTACTCTTAATAAAATGGGAAGTCATTGGAGGGTCTGAGCAGAGAAACGGCATGAATTGATTTAGATTTCTTTTCTTTTGCTAAGTGTGTGTGTGTGTGTGTGTGTGTGTGTGTGTGTGTGTGTGTGTGTGTGTGTTTCTACTGATTTGTAGATATTTTAGCATCCCTGCATCCCTGGAATAAATCCTACTTGGTCATGGTATATGATCTTTCTAATGTAATGCTGGATCTGATTTGCTAGAATTTTGTTGAGGATTTTAGCATCTATGTTCATCAGAGATATTGGCTTGTAATTCTCTTTCTTTGTAGTGTCTTTATCTGGTTTTGGATTAGGATAATGCTGGCTTCATAGAAAGAGCTTGGGAGTGGTGTTTTCCTCTTGAATTTTTTGGAATATCTGAGGAGAGGTTTTAATTCTTCATTGATTGTTTGGTAAAACTCCCCTGTGAAACCATCTGGCTCAGGGCTTTTGTTTGCTGAAAGTTTTTTTTTATTATTGCTTCAAATTCCTTCATAGTTATCAGCCTATTCAGGTTTTTTTATTCTTTCTGAATAAAGGAAAAATTGAGTTTTGGAAGGTTGTATATTTCTAGGAATATGTCCATTTCTTCTAGTTGACCAGCTTGTTGGAACAGAGTTGTTCATAGTATGTTTTTACAATCCTTTGTATTCCTGTGGGGTCTGTTGTTATTTCACCTCTTTCATTTCTGATTTTGTTTATTTGGGTGCTCTCTCTCTGCTTCTTGGTTAATCTGACTAAAGGTTCATTAATCTTGTTTATCCTTTCAAAGAACCAGATCAATCTTATTGATCTTTTGTATTGTGCTTTTGGTCTCCATGTCATTTATTCCCTCTCTGATCTTTATTATTTCCTTTCTTCTTCTCACTCTGGGCTTTTGTTGTTGGTATCTTTCTCATTCTTTCAGTTGTAGAGTTATTACCAGTTTTTCTTATTTTTATTTTTTTTTTAATATATTTTTATTGATTTTTTTTAGAGAGGAAGGGAGAGAGATAGAGAGCTAGAAACATCGATGAGAGAGAAACATTGACCAGCTGCCTTTTGCACACCCCCACCGGGGATGTGCCCGCAACCAACGTACATGCCCTTTACCAGAATCGAACCCGGGACCTTTCAGTCCGCACACCGACGCTCTACCACTGAGCCAAACCAATTTCGGCAAGTTTTTCTTATTTTTTGAGATAGGCCTGTAATGCTATGAAATTCCCTCTCAGGACTGCTTTCACTGTGTCCCATACATTTTGGATTGTTGTGTTTTCATTGTCATTTATTTCCAGGATGTTTTTTGCTTCTTCTTTGACCTCTTTGGTAACCCAATCATTGTTTAATAACATGCTATTTCACCTCCAAGTGTTTGAATTTTTTTGATTACTTATATTGTAGTTATTTCTAGTATTATGCCATTGTGATCTGAGAAGATGCTTGATATGATTTTCAATCTTCTTGAATTTGAAGAGACTTTGCATGTGTCCCAATATGTTATCTATCTTTGGAAATGTTCCATATGCACTTGAGAAGAATATATATTCTGGGTGAAATGTTCTGAAGATGTTGATTAAGTCCATCTGATCTTGGGAGTCATTTAGGATTGCTGTTTCTTTGCTGATTTTTTCTCTAGAGGATTTATTCAATGATATCTATGGGCTATTAAAGTCCCCTACTCTGATTGTATTGCTGTTGATTTCTCCCTTGATGTCTTCCAGAAGTTTGTGTGTTTTTTTATGTATTTGGATCCTCCTGCATTTGGTGCATATATGTTTACCAGAGTTATATCCTCTTATTATATCAATCCCTTTAGTATTATGAAGTGGTCTTCCTCATCTCTTATTATGGCATTTACTTTGAGGTCTAATTTGTCAGATATAAGTATTGCTACCGCAGCTCTTTTTTCATTTCCAATTGCCTGAAAGATATTTTTCCATCCCTTCACTTTCAGTCTATATAAGTCCCTTGTTCTGAGGTGGGTCTCCTGTAGACAGCATATATATGGGTCATATTTTCTTATCCATTTAGCCACTTGATGTCTTTTTTATTGGAGCATTTAATCCATTTATGTTTAAGTTTATTATTGATAGGCACTTGTTTGTAGCCATTTTTATTTGGACTTAAACATAATGGGAAACCATAAAAATCTTAGAAGAATCCATTGACAGCAAAATATCAGGCATATGTCATAGCAATATACAGTTCCTAAGACATGGAAACTAAGAAGAAAATAAGCAAATGGGACTACATAAAAATAAAAAAACTTCTGCACAGCAAAAGAAACCATCAACAAAACAACAAGAAAGCTCACTACATGGGAGAACATATTTGCCAATGTTATATCCTATAAGGGCCTACTGTCCAAAATTTATAGGGAATTTGTACAACTTAACAAAAGGAGGATAAGCAACCCAATAAAAAAAAAAAAAAAAAAAAGATACTTTTCAAAAGAAGACGTAAGCTTGGGTGGGGCCTGGATGAGGCTGGTGGACCTATTGGGAAATGTCTTTTGTGTGAAGTGTATCATTGGGCATGTGGAGGTATTATTGATATGAGAAAATGCTAAGTAACTGATTTACTATCTGAAAAGGGATTTACTATCGGGGAAAGGGAGGGAGGAATAGACTGGACATAAACTGTGCACCTATGGATGAGGACAATGGGGGATGGGGAGGGGGTGGAGGGTGGGGTGGGAACCTGGTGGAGGGGGGAAGAAATGAGGAAGCTTTGTAATAATATGAACAATAAAGATTGATTAAAAAAAAAAAAAAGAAGAAGACATAAGGAAGGCTAAGAGACATATGAAATAAAGAATCTTAAAAGAAAGAGGGGTGGGAGTGGAGAAGCTGTAGCAATAGTATAGTAAACTGCCGGGAAGAAAAGCAACAGAAACCAAAGTTTAAAACTCATTATCTAGGAAAGAATTGTTCCATTGTGAAGTACTTCTCTAGACTACAAGGGATCCAAAAACATTCAGTTAAGCTCTTTCACAAAGGCCAATACAAAAATATTCCATATCTTAGAATACTGTAATCAATACAGAGGAAATAGACAGCTAATTAAACAATGTGATTTGTGAGATATCAACAAGGCGCCTGTTTAAAAAAAAAAAAAAAAGTTAAATTTTGCCCCAGTTTTTTAGTATCTAAAATCCCACTAAAAGATAAGAGTATTTTGGCTTAAGCTTTGTCTTTTACTCAAATTCCCAAGTACCCATGGAAGGATAACATATTAACCCTTATCAAAGACTTAGATATTACTCTGAATGCATTTACCAGACCTCTTATTGAATCTATATTCAGAAGAAGACAGAGAAAAGGGAAGCAGGAGGTTCTAAGAATCTGAGGAAAAGACACCCAACCAAAAGAGAGGGGAGAAAAAGAGGAGAATCCTCTTTACAGACCCAAGTTTTGATTAAAAGTCTTCTCCCCTGTCTCCCTTTGTTCAGTGTCCATTCTGAAAAGCAGACAGACAAGCAGAGAGGCAGTGGGAAGAAATAAAGGCATCCTCTATTCCAGCAGACATTAATTAAGTAGAAAGGCACCAAATGTGCAGAGCAAACTTAGGGAGCAGGGAGTAAAGGATACAACTGCTCAATGCCTCTGAACACAGAACCTATAACCCTGAGCCTCAGATTCATGAATAAGCAGTCCAATTTGATAGGGATGGTTATAGATGTGTTGGTTGAAAAGCTCAATGTAGCTATGATCTCAACAACAACAAAAACAACTCCTTAGAATTTCAATTTTAAAAGAAGAAAAGAATTTTGGAGCTAGGTTGTGCAAAAATGTGACTCTATTTAACACTACTGAATTGTACTTAAAAATGGTTAAAATACTATATTTTATGTTATGTGTATTTTAACACACACACACAAAAAAAAAATCTTAATGCCTTCTCCATCTGAGGACTTAGGAAGAAAACAGGATAGACTCTTACGCCCTTTGGTGGGGATAAAAAAACAAGTTGTTGGTCAACAAATCCTCACATGGCATTTAAAGAGAGAACTAAAAAGAAACCATTAAAGTTTGGAGGACGTTACTTTTCAGACTCCAGCTGTTCTTTCTTCTGCTTTAAATCTTCTTCTGTTATCCCTCCCAAGTGTTTATAGTTGCTCTCAGCAATTTCCAGGAGGTGTCTCAATTCTACAATTTTCTTATAAGCTCTCACTGCAAGACAGAGTTGCATAGAAACCTAATTTAGACAGGTGCTCGCAGGATGCTCATCCTGGAGCCTAGTCTTCCTCTCAAGCCAGTGTCTGTGTGGTTTGGGGAGGAGGAGGATGGCGGTGGCATACACACAGAAGGATAAATATCAGCAAATAATACTTAGATGAACAAGCAATGATAAACGTAAATGAAGGGTTCTCCTGCTCTTGGAGGATGTATCAGATTGTTATGACACTTAGAACTATGAACAAGGAAGTTCAAAGACTAGCAGTGGTTTAGAGGATAATCTATGATATGACAAAATATATATAAAAAATTGAAATCTGCTGCATTTATTTAAAACAATAACTAGCCCAGCTCCCGAATTTTATGATTAGTTACTTGTAATATCTATGCAAAAGGATACTGAGGGAAGGAAGTGTGTTGAGAGCTGCTTTTAGCTATTCTCTAACTATCGAACCTTCTATCCTGTGTGTCCATTCTGAAAAGCAGATAGACAAGCAGAGAGACAATGGGAAGAAATAAACACTAGGCATCCTCCATTCTATTATAGCAGACATTACCTGGGGTGATTTTCTCCCTTAAGGACATATAATATCATCTGCATACATTGTTGCTTATGAACTTGATGGGTGGAGAGGAATAGGTTACTAGCATCTACAGGCTCAGGTCTCTTCTCAAATGTCACTCCCTTAGAGGCTCTGATGGCTCTTATCTATAGCACCACCCTACTTTATTTTCTTTATGTATCTATTTTCTTATTATCTGTCACCACCACATCACCAGAATGTAAATTCTGGGTGATGCTGGGGATGTTATATTGTTCACTGTTTCTCCAATAACTACAACAGTATCTGGCACATTGTAAACAACAAATATTTGCTGCTATTATTATTTGTAAAAATCATTTGCCAACTAACCATGGAAATCCTTGGGATGTCTCTTCCTATTTCCTATGATCCACTTAAATAATGTTTCCTCTTATATAACATTTTCCTCTTTGAGGGAAAGAGATCATATCTTACATTTTTTATATGTTCAACAACACCTAGTACCAAAATTATAGTTCTGGTTCCCCCCCAAAATGAAAGTATTTTACTTTATAGATAATAGCTATCTTTAGGATAATTTTAAAATTTGTAGAAAAGACAATGGCTATGGCATTTCTTAAAGAACAAATCACAAGAGAGTTGGCACACTTACTTCTGGCATCTGTTCTATCCGACTCATTAAGATATAAATCATTTTTAGCATCAGTGCTTCCCTCAACACCATGTCTTATAAAACACTTCATATCATCTTCATCAATTTCATAATCATCTATATCATATTTCTGTTGCCCCTCTAATAGCTTTACTGCTGCTAAATGGGCAAACCTGTAGAAAAGAATCAACAATGAACAAGAACCACAATTTTCAAACTGGAACTACAGTTTGAACTTAATTTAAGTAATTACACTTTGTACATTATGCCACCAACCCACCCATTCAGTAAAGGAGCAAAACTGTATCTGAATATCAGTGCCAATTTGATATACTATATCCAGCTAGTAATACATGGGAAACTGTTATTCGACACTAAGGACAGGAGATGATTAAAGACAGATTCCATCATTTTTATTGGCAAAAACCCAACTGAAAGAGGAGACCCAAGATAATTGCTGAATTGAACAGAAAGTTCAAAACAACCCTATTTGATCACCTGCATTTACTACCTTTTTCTGATGGCCTAATTTAGACTGTAGAATTAGTTATGGTTCCAAATTTAGGGCTAACTATAGCTCTAGCATCCTTATTCTCCCCCCGCCCCTTATTCTTGATTCTTCTCCAAAGCACTTGACATGGCTTTGAAGTTTAATAGAAAAATAATGACTTTCCATCCATATTTTCTTTGCTATTTCCTACATCTCTGACGCTTCCAATAATATACCTTTGATTTTGGAGTTGTTATAATTGCATTGGCCTTCATTGGAGCGTGTTGGTCTGATCCCACCTGTGCACAAATTCATGCATTGGGCCTCTAGTCACTAATATTTAGTGAGGCCAGGTCCATGAATGCTTAAATGCAAAATGTTCTAGAGGACTCAGAATAGTGGTGAATAACATAGAATCATCTCATTCAAATGCTGGCACCTCTTGAGAAATATTGTATGATAGAGCTAATCAAAAGAAGTTTCATGGGTTTTGAAACAAATTTTGGTCTCAGGTCCTCAAGGAATGTTTAGTCCATTTTTTAATTTTGTTGTGAGCTGTTTTGTTTTTTTATTTGTTTGGGGTTTTTTGTTTGTTTTTTGCTTGTTTGTTTGTTTTTTATTTGTTAGTTTGTTTTTGTTGTTAATCCTTACCAAAAAATATTTTTCTCCATTGATTGTTTTAGAGAGTGGAAGGGATGGGGAAAAACAAAGAGAGAGAAACATTGATGTGAGAGAGGCACATCGATTGGTTGTCTCCCAGATGTGCCCCAACCAGGACCAGAGATTGAGCCTGCAACTGAGGTACGAGGTACGTGCCCTTGACCAGAATTGCACCCACAACCCTTCAATTCATGGGCCAATGCTCTAGCCACTGAGAAAACCAGCTAGGGCTGTTTTTTTTTTCCAACTTTATTATACTTATCATGTTCCAAATGGTATGGTTAGTGTTAGTATTACAAAGATGAAAAAACACAGTTCTTGCCCTTAAAGGAGCTTAGCATCTTGTGGAGTGATAAATTAAAATTACTGTATTAATAATTATTAATTATTATATGTAAACCTAATTATTGTTAATTATAATAATTATATTATGTTACTAGAGGCCCAGTGTATGGATTTGTGCACATTGAAAGGAAATTAATTAGAAGGTAGCCAGAAGGGCGGGGTTGGGCAAGATGGGCCAGACACACCCTGGAGCCAACCTTCTGCAGTCCCTCCCAGGCTTCCTGCACCTGGGACAGTTACTGGGGCTCAAAGGGCATCTGCGGAGTGAGCAGAGTCCCTCCAGCAGGTGGGGTCTCTTGGTCTGGCCTGAGGGGATTGGGCCAAAACTGGCAGTCCATCATCCCCTGAGGGATGCAAGAGGGCACTTTGCAAAGCTGCTATTGCTCGGCAGCTCCTGCATTGAACATCTGCCCCTGATGGTCATTGTGCATCATAGCTACTGACTGGTTGGCTGGCCACTTAGGCTTTTATATATTATAATACTAGTGGCCTGGTGCATGAAATTTGTGCACATTAAAAGGGAATTAATTAGAAATATTTTAATATTGCTATTTGCCCTTTCTCTATAATAGAAGTGTCAAAGATGAAAGAAAATTTGTAAAATGTATATGAAAACCTTCCTCCTGTTAGTGTCTGGGGTGCGCAGCAACACCCAGAGTCAAGTCCCCGCCCACCTTCCCAGTGCACATCATAGTGACTGGACATTCCGGTCATTCCAATGTTTTGGTCTCTTAGCTTTTATATATTATATATAAATGGTTGCTAGTCATTGTGACAAACCCAAATTTCCAAAAGCTCCTCCTACTGGAAAGGGGACAATACTACCTCCCAGTTGAGAATCACTGCTTTTGAGAAAAGAGTTGATGTACTGTCAAATGTCTATTCAGCCTGAATATTGTCATTCTATCAGCATTTAAAATGCCATTTAAGTATAACAGAGTATATGCAAAACTTTAAAAACAAAATCAAGGAAAAAAAGTAAAGTAGATAGGAATACCTCTTAGCCACATCACTGGGTTTCTCCCCTGCTTTGTTGGTAATATTACTGTCTGCTCCCATTTTAATTATCCACTGCAAACATTCTATGTGACCTTGTCCAGCAGCTGTAAAAACAAACAGAAAATACACAAAAAGTTGTTATTAGTAATTTTAAACACCATTAGAGAGTACTTTTATAAATACTGATACTTCCAATAACCTATAAATTGAACAGATGTAATTTTCACCATTTCAATTATTCATTCATCAGACAAGCATGTAATCAAATATACACTGTGCTCATCACCTATTCAGAGAACTTTACATACAGATATAAAAGTTGAGGTTCAAAGAAGTTATTTCTTTAACATCACACAGTTAATAAGTAATGGATTTAAAACTATAATCTAGTTTTTTTTATAATCCTTATTGAGTGTTTGCTGATATTTATAGCTCCTGACCAATCTTATATCACACCTTATATCACAAAACTTAATCCTCTGAACCTCATAACTCAAAATTTATAGGTCCCCAATTACCTAAACTGTTTACACCTTTTTCTAAATCTTGTCCTTAAGATACTTGAACTCAATATTAATTTTCACCTCCATAACGCTGCAACTGTGTCACCCAACTCTATGCTTATCTGACTTCTACCCATTCTTCAAAGTCTATCTCAAGATTCAGGGAAACTGGGATGGGGGACTTAATAGACTTAAAAGCACTGAATTTAGGTCTATTAAACAATGAGACTGAAGGACAGAATAGAATTTAGCAAGTGGCTGGCACATATAGACCTGCAACAAATGTCTATAGAGTTGATGAGTGAATGAATAAAGAAAAAAAGTAAATGAAATCTAAGCTCTGCTCTTACCAACTGTGTAACTCAGTCAAAAAACCTGGGTTCTCTGAACCTCAATTTCCTCATTTTTTACACAGATAATTTCATATTTATAAAGTAGTAGTAATTTACATTGCTGATTCATAAAATTATAATAAGGTTGTATCCCTGGTAAGGGCACATATAAGAATCAACTGATGGCTGAGACCTGTTTGGCTCAATGGATAGAGCGTCGGCTTGGGGACTGAAGGGTCCCGGGTTCGATTCCGGTCAAGGGCATGTACCTTGGTTGCGGGTATATCCCCAGTAGGAGGTGTGCAAGAGGCAGCTGATCGATGACTCTCTCTCATCGATGTTTCTAACTATCTCTCTCCCTTCCTCTCTGTACAAAATCAATAAAATATATTTTTAAAAAAAGAATCAACTGATGAATGTATAAACAAGTGAAACAACAAATTGATGTTTCCTTTCTCTCTTTTTCTCTTTCTCAAATCAATTAAAACATTTTTTTTAATTTTTTAAAATATTTTTATTGATTTTGTACAGAGAGGAAGTGAGAGAGATAGTTAGAAACATCGATGAGAGAGAGTCATCGATCAGCTGCCTCTTGCACACCCCTACTGGGGATATGCCCGCAACCAAGGTACATGCCCTTGACCGGAATCGAACCCGGGTCCCTTCAGTTCCCAAGCCAACGCTCTACCACTGAGCCAAACTGGGCTCGGCCAATTAAAACATTTTAATTAAAATAAACAAAATAAAATAAAATAAAAATTAAGCACTCTGCCATGCATTTTCATGTTTCTGATGGGTAATTATTATAAAAGGTAAATAATTCAACAACAATTGTGTCAGAATTGAAAATTAAACAAGAATCATAACTCACCTTTATGCATAGGAGTTGATCCATTATTATCACGTTCATTAATATTGATTACTCCATCTTCTATTAATTTCTTAAGCATTTCCAAATCACCATTAAAGGCAGCCACGTGACCTGGAAATGCTAAACCTATGAATAAAAAATTCAGCATTTCAGTAAACACATGAGTTCATTCTTTTTTCCTGCCTTAAGTGATTGCAAATTTTAGATTTCAATATTAACTGAAGTATGAGAATGTTATATTGGAATTAGTTCTTTTAACAATAAAGTTATAAAAAGAGAACCACAAAATAAGATTATTATTAACTGAGTAGGCTTTTCACCCCTCAGGACGTCAAACATGCTAGGAGATATCAGAACTATTCTTATTATCAGAACTATTATATCAGAACTATTCTTAGTCATATTCCTTTTTACCACAGAACACAAAGAGATAGTCATTTTTGACCCTTTGAATGGGTCAAAACCCCAAAATACAAAGAGATAGTCATTTTTGACCCTTTGAATAAGACATACTTGGCTCAACTTCTACATTAGCATAAACCACCCTTTCCCTCTGTTTGTAAGGAAGTGAAAAAAGTAAACGGTAAGCAAATAAAGTACAGGTATATACACATATACCTATATATATGTTTATATACAAAAAAATACATATATATATATATATACATACACACACATACACACACACATACATGTGTGGATGTACCTGATCTATTATACTAGTGCCTACCATGTCTATATATAAAAAGCCAGGCTCGTAACATCCAAAATGACTGAAGGCTCGACCAAACGCCAGGCTGCGCACACAGCAGGCGAGCAGGCTTAATTGCAATCAGGCAGGCAGACAGGCATGGGTCCCAGATTGGACAGAGTATAGGCGCTGGGCTGAGGAACCCCCGCCACAATGCATGAATTTCATGCACCCAGCCTCTAGTCTATATATATAAAAGCCTAAACGACCATTACAACTGAAGGACCAGAACAAGTGGAACAACCGGATAGTAGCTATGACACACACTAACCCAGACTTTGCTGCTGAGGCCCTGACAGCCCAAAATCTGATTCATCCGCATCCTGGACCCAGACAGGAGGAAAGAGGGAGCCCAATTCCTCGCAGAATCAGCAGTGCCTTAGCTTGCTGCTGGAGCCCTGACAGCCCCAAATCTGGTTCACCTGCACCCCGGGCCCAGACACGAGGGATGAGGGAGTCCGATTCCTCACGGAATCAGCCATTAGTTAGCTTGCTGCTGGCGCCCTGACCTGGGTGCCAGAGGGACTTTTTAATGTTATGCTCCAATCCTATGTATTTAACAAACAGCCCAGGTCCTGGGTAACAGAGGGAAGCCAGTGCTGGCAGCCAAGGAAAGGAAGACCTACTCTTGCATAAATGTTCATGCATTGGGCCTCTAATCTATACTAATAAAAAGGGTAATATGCTAATTAGACCGGGAGACCTTCTGAGAGATCTTCCTGATATCCTTCCAGAAAAAGCCATGGTGGTGGGGCTGAGGCAGAGGCAGTTAGGAGAGATTAGACCAGAAGAGGAGGGCAGTTGGGGTGATCAGGTCGGCAGGGGGAGCAGTTGGGAGTGAGCCCTGCATCCTGGACCCAGATAGGAGGGAAGAGGGGAGGAGGAAGCCCAATTCCTTGAGGAATCGGCCATTGGTTAGCTTGCTGCTGGGGCCAACCTCCCATGGTCCACCCCCACCCCCCAGGCATGCCGGCCCCCTCAATCAGCCCCAATCACAGATTAGCCCAAGGGACCCCACCCATGCATGAATTCATGCACTGGGCCTCCAGTAGCAAATACTTGATTAAAAAAATTTTAATAACTACTACATATATTGAGCCCTTGCTGAATGCCAGACACAGTTGTAAGCACTTTCAAGGATTGCCTCATTTAAGCCTTTTAGCAACAGTCACCAAGACAGGGTAGTACTGGCAAATAAACAGATATATTAGTATGATAGATAGAATTTTGTAGTTCATTTTATATATATATAAAATTCAAAATTATTAATTTTAAAAAATCAAACTAATCTATATCAGCAATTTTCAACTGATGTGCTGCAAGAATTATTAGAAGATGCAATACCTGACTATTTAGTCAGGGGCACTGACCTCTTTTCCCTTAGACTGTCAAATTTTTTAAAATGACAACAACCAACACAATAATAGCTATCCAATGAATGAATCAAAATTATACCTATATTCTTTGTCAGATGTTTCTCTCTCACATCGATATATTTTTTCTCTTCTTCCCTCCTTGTCTCTCTCTCTCTCCCTTCTCCTTTCTTCTCTCTAAAATCAATAAGCAGCCGGCCAGAGTGGCTCAGTTGAACATGGTCCTGTGCACTGAAGGGCTGTTGGTTCAATTCCAAGTCAGGATATGTTCATAAAGCAACCCATCAGTTTCTTGCATTGATGCTTCTCTCTTAGCATGTCCTCCAGTGAGGATTTAAAAAACAAAACTAGGATACATCTATCAACCTAATCTAAAAAATGTCATAGAAGTTAAGTCACAAAAGAATACATACCCTTTTATGCCATTTTTATAAAGTGGTTTTTTTTAATATACTTTATTGATTTTTTACAGAGAGGAATAGAGAGTTAGAAACATCGATGAAAGAGAATCATCAATCAGCCGAGACCGGTTTGGCTCAATGGATAGAGCGTCGGCTTGGGGACTGAAGGGACCCGGGTTCGATTCCGGTCAAGGGCATGTACCTTGGTTGTGGGCATATCCCCATTAGGGGGTGTGCAAGAGGCAGCTGATCGATGACTCTCTCTCATCGATGTTTCTAGCTCTCTATCTCTCTCCCTTCCTCTCTGTACAAAATCAATAAAATATATTTAAAAAAAAAAGAGAATCATCAATCAGCTGCGTCCTGCACACCCCTTACTGGGGATGTGCCCGCAACCAAGGTACATGCCCTTGACCGGAATCAAACCCGGGACCTTTCAGTCCGCAGGCTGACGCTCTAGCCACTGAGCCAAACCGGTTTTGGCCATTTTTATAAAGTTTTAAAAGAAGTTTGAAAGACTGCTAGTTGTCTACTAAAATCCCTCTCCATCATTAGAAAGCAAACTACAGCTGAGATGATGCTTCTCATCTAGGTGGCAAAATCACCAGGCTCCTAGTTATACTAGTATATGGCCAGGTAACTAAACCCTTGCCAATGGAAAGTTAGCAAAAGTGATGAGTTCAAATTAGACTTTGAAAATCTCTATTTCTTGGCATATACTCTTTTCCCTCCCCATCTCCAGATGGATTAGCAACAACTATTTTATTCTTAAATCCAATGTTATGAAGATTGCTCATTATATTAATCTCTGTACATTTCTGCCTAAAATATTCCTCAATAAACATAAGAAACTGTATAAATATATGGACAATGAATGCAACATATTTTAATATTTAACTTACAACTTTTTTCTTTTCCTTTTCCATTTATTCTACATATTAAATGCTAAAACAATTCAGGTTTATTACTTACTTTCCTGTTCTTTTGGATCATTTCTTTCATACTCAGCCCCCTGGATAAACTGTAAAATATTCTGCTTATAGAACCTCTGGGCCAGGTCCAGCACATTTTCTCCATTGTCATTGAAGGCTTTTAAAGCTTGTGTTGCATTGTTCATTCTACTGAGTAGAAATTTAAAACAGTGAAGGTGGCCTTCCATGGCTGCTAAGTGAACTATAGGTGAGAGAGAAAAAAGAATTTCATTTTTAAATTGGCAATAAAATAGTCATAAAAAATAAATGATACATTGTCTCTAATCCTCACAGGGACATACTCTGAACAAGAGAATATATCTTTTTCCAGCCTATATGTCCTTACTCGTCCTTCTAGTCATGCCAAAGCAATACTTATTATGAGTGTGGAGAGACCAGAGGAGGGTCACCAAAGAGCAGGCCCCAGAGTGTTTTCTTGGAAAGTGAAATCCCAGTTATGCAGCTTATCGTTACATGAGAAAATGCTTGTTATGTAAGACAGATAAATGATAGACAAAATTCTTAAATATTTTGCAAAAAAAAGGGAAATAAGCCAAAATAGTAACTATGCAAATATGACTGATGTTATTTTTATCACTATGTATTTTGTCACTTTTCCATAAACATTAACTAGTAGCCCATTGCGTGCTATTACGCACATTAGGCCAACCACCGCTTCCACCAGCAGCCGTGCTGCTTCCACTGGAGCTGTCCCTGCTGAAGAAGACATATCCAAAAAAATATCTCTAAGCTCAATATCAAAGTTTACTGCCTGTTTTCTACTAGGTATTAGGACCTATATTTAAGACTTTAATCAACTAATAACAAACTATCAGAGAAATTAAGAAAACAATCCCACTTACAATTGCATCAAATGGAATAAAATACCTAGGAATAAATTTAACCAGGAAGGTAAAATACCTGTATTCTGAAAACTGTTAAGACTTTTTTGAAGGAAACTGAAGACAACACAAATTAATACCATGGGACAGGGACTGGAAAGGTTAATATCATTAAATTTTCTATATTACCCAAAGTAATCTACAAACTCAATGTAATCTCTATCAAAATACCAATGGCATTTTTCACATACTTACAACAAATAATCCTAAAATTTATATTAAACCACAAAAGACCTCAAATAACCCAAGCAATATTGAGAAAGAACAAAGTTAGAGGTATAATGCTCCTTGATGTCAAACTATACTACAAAGCCATAGACATCAAAACAGTATAGTACTGGCACAAAAAAGACAAAGATCAACAGAACAGAAGAGACAAATAAACCCACACTTACGTGGTCAATTAATCTATGACAAAGAAGACAAGAATATACAAGAGGAAAAGGACAATCTCTTCAATAAATATTGTTGGTAAAACTGGACATATACATGCAAAACATGAAACTGGACTGTTACACCATATACACAAATAAATTTATTTTTTAAACTTTATTCAAAAATTATTTTAAAAAAGAATGATAGCAAATAATCATTTATAGAAACACAAAAACTGAAAAATTGTATACAACAGACCTTCACTAAATGAACATTAAAGGATATACTTCAGCCAGATCAGTGTGGATCAGTAATTGAGTGTCGACCTAAGAACCAGGAAGCCATGGTTCAATTCCTGGTCAGAGCACACGCCTAGGTTGCGGGCTTGATCACTAGTACGTGGTGAGCCGGAGGCAACCGAGCAATAATTCTATCTCATCATGGATGTTTCTACCTCTCTCTCCCTTCCCTTTCTCTATCTGAAATCAATAAAAAAAAAAAAATTTGTTTTTGAAGAAAGAAGCAAAATGATTACACATAGCAGTGTAAAGGGGTGGAGATGAGGCCAGGAAGGTAGATAGGTAAGAGCCAAATAATGAAGACCCAGCATGCCAAGGTAAGGAATCAAAGCTCTGCAGGGAACTAGGGGATTTTAAGCAGTAAAGAGATTGAATCAATCCTGCTCATACAATTCTGCATAGACTTCCCATTCATTTGTTTGCTAAAAATTTCTTTAAGACATAATTCAAGTGTCATTTTAGTAACTTCACTCGTCTCACTGTAACCTACCCCTCTAAAGAATTTCTACAGCAGTTCTTAGAAGAAGACACAGTACCCTAGCAGCCTGCGGACTGAAGGATCCTGGGTTTGGTTCCCATTAAGGGCACATGCCTGTGGCTGACTCGATCCCCAGTAGAGGGCGTGCAGGAGGCAGCCAATCAATGATTCTCTCTCATCATTGATGTTTCTATCTCTTTCTCTGCCTCTTCCTCTCTGAAATCAATAAAAATATATTTTTTTTTAAAAAGAAGATACAGTATTTAAAGTATATATCTCACCTGGCCAGTTGATTAACTCATATACACTAGTGTCCACTATTATACTTTTTAAAAAGTAGTCTGTCGAAACCCTGGCCGGGTAGCTCAGTGGGTTAGAGCATTGTCCCAGACTGCCAGGGTTGTGGGGTCAACCTCAGGTCAGAGTATATAAAGAAGCAACCAATGATTGCATAAATAAGTGGAACAACAAATTAATGTTTCTCTTTCTCTCTCTAAAAATCAATAAACACATTTAAAAAATAACCTAACTGGTTTAGCTCAGTGGATAGAGCATCGGCCTGTGGACTGAAAGGCCCCAGGTTCAATTCCGGTCAAGGGCATGTACATTGGTTGGGGGCACATCCCCAGTAGGTGTGCAGGACGCAGCTGATGGATGTTTCTCTCTCATCGATGTTTCTAACTCTATCCTTTTCCCTTCCTCCCTGTAAAATCAATAAAGTATATTTAAAAATTAAAAATAAAGTAGTCTGTGGAACAGAGATGTATAAAGCTAAAAAAAAAATAATAATAACTCTAGGCAGTAAACGAAGGAAACTACTAGCTAGAAGAGAAAATCCAAGTTTAATTTTGCCAATTTCTCTTTTGCTGGTATAGTTCCAGAAAAAGAAATCGGTCGCATGACAGGCATACAATATAGGAATAATATAAGATTTAAAAAATGTTCATATTAACATATTTACTACTTACATTTTGTGAAGGACTATTAGCATGATGACAGTTTAACTTAAAACATGATCAACATTTTAAAAGCTTACATTAATGAAAATTCAAAATATTTGCTTTTGTGGATACCTGGAAGGTTTCCATTGTAGTCCACATCTTCTATGCCACATCCCCACTTAACTAGAAGTTGCAAACAGCCAAGTCGTCCATGAAAAGATGCATAATGTACAGGTTTCCATTCTCTCACATCAGTTATGCTGGGATCCTAGAGGTAACATTCACAAGGACTAAGTTTCTTTCCATTTTTTAGGGGAAACACTAGTATAGCAGTTTAACTCAACAATTAAGAACTGGAGGTTGTTCTTAAAACTATAAGGCAAACACTAAATATAAAAAAAAAAATGTACTGAAACCACTGATTTGAACACAACCGCTGCCACGGAGGCTTGCAGATCAGACCCTGCTTCTCTCTCTGGGCCTCTCTCTGGGACTGATCTACAGCCTCCTCAGCAGTCAGTGCAGGATTGCTGTGCTTGTAGGACTGACTTCCAGTGTTTGTCCGTTTGTCCAGTGTGTGTTTGGTCGTTTTGGACATTATGGACTCTGACTCTATAAATATAAATATAAATATGAATATAAATATAAATATAAAAATATATAAATATAAATATAAAATATAAATATATTTGCTTAATTATCTGCTTTCTAATTTAGCTAAACTTTTTCCAGCCCAGTGAAGCACCCAACTTTTCTTTCAGGTAATTATCAGCAACACAGCAGTAAATATCAACATGAAGTAGATTATTATTGTAGATCATGCAGGGAGAACAAAGGGTAAAATATTTAACTGCAGCAGTGTTTGATTATATTCTGTGCAGTAAGAAAACCTGAAGTCATTTTCAAGATCCACCATTTCTTACTTTTTTTCAGTTGGGTCAAGTTTCTAAGCTTTCTCCTATTTCCAGCTAATAAAAAGAAAATAGGGCATGAGTGGGAAAACCGGGGAAGGGGGGCAGTGGGAGATAAGGACACATATATAATACTTTAATAAAGAAAAAGAAAAACAATGGGATGGCACTGAGTCTCCTATTTACCTACTTTAGGACCTCTGTGAGGGTCAAATGAGATGCAGCAAGGGAAAACGCTTCACAGTCATTTTGTTAAAGTATAAAATGTTTCCACCTGGCTATAAAGCAAGTCATGTTCCTAGGCTAAAGAAACTGTAAGAAGTCTAGTTGCTAGAGAGAGAAAGCCAGGCATTGCTATGTGAAGTCATTACTAGGACAAACACTTAGCATATTAGCCTTTTATATATATTATAATACTAAAAAAGGCTAAGTGACCAACCATCCATCCATCCGTCCAACTGGCCAACTGGCTGACTGACCAGCTGGTATATATAACACACACTGGCAATTCAAAAATAAATGTTGACTCACACATGCACAATATTTGTCCCCTTCTGACACTGGCCTCCCATTTAAATTAATTCAAGGACAGTTTCTTGTAATGCCAGCATTTGCGATGACTATTAATAAATCACAAGGCCAAACTCTAGTAATGTCTTTGTTGTTGTTATATCATGTTGTTATGTTTATTTAGTAATAATTTATTAATGTATTTTCATATACATTTTACTAATTTTCTTTCATCTCTGACACTTCTATTGTAGAGCAAGGGCAAATAGCAATATTAAAATATTTCTTCTAATTAATTTCATTTCAATGTGCACAAATCTGTGCACCAGGCCAGTAGTATGAAATAAGAGTTTTACACAGAAATTCAGAAAAACTTACAATCATTGGTTAACCTATGTTTAGAAGCTTCAGAATCTTCCCAGTTAAACTTTGAGCTGATATGAAGAACCCTATAGCCTCTGAAATAGTTTATACTGGGTGTTTTGGGGTTTTCTGAAGACTTATCTAAATTATTACTCCTATTCCTAAAGATGGGAAAACTAAAGAGAGAGATCAAATGACTTCCCTAAAGTCATAAAGGATATTTTAAAAGTCAGGAAGAACTAACGAGGCTACCAAATGTTATTTCATTTATATGGTTATACTTCCTCACATACTAATAGGAATCCCTCACCACTCCACTCCGGAGCATTATTTGCAAAGTGAAAGAATGTCCATGTGTTGCAGCAAGATGTAAAGGAGTGCAACCACGATCATCTTTAGTTGTCAAATTTGCTCCATTGATTATGAGAGCCTAAAAACAGAGAAATAGGAATGAGTTTATCTTAAATCATAAATGTAGTTGCAGATTATTTAAAGTCAAGCAATTTATTAACCTAGCTAAATTGCTATGTTCTTACATATGTGCCACAGACAAAGTGTGAGAAGTTCTTAGCTAATCCAAATAAAATGTTTGGGATCCTTTTTAACACTGCCCAGGAGATATTTATAATACCCAATTTCACAATCTGATTTGAGCATGGACATACAATTTATAAAGCACAATTTTCATGAGCACTGATTCATAACCACTAAATTAAATATTTTAATGTTAATTTAATAAAACTGAAATTTAAACTTCTACTATTTCAAAACAGAATCTTTTATTAACTTGGTTTTGGGGAGAATAAAAGGATTTCATTATTAAAGTAACTAGTTCTAAGCTCCAAAGCAAACTTCTAACTACATCTGAGAAGATTCTATCTGAATTTACAATTGGCCCAGTTTCTGTATATGAGTTACATCATATACAAGAACATATCCCTATGTAATGTACAGAGTAATTGCTTTAAAAAATTATTAGTGTCCTAGCTGGCTTGGCTCAGTGACTAGAGTGTTGGGCTTATACACTGAAGATTCCCAGGTTCAATTCCAGTCAAGGGCACATGCTTGGATTGTGAACTTGATCCCAATCCAGTAGGAGGCATGCAGGAAGCAGCCTATCAATGATTTGCTCTCATCATTGATGTTTTCTATCTTTCTCTCCCTCTATGAAATCAATAAAAATGTATTTTTAAAGAGTTTTAGAAAGAATAACCTCCTTGATTTTGTCTGATTCATATTAACAGGTTAGTTAATAATCATCACAAACGATATATTGAGTTCTTACTATATTTAAAAAGTCACTACACAAAGAATATAAAGACTTATTAAGATAGGAAATTAGGGCTTATGGAGAGACAAAGATAATCAACTATACAAAGCTGTCTTTGATAAGCAAGCACAAACAGTATAGTACAAAAAAGGCATTCACACTAGCTCTGAGAAGGAAGAGGTCACTTTGAGGGGGGGAAAAAAGGACAATCAAGGCACAGGGAATGGCTTGAACTATTGCTCAGAAGGAAAGTATCAAGTAAAGCTTTATTGGAACCTGATAACTCCTAAAGTTACTATTTTCACTTCCTACTTCTCAAATAAATATCTCAATTCCAAATCTACTTGCAAAATGTGTCACCCCCAACCATTGCAGAGAAATACAGCCAGCATCACTATACAGTGAGCTCTTAAGTTCAGTGGCATTTCCTTAAGCTTTATTCCCCTTACTTTTATCTTGTAACTGATACTCTGCCTAATTCTTAAACTTCTTCCCTCACTTGCACAGCCCTAATGGATCCTGGTTCCACCTCTCAGACTTCCTCCTCCCAATTCCTTACTCTTTTCTCTGTTTCCTCCCATGCCTATTAGTAACATTCTTCAACACTTGAAGAATTCTTCTCTATAATTTATTAGTATTCCTCAAATCTTTGTCTCCAGCCTCCTTTAAATTGCCTGCACCTTCTGCACCTGAATGACCTACAGGCACCTTAAACTCGAAATGTGCCAATTTAAACTCAACCTCTTTCCTCTCGAATCTCCCAGCCTTTCATATATCTCTATCTATAGTTTCATAATTAGCTGTAATTCTGACTCAAAACTTTAAATTCTCTCTATACTGTGTCAATGACTACTTTGGAATATGTCTTGAATCACTTTCTTTCCCACTGCCACCACCTAATTTCACCCTCTATGTGAGTACACCAAAAATCTCTAATTGGTCTTCTTGCTTCCTTCTTGCTGGTGTGTATTTTACTCTTCATCCTAGGTAATCCTGAATACATTTCACAAGAATAATTTCCTGAAATATTGCTTTCATTACATCATTCCATGTGCATTTGTACATATTTCCATGTGCATTTGTACATGTGTATATATATACATTAGAGGCCCGTTGCACAAAATTCATGCATGGGGAGAGGGGGAGTCCCTCAGCCCATCCTGCACCCTCTCCAAACCGGGACCCTTTAGGGGATGTCCAACTGCCAGTTTAGGTCCAATCCCAGGCAACCCTCTCACAATCTTAGACCACTGGCTCCTATTCACTCAACTGCCTGCCTGGCTGGTCACCCCTAACTGTCCCCTGCCCCCACTAGCCTGATCGTCCCTCACTGCCTCTGTGTGCAGGTCTGATTGCTCCTAAATGCCCCCCTACCAGTCTGGTCACCCCTAATTGCCCCCCCGCCAACCTGGTCACCCCTACCTGCCCCCCCTGCTGGCCTGGTCACTTCCAACTGCCCCCCCCCGCTGGCCTAGTTGCCCCCAACTTCCCCCTAGCCAGCCTGGTCACTCCATACAGCCTGCTTGTTTAGTCGTTTGGTCATCCCTCACTAATCCCACTGCTGGCCTGGTTGTAAGCAGCCATCTTGTGAGGGCATGAGAGTCAATTTGCATATTACCTCTTTATTGTTTAGGAGGATGTAGTATGTGCATAAAACCTCTTACTTATATAAATGAAAGTAAAATCTCTATTCTAATTTTCATTTTACAAACTAGCTTATCTAAACTGTAACAGTCCACAGAACAAATCATCTACACTCAGTCAAACTTATATTATAGTATATCCCCTGAACAAATCTTATTTTTCCAATTCAGGGACTTCACATAGAATTACAGCATAGAGATTAAGAGGACAAAGTAGCCGAAACCGGTTTGGCTCAGTGGATAGAGCATCGGCCTACAGACTGAAGGGTCCCAGGTTCAATTCCGGTCAAGGGCATGTACCTTGGTTGCGGGCATGTCCCCAGTAGGGGGTGTGCAAGAGGCAGCTGATTGATGTTTCTCTATCATCGATGTTTTTAACTCTCTATCCCTCTCTCTTCCTCTCTGTAAAAAATCAATAAAATATATATTTTTTTTAAAAAAAGAAGAAGACAAAGTATAGGTTCAAATCCTTGCTTTGTCACTTATTTAGCAAAGTACTTAACTCTCTGAATCATTTTCCTAATCTATAAAAAGTGGATCATTAGACTGTTGTATTAAATGAGGTGATGCATGGGAGACTAATTTCACATATTAAAAATGTTCAATAAATGATCATTATTTTTATTTGCTCCTGACATATTCCCTACCAATAATGCTTCTTTACTACTGACCTTTTAAAATCAACCCATTCTTTTAGGCTTAGCTAAAATTGTATTTCCTCCAGTTATGCTTTATCTATCTCCAGCTAAGTTCTATAATTCTTCTCATCTGTATTTTTTATTAAAACCTTAATCGTAAAATGTGCTTTTATTGCTTTGTGATGCACTGAGCAGAGCTCTTGTCACTCCGAACAGAATCTCAGGCTGGGACTCATATACACATAAAGAAGCAACCAATGATTGCATAAATAAGCAACCTGGCTCCCTTTTTGCTTATGTGATGTTGTATTTCTCCATAATCTAGTCTATTGTACTCTAATAAATTAGATCCTGTCACATATTAATGTGCTATTCTGGCTAGGAAACACATTAAATAAGGAATTTTAGGCATGGAAAGCTATAAACGAGGTAATCTGTGGATGAATGTGACATCCTTTAAAACAATCTACACAGATAATCAACTACTTTGAAGATAAAAGGGTTTCTTCTCATATATCTTTTGCTTAAGTGGATAGTTGATACCAAAATATCTAAGACATGGAGTCCTACTGGGGATGTACCCACAACCAAGGTACATGCCCTTGACCGGAATCGAACCTGGGACCCTTCAGTCTGCAGGCCAACACTCTATCCACTGAGGCAAAACGGTTAGGGCCAATAAATTCTTATTTAAAAGTAAATCTATATTATCAAATTATTAGAATAAAAGCAACAGCTTAACAGAACTATGCTAAAGTAAACTTATTGAATTTTTAAAAAGTAAACAAAATTATTACCTGCATACAAGCATCTTGACCCCTGATTGCAGCTATGTGAGCTGCTGTCCAGCCTCTCATAGTTGCTTGTGTAATATCCGCTCCGTGCCAGAGGAGCCAATGAAGACACTAAGAAAACAACCATGTTAATAAGTGATAAGAAAGATGTTTTAAACATTTTTATATCATTTAAATTTAGTCTGTCATCAAGAAATACTGTAACCGAGAAATATCATAAATGAATGAGGGAGCCAGGTATAAGCACAAGCACAATAACAGGATATCAACATCAGACCTTACTGTTGGGTAAACAATAGCAGTAGGAACTGTGACAAACTGGAGATGCCATTCCTTGTCAATAAGGTACAGACGCCACTCAATTCCAGCCAGTATTGCTGTGACTAAAATGCTGATCCAAAACTTATGTTTGACCAGTACTATACAAGCCAAACAAAAAGCATATCTGTGAACCAAATTCACTTAAGGACTATTAGTTTGCAACCTCTGCCATATATTTTATTTTTTGGTTTGTAGTATTTTTTCCATAGATTTTGAATGGGTCAAGAAACTTCTGTGTTAAGGCAAACTTTGTTATCCTGATGACATTCTCTAAAAATAGGTTTATATAAAAAGGGGGGTGGTGGGAATCAAAGGCATCTTCTTTTAAGATTTGTAAAAATTACCCTAACACTCATTATAATAATTAGAGCTCTGTACCACATATAGCATTAGTGTCATTATATGTTCATGTTTATAGACTCTGCCTTCAAGAAGTTTCTTTTTTATTTATTTTTAATTTAATAAATCTTTATTGTTCATATTATTACAATTGTTTCCTTCCTCCCCCCCCCACCCCCAGCTCCTCTCCACCCGATCCCCACCCGACCCTCTGCCCTTACCTCCCCCCACACTGTCCTCATCCATAGGTATATGATTTTTGTCTAGTCTCCCCCCATACCCCCCACACAGAAACCCTTCCCCCTGAGAACTATCAATCCATTCCCATTCTATGTCCCTGATTCTATTATATTCATCAGTTTATTCTGTTCCTCAGATTTTTAATTCACTTGATTTTTAGATTAACCTGTTGATATATATATATTGGTTGATCATAATTTTTATCTTTTTTCTTCTTCCTCTTTTTAAAGAATACCTTTCAGCATTTCATATAATACTGATTTGGTGGTGATGAACTCCTTTAGCTTTTTTTTTTTAAAGTATATTTTATTGATTTTTTACAGAGAGGAAGGGAGAGAGATAGAGAGCTAGAAACATCGATGAGAGAGAAACATCAACCAGCTGCCTCCTGCACACCCCCCACTGGGGATGTGCCTGCAACTCAGGTACATGCCCTTGACTGGAATCGAACCTGGGACCTTTCAGTCCACAGACCGACGCTCTACCACTGAGCCAAACCGGTTTCGGCTCCTTTAGCTTTTTCTGATCTGTGAAACTCTTTATCTGCCCTTCAATTTTGAATGATAATTTTGCTGGGTAGAGTAATCTTTGTTGTAGGTTCTCGCTATTCATCACTTTGAATATTTCTTGCCACTCTTGTCTGGCTTGCATAGTTTCTGTTGAGAAATCAGCTGATAATCATATGGGTGCTCCCTTGTAGGTAACTAACTATTTTTCTCTTGCTGCTTGTAAGATTCTCTCTTTGTCTTTTGCCCTTGGCATTTTAATTATGATGTGTCTTGGTGTGGTCCACTTTGGATCCCTTTTGTTTGGGGTTCTGTGAACTTTTTGGACTTGTAAGTCTATTTCTTTCATCAGGTGGGGGAAGTTTTCTTCAAATAGGTTTTCAGTATCTTGTTCTCTCTCTTCTTCTGGCACCCCATAATTCTGATGTTGGTACGCTTGAAGTTGTCCCAGAGGCTTCTTACACTATCTTCAACTTTCTGGATTCTCTTCTCTTCCTGCTTCTCCGGAGGCATGTCCTTTGTCTCTTTGTATTTCAAATCTTTGACTTGATTCTTGCGTTCCTCTAGTCTGCTGTTGGGTGTCTGTATGTTTTTTATTTCAGTCAGTTTATATTTAATTTCTAGTTGGTCCTTTTTCATATCCTCGAGAGTCTTGTTAAATTTATCGGCCTTTTCTAGGAAATTCTTGAAAAACCTTATAACCATGGTTTTGAACTCTATATCTAGTTGTTCATTCTCCTCCATTTCTTTCATTTGTGATCTGTTTCCTTGTCTCCTCATTTTTGCTGCTTCTCTGAGTTGGTAGGGTGGCTTTGTGTGCTAAGTGTCCAATATGGTTCAATGGGTCAGCCTCCCAGTTACCTGAGGTGAATACTCTTAGTGAAGCCCTTCGTGGACCATGTGTACAGTCTTGTTGTAGTTAAGTCTTGATTGTTGTTGGTGTCACTGGGGAGGAATTGACCTCCAGGCCAATTGGCTGTGAGGACCCGCTGTGTCTATAACAGAAGAATTGCTGTGCTGGAGACACGTTTATGTGGCAGAATTTGTTCCAGTGGGGCTTTGGTGCTCACTGTGTCTGCCTCTTGAATGTCTCCCTTATGAGAATAGTTGAAATCCGGTGTTGTCTCTAGATTCACTAGTTTCTGGATCTCCAATGGGATGCAGGTCAGTTACTGTCTGAGGCCACCAAGCAGGAGCTACAGCAAGAACTACAGTTTTCTCCTCTTTGCTTGGGATTTGGAGGTTTTGGAGCTCTCCGACTGAAGCTGCAGTTTATTTGGTTAAGCTGTGACAGAGCAGGCCATTTACATGCAAAAGCCACCATTGGGAGCCTGGGAGGGTTTGTAGATTTTGTGGGGTGTGGTCTCAGGGCGTCTCTAGGCTAGGGCATGGCAAACAGTGATGGCTGGCAGTCAGTCTTCTCTGCCTTTCCGTGTTTCTAAGTCCCCACAATAAACAATGATTGCTGGACGCACCTCTGCAAGAAAATCACCCTCACTTTCCAACCCGATGGCCAACAGTCCAGCTTTTCCCTGTAGACATCTGGGTCCCCTGCATCTCCCCAGAAACTGGACTTCAGAGTGATCAGGAGCTTGTCTCCCTGTAGATTGTAAAAAAGCAGCATTCCCAGTCGCCGACCACCAGCCCAATTCGTGTGCCTCCGTACCTCAGCTTTTCAGCACTTGTGCTCTCTTTCCTTCTAGTTGTAGAACTTCCACTCAGCCAACTATCCCATGATTCTGGGTAATAGATGTTTTGTCTTTTAGTTGTAGTTTTGAAATTGTTGTGTGAAGGGCAGTTTAGCTGTTTACCTACACCGCCATCTTGGTTTCTCCCAATTAAAAAAAATTTTTTTTTTAATTGACTATAATTGGAATCACAGCCCTATCATTTGTTAAAAGCTTACCTTTAGATATCATTTGCCTGTCACAGAGATTAGTGGCCAGTAATATATTTTTTTAAAAGTTCAACTTCACTAATAATCACTGTAAATAATTCATTTATTCAACAAATATTTGTGTGTATACTACTATGTACTAACACTGTTTAGATACTGGAATAAAACCATTATAAATATTCATGTACATGTGCAATTGTTCTAGGTAAATACTATGTAGAAGCGAGACTGCTACCATGTTTCCCCCAAAATAAAACATACTCCGAAAATAAGACCTAGCACGTGGAAAGATAAGACATCCCCTGAAAATAAGACCTAGCGCAACTTTGGGAGACAAAATTAATATAAGACACTGTCTTATTTTCGGGGAAACAGGGTAGAACACAGACTAATATATTCTACCTTGTAAGATACTGCCAAACTGTTTTCCAAAGTGGTACTATCATTTTATACTTCTACCAGCAATGTATGAGAGTTCTAGTTATTACAAATCCTTGCCAATACTGTATATCATCATTTCTTGAGTTATCTATTTGTAGGGGGTTGTTTTGTTTGTTTGTTTTTCTTTTTTGGTTATTCTAATATATGTGTAGTAGCATCTTTTGTGGTTTTAACTTGTATTTCCCTAATGCCTAATGATGATGAATATCTTTTCATGTGTTCAATTGCCATCCATATTATCTTTGAGTGTCTATTGAAGTTATTTGCCGTTTTGTGTTGTTTTTTTTTTTTAATGTATTTTATTGGTTTTTTTACAGAGAAGAAGGGAGAGGAATAGAAAGTTAGAAACATTGATCAGCTGCCTCCTGCACACCTCCTACTGGGGATATGCCCACAACCAAGGTACATGCCCTTGACCAAAATCAAAACTGGGACTCTTCAGTCTGCAGGCCAATGCTCTATCCACTGAGCCAAACTGGTTTCAGCTGCCATTTTCTTATTGTGTTGTTTTGTTTTCTTTTCTCACTCCTTAGTTGTGAGTCTTTTATTCTGGTTACAAAATCAGATACATGATTTGCAGAGATTTTTTTCCTATGCTTTCTTCTATTATAGAAGTTTTATAAGGTTAAGTTTCAAATTTGCCTATAATCTATTTTGAGTACATTTTTTTATATAGTGCCAGGTATGAGTCAAGGTTTGTTCTTTTTACATATGAATGTTCGATAATGCCAGCACCATTTAATGAAATTAATGAATATCTGCTCTCCATTAGATTACATGTTCACCCTCATCAAAAAGCAATGCACAAATAAGCAGGAATTCAGAAATGGATAAATAAGGAGCTTGGTAAATCCTCCCTGAGAAACAATGATAAAAGTAGACAAAGTTGTCAAAAACAACAATTTAAAGACTGGAAATTGACCAAAGGCATGTAATAAAATGAGAAGCACATATATGAGAAAAATCTACTGAATCTCAGTAAGTACAGGAGACTGAGACTATAGCTTTGCTTATCCCGCTGCATGGTGCAGAGATCTACTAGGTGAACAGCTCCAGTGCTCTGCTGGAGAAATTGACTTTGCTAGAGCTGAACACATAAAACTCCATGCCCAGATACATTGTCAAAAACAATTCTGCTCCTCAGAACAATCCAAGAAAGCCAACATCAGAGCTAGCCTAAAGTCATGATACTGGTTGGAACATGCACAAAACTAAAGACTACCCAGAAAATTAATAGGAAATTAATGAGATGGCCAAAGTGGTCCCTAATAAGATTCCATTTTCCCCTTGTGATCTAAAAGGCTGTGTGCATGTACAAGGCTGCTCAGACCCAGAAAAGACTGAAGAGGGACTAAGTTGGTAAGATATCCCTGGTTAAACATGAGGCCTTGCAAACTTATTTTTTTTAAAAGATGTTAGGCTGGCTTGTAAACTGCTTGAATTTATCCACACAGACCCATCAGTAAAAGATTAAATCCTTATGGTATTTAAGCACATGATCTCATAAGTCACTGGCTGACCACTAAACTCTGCAGGCCCAGTGGTGAACCCTTAGGGAGTCAGGCTTAAAAATAAAAACAAGAATTAAGCTGAAACTGGTTTGGCTCAATGGACAGAGCATCAGCCTGTGGACTGATGAGTCCCAAGTTCGATTCCTGTCAAAGGCATGTACATTGGTTGCGGGCACATCGCTGGTGGGGGGTGTGCAGAGGGCAACTGGTCAATGTTTCTCTCTCATCGATGTTTCTAGCTTTCTATCCCTCTCCCTTCCTCTCTGTAAAAAGTCAATAATATATATATATATATATATATATATATATATATATATATATATATTTTTTTTTTTTTTTTTAAATCATCGGGTGAGAATTTTTAAAAAGATAATGATGTGAGAAAAAATGCAATTAAAAAAAAAAAAAAAGGCCAAAGGGAAATTCTTGTTCACAACAGTTCAAGTGGGGCATACAAACTGGTGGAAATTCTCCAAATAAGATTTGGTTCCAAGAAGCAGAGGAGCTCAGACAAACAAGAATTCACACAGAGAAGCCATATTTATAGAAAGCAGCCTCTGCTTGTGTAGCATGGGGAAAAAGACTGCATAGTGAATAAATCCACTGCAGCCCACAGGCTGGGGAAATGTAGTAGCTAAAATAAGCTCTCCACACACAAATTGAATCATGAGAAAAATTTTAGTTGGTTTGTATCCAGACCAAGAATAAGAAGTTTTGCATTAAAAATTCATTAAGAATGCTTGTACTAGGTAAACACTGAAACCAACTAAACATCCATCAGTTGAAAAATGAATAAATTCTGATATTAGTGTAAGAATAGACTATAACAATATGGCTGAAAGAAATAAACTAGCGTACATATATTTAATCACATGTATCAAATAATAATACATATCTTATCTAATGATATAGAAACATGTATACTGACTATACCTCTGCTATGCCCACAGCCAATCAGAATGAGTATGCAAATTAACCCAAAGAAGATGGTGGTTAATTTGCATACATACCTGGGTCCTGGGGAGCCTCCTCAGCACCCAGGTTGACACCCAGGTCACTCCTAGCCGGCCACTGGGCAGAGGCTTTAGGCTTGGGAACCTGTAATCGGAGGAGTGAAGGCCCCCTTCACAAGCCTAAAGCTGGGCAGTGGCTTTAGGCTTGTAAAGGGACTGAGCCTGTGATCAGAGGGAAGGGGAAAAAAAATAATGGAAACATATCCTCAAGTGAGGATAAAAAGAAAAATAAATGTCATATCCTATGAAAGACACATCTTGAAAATGCTTAAAGTTGTCATTTTTTCATGGTGAAGGGACTGGAGTCCATGTTGATGTAAATAACTTGGCAGCTGCAACAACTGGCAGTGACTGCAGCAGCAGGGTGATAGGGTTGGTGCCTTCCCCTGATCAGCCCAGATGCCTCCCACAAAGGGAGGCCAGACTGTGGCTTAGGCCTGAGGGCTCCCAGTATGTGAACAGGGGCAGGCTGGGCTGAGGGACCCCTCCCCAGGGCACGAATTTCTTGCACTGGACCCCTAATGTCATTTATATAAAATATGTCATTTAGAGCAATGATATAATCATATGCAATAACAGCATAAAATATAGATAGGAATAATAAACACCAAATTCAGGGTAATAGTTGTCTCTGGATTTGGAAGGAGAGAAATGGTGCCTGGAGGGGTGCTCAGGGATTTCCAATGTATCTATAATATTCCATTTGTTTTCTAAAAATCTGAAGCAACTATAGCAAAAAACAAACAAACAAAAAAAAAACATTAGGATTTAAGAGAACTAGGTATTCATTCTGTTATCCTCTTTAATTTACCCTTTATGTTTTCCTTTGGAAACCAGTAACCACACTATGAGAAAGTACAACCTAGAAAGGTAGAGTATCTTCACAAATAGGCCCAGAAAGAGCCAGCATATACCAGACAGCTGTGTAAACAAGCCTTGAGAAGGATCCAACCCCAGTTTTTCAATGTGTAGTTGAAGCCCCAGACATCATGGAGCAGAGACAAGCTGTCTGAGATACAAACTCCTTGTTCAGTCCTGAGCATAAATGAATGGTTATTTTATGCCACCAAGTTTTGGGATAATTTGTTACAAAGCCATCGTAAGTAAACAAAACTCCTAATAATAGACTGAATTAAAAAAGAAATTATTTGCAATGCTTCAGTCCTGTTTGCTAAATTTATAAAACTGCTAACAGCTGTAAACTTATCCTAGTTTTATTTAGCTTACCTCCAAGCTTCCCGAATGTGCTGCCCAATGTAAAGGGGTAAATTTGTGGAGAACATCAACTTCATTAATGCTGACTCCACGTTCTACCATTTCTGAAAGCTGCTTTACATCTCCAGCGCGTACTGCATCATGTATGCTACTAAAATGCACCTTCCTCCTGGCACCTACTGAAAAATCAAATTGCTTAAAATATATTACAATGTCAAAAAATATAAAAAGACTAAAGCAATAAGACAAAAGAAAGCACAAAATCACTTTGACTTTCCAAATAATTTAATACAAAGATGTTTATGATTAACATCTTCTTAACCAGACTTCCATTTTATTTCTAATGTCTAAAAAGCATGGAAGTATCATTCCCTTATACACAGGAGAAAACAAACTGAAAACCAATAACTGTTCTTAGACTGACCAGAGAACTGAGGTCTTGGCAAACTACCACCCTGGATCTGGAAAGACAGGCAAATACAGAGAAACACAGTTAAGCCCAGTTCACCTAGAGAAGGAGCCACGGGAGCCACAAAGAACTAGAAGCACTTAAATGGGGAATTCGTGAGGGATTTTAAACAGAAGACAAATAATGATCAGATTTGTAATGCTGGGTTTATGGGACTGGCTACAGGTGAGGGAAATTCAATGGGGAGCAAAAATGCAGCACTAGCTGAAACTGGTTTGGCTCAGTGGATAGAGCTTCGGCCTGCGGACTGAAAGGTCCCAGGTTCGATTCCGGGGCAAGGGCATGTACATTGGGTGCGGGCACATTCCCAGTAGGGGGTGTGCAAGAGGCAGCTGATCAATGATTCTCTCTCATCGATGTTTCTAACTCTCTATCCCTCTATCTTCCTCTCTGTAAAAAAAATCAATAAAATATAGATTTTTTTAAAAAAAATGCAGCACTAGAGATTAAGGAGGCTATGTAAGAAAATAGCTATATAATCTATAGCAGAAAGTTTGAGATCCTCAACCCAGAGAATGGCTTTGTTAACAGAATATTCAACAAATATTATAAAAACAGGTTGAACTAAATTTGGATGTAATAGTGGGCAAAATAAGGAAAGAGTATTGGGGTAACTTCAAGGAGTATGGCTTAGTTCTCTGAGTGGTGTGGCACAATTGAAAAAGTGAACACTGGAGGACAGAGACATGTGGATACAAAATTATTTTATTTTTGAATTTTTAAAATATATTTTTATTGCTTTCAGAGAAGAAGGGGGGGGAGGGGAGAGAGAAACATCTATGAGAATTACTGATCAGCTGCCTCCTGCATGTTCCCTACTGGGGATAGAGCCCGCAACCTAGGTAAGTGCCTTTGACCAAAATCAAACCAGGAACCCTTCAGTATGCAGGATGACACTCAATCCACTGAGCCAAACAGACTAAGGCTATTTTTTTTTTTTTTAAATCTCCACCCAAGGATATGTTTTTATTAATTTTAGAAAGAGAATAGTGGGCCGGGACTGGTTTGGCTCGGTGGATAGACCATCGGCCTGCAGACTGAAAGGTTCCAGGTTCGATTCTAGTCAAGGGCACGTACGTTGGTTGCGGGCACATCCCCAGTGAGGGGTGTGCAAGAGGCAGCTGGTCGGTGTTTCTCTCTCATCGACGTTTCTAACTCTCTGTCCCTCTCAATTCCTCTCTGTGTAAAATCAATAAAATATATATTTTTTAAAATGAGAATAGTGGTGAGAGAAAGAAACATCAATCAGTTGCCTCCTATATACACCCGGACCAAGGATTAAAACCAAAACCTAACTATGTGTCCTGATTGGGAATCAAACCAGCAACCTTTTGGTGTAGAGCAAGCATGTCAAACTCGCTGCCCATAACAAATAGTTTTATGGCCCAGCTAATATATCTGTATGTAAGAAACGTTTTAATAAAAATTATGTAACTTAATTTTTACAATATCCTGTTATACATAACTAGAAGCCCAGTGCACAAAATTCGTGCAAGGGTAGGGTCCCCAAATGGCCGGCAATCAGGGACCTTCCTTTGCTCTGTGCAGCCTCCTCGTGGTCAGTGCACATCCTAGCAAGTGATACAACTCCCTGGCTCCTGATGGAACTCCTGCAGGACACTGCATATTAGCCTTTTATACACATAGATTATTAATAACAAACCAATGGCTGATTACTATAATTGCTGCATTCATTTCCCTTACATGCCTTACACACAGGCGCACCATTTCTCTCCACTAATACTAGCAGCGAATATTTTTAGCAGCCAATTGCCACATTATTAGTCTTGTACTGGCTAGTGTAGAGTAAGCATGTCAAACTTGGTGTGCACAACAGGAAATATTTCACTTTCGGAGAACAAGAAAAATAGGTTTACTTACATTATGCTTATTAATTTGTTCAGTTATTCAGTATCTGGTAAGTTAATGTTCAAGAAAAAATATTTTTATTAAAATGTCCTATTACTTTATGTTAACCGTTACTCATTTATTTCAGCCCTTTGTATTCAGCATCAAAATAAACCTACGTGTCTATGAAAATTGAAGCTTTTGGGTTTTTTTTTTGTGGCCCAGATAATCTTAAACCTTGTTAGTCGTTGAGTTTGACATGCTTGGTGTAGAGGATGACGTTGGAACTAACTGAACCACCCAGCCAGGGCCAAAATTACACTGTAGACACGTTGATTTTAAGGTTCCCAGGAAGAGTTCCAGAAGGACTTCTATATGAGTCTGCAACTCAGAGGAGAGATCTGGAGTTCAGATCTCAGTAGATGTGTCCAGCTTTAGGTAGGTTTTTCTGACACCCGTCAACTGGAACCAAGGGCACTCTACTCTTCTTTATAATATGCATCACACTAGTCATTATTTGTTCAATACTTATCTTCCCCAGTAGAAGGTAAGGAATATGCCTGTCTTCTCAGTGTCCTTAAGACAGAACACATATTAGGCACTCAGTAAATATTTATTGGATGGTTGAATGAATAACATAGATTTGAAAGTCCTCAGTAAGGCTAAAGTCATAGCGATGGCACGGGGAGTGGGGAGGGCAGGGGGAGACGGGGACGGAGGGAAGGGGAGAAGCAACATTTAAGGAGAGGATGGTAAGTCTAATGTCATCTTCACCGGGTCAAATGCTTCCAAGAAGTCAAGTAAGAACTTAAGAGGGTTCATAAGATTTAACAAACATAGTCATCATTGGGCGAGAAGTTTCGGGAATGTGCAGACGGAAAGAAAGGAGGTAAAGCTAAAATGAGGAAGGCTGGGGAAAAAAGAGAATAGCTTTGGGACCTACCGAAAATAGGTCACTGAGGTGGAGAGAGGAGTGACAGCTGAGAAAGGGGACGGCCAGAAAAGAGAAGGCTGATGTGGGCAGAGATGAGGGGGGGGGCGTGGCAGAGATGAGGGTCATCGAAGTCATGAACCTGGACTCACACGGGGTTGCGGACTCCGCGAAGGAAGCGGAGGGGTCTGAAAGGGGCACGCCGGGCATGGTGCGATCCCACGGACGCCGAGGAGGAGGAGGAGGAGACGAATCCTGGCCGCGGCTGCTGCGGCGGTCCTCACTCGCTATCCTCCATGAGCCACTGCAGCGGCCGTCCTCGTCCTCGTCCTCGCCGGGCCCGGCGCCGCGGTCCTCCCGGGGTCTCTCCCAGGAGCCCCTGAGGCGGTGGCTGTCGTCTTGGCCGCCGCTCACCCCGGAGGAGTCGCTGGCCGCGTAGCCGCGGTCTTCACCCACTCCTTCCCAGGAACTGCTGAAGCTGGCGCCGCCGTCCACGCTCCCCCTTCGCCGGGAGCCACCGAGGCGGCGGCGGCAGAGCTCGTCGCTGCCCCTCTCCCCGGAGTCGCTGCCCCTCTCCCCGGAGTCGCTGGTCCCGGCGCCGCGGGCTTCTCCGACCCCCTCCCAAGCACGGAGGCTGCGGTCTTCTCCGACGGCTCCCCCGGAGTCCCTGCCCGGGGCGCCGCCGACCTGACAGAGACCACCGGCGTCAGTGCTGGGGAAGCCGCTCTCCCAAGAGCCGCTGTGGCCGTGGCCTCCGCCTCCCCGAACTGTTGTCTCCTCAGGACCGCCGCGGCGGCGGCCCAGGTCTTCACGGAGCCTCCTCGGGTCCTTGCCGGAGAGGCCCCCGTCGTCTCTCACGCTCCCCGCGGAGACGCTGCAGTGGCGGTCGTCCTCTTCGCCGTTTTTTTCCGTGTCTTCCCTGAGACAAAACTCCCGGTCTTCGCTCCTTCTCTCCTCACACTGGCCGCCGCGGTGACCGGGCCGGCGGTCTGTCCTGCACCTCAGAGGGCCGGCGCCGCGGCCGCCGGCTTCGGCTGAGTCTCCCCGCGAGTCGCTGAGGCGGCGGCCGCTGTCGATGGGGACCCTCTCCTCGAAGAAGCGTTCCAGCGTCCCCGACTCCGGCCGCCCGGTAGGAGAGGGTAGAGGAGACCGTTGCCTTGGAAACGAATAAACTTCCGGCTTCCGGCACGCGAGGGTCATTTCCTGTTCCTGGCGGCTTTGCGTCACTTCCGGCTCCCCTCCCTTCACCCTTTGCAAGGCTGGGCCTGCAGGCGAATCGGATGGTGGTGGAGACCAGTTTTCGGTGAAATTCCGCTCGGCCCCCCAAGCCAACCTTATCCGACCCCGTCTCTCGGTGACGGCTGGCGGGGTTCGCGGCCTCCGGGCCCCGCGCTCCGGAGAAGGCCCCGGGACCGCCGTCTGCGTAGGTGACCTGTACGGCTCGTGCCGGGCGGGGCCTTTCGTCCTTGGCAAACCAAGTGTAATTTTTCTCCGTGCAGGATGGAATGTTGAAGAAAGGCTCTTCTTGGCCCTTACCTTCTCACAAATATGGAGAAAGACCTAACGGAGACGTTAGCAGCTGCAGCCGGTATCATTATTGCGTGCTTACTAGTGCCCGGCCCTTTGATAATCGCTCGCTTGGTACTTAATTCTCACAATAATTTGGGAAGGTAGGTGGTATACCTGTTTTACAGTTGAGGAGATTGAAGGTGTCAGTGTTTTGCTCAGGCCGAACAGCAGGTAAGTTGTAGAGCCAGTGTAAAAATACAGGCCATGAGTCAAAAACTTGCTTCCGGTTTTCTGACTTCAAATCCAAGATTCCTTTTCTTGTAAAATGTTTACTTTCAACAATTTATCCCTGATCTTTTTCTCCAATCCTATTGCTTAACGTGCATTCTTCCATTCACTATTTATTGTAAAAGTATGGTTCAAATGTATGAAAATGTACTATCAGCTGAGAGTACAGAAATTAAAATTCTCTGCCCTCCAAGGGCATCACCCAGCCTGATTCCCCTCACCTGTGTTTTTTTCTCCCACATCTTTATTGCTTTGCCACAGGGTTTGTTGTTGTTGTTGTTACCTTGTTTTGTTTTTTAGCTACAAAACTTTTTAAATTTTATTTTTTAATTACATTTATTATTTTTTTGTATTAATTTTAGGTGTATAGCATGGTGGTGGGCAATCATATATTTTACAAAGTAATCCCACTGATATTTCAAGTGTCCACCAGACACCATACATAGTTATTACAGTATTATTGACTGTATTCCTTATGCTGTATTTAACATCCCTGTAACTGTTTTATGACTACCAATCTGTACTAAATCCTTTATCTTTTTCATTCAGTCCCTCTCCCCCCTGACCTGTGCCTCCCCACAGGTTTTGTGCTGTGAACACATTTGGGAAATTCCCCAGACCCCATTTTTACTCTTGAAATACAGTAAATTGCCTTTTTTTTTTTTTTGAGACTCATAGCCTCTTGTAATATTAATAACTGCCATTTGTTGAGTTCATATGAGTATGGCACCGTACTAAGTGCTTCATATTTGTTGTTATTAATATAACTTACCAGCATAGTACTGCTATTGTTTTTTACAAATAAAGTGCGAAGTTAATTGCCTGAGGATACACAGCTAGTAAGTAATAAGTACCTGAATTGGGGTTTCTACCTTGATCTTTGATTTTGCTGCACATACTCCTCAAAGTCTCTAAATTCCCACAATCTTTATATCAAACACTTATCAATTGTATTATAATTACCTGTTTAACAGTTAATCCCTACCCCTCAAGGACTCTGAGCTTCTGGGAGGTAGAAACTGTTGCTTCATTATTCATCTTGGAGTTCCTGACATCTAGAATATTTAGCTCAAGGGGGAAGGGCTTACTAACTGTTGTGTGGGTGAGTGGATGGATTGATGAGTTGATTTTCTGGTGGATGAAGTGATAGACTGAAAGTAAAGTTTTTTACAGTTAGAAGGGATTTGGGGATTAGTCATTTTTAAAATGGGGCAACTGAGGCCTTTTACCAGCCATCTGTTGAATTATTAATATGGGACAGTTTCTATGCTAAGTGCTTGCAAATAGTTTCAAACTTAATCTGTATTGTTCCTGTTTTTACAGATGAAGAAACCGCTCAGATTTGGCCAAGATCACATAACTAAAAGGTGGAGAATTGGAGCCACTATGACTGCTCCAAATTAATGTAGTGGTTTTAGCCACTTATATAATAATGGTAAAAGCTTCATTTTTTAAAAAAAATATATTTTATTGATTTTTTACAGAGAGGAAGGGAGAGGGATAGAGAGCTAGAAACGTCGATGAGAGAGAAACATCCACCAGCTGCCTCTTGCACACCCTCTTGCAGGGGATGTGCCTGCAACCAATGTACATGCCCTTGACTGGAATCGAACCTGGGACCTTTCAGTCCGCAGTCCAATGCTCTACCACTGAGCCAAACCGGTTTCGGCAAGGCTTCATTTTTTGCTTTGTTGTATGGGTAAACTCACTGAGGGAAGGAGCCAGCACATCCTTAGATACATACATGACAGGAAAGATTCGAAAAAGAAACAGAAGAAAAGCAGAAAAAGTAAAATGCCCTCAAATTAATCCTAAAGGATTTAAAAATAAAAACAAATAAATGGACTAGGAAATAAATTGATCCCAATACTAGCTGGCATTTGAAGACAAACAAACAATAGACACTTAGCAAATCTGATGAAGGAGAGAACAATATTGGAAACAAAGGCAACATATTACTGACAGGGTTTTTGAAAATCAGAAATGATTTAGTGTAAAATTACACAAATAGTCCTAAAAAATTATGTATAATTTTCTAGGAAAATGTAAATTGCAAAAAAATGGATTCAAGTTAAAAAACCTTAATCTGATAATCATAAAAGAATGACCTATGTGGCCTTGACAGAAGTTATGAAAAACAAAGCATAGAGAAGAATGGAATACTTCTGCACTATAAAGTATCATAAATAAGTAGAGGGAGGAGAAAAAACTTGAATCTCAGTCTCATTTATCAATACATGCAGCTTTTCTAGGAACGATGAAGCCAGTAGTGCATTTAGAAAACAATGTCATAACCAATAACCAAGTTGGGTTTATCCTACCAGTACAAAGATGGGTTAACATTAGATAATTAGCAATGAAAATTTCCTAATAAAGGAGATAAACTATATGATCTTAATTGATACTGAAAGATCACTTGAAAAGTTAGTATTTATTACTTACTCAAAAAGAAGACAAAATTCATATTAAATAAAAGGAAGCTTACTTTACTGAAGGAACAAATAAACAGCACATTTAATGTTAACAGTCCAAATTATCTACTGTCCGGCAAGTCAGCATTGTTCTGAGAATTCTGTAATAAGCAAGAAAAAGTATGAAATTAGAAAAGAAATTAAGACAAGTGATGTCATTGTTTACCTGGAAAATATAAGACAACTGTAAAGTATTAAATACTAGAGAAGAGAGTTCAGTAAAATTGAGAGCTAGCAGGGCAACATACAGAAGCAAGATTCCCTATAAACTAAACTCACTGGGTAAATATAAAGAAAGATCTCATTCAAATTAGCAGCAACAGTGGGGAAATAGAGAATAAACCTAGTAAGAAATAAGCAAAATGTACATGGAAAAAATAATGAAATTTCATTTATGGATGTTAGTGGTCGGCAAACTCATTAGTCAACAGAGCCAAATATCAACTATTGAAATTTCTTTGGAAAGCCAAATTTCTTAAACTTCAACTACATAAATAGGTACATTGTTATTAACTTAATTAGGGTACATAGTATTTTGTGGAAGAGCCACACTCAAGGGGCCAAAGAGTCGCATGTGGCCCAACAGCCAGTGGACTAAAGAGAAAAATGCTATGTTGCTATGTGAGGAGGTTCAGTACTGCAAAGATAGACTTGTCTTGAAAGTAAATTTGTTGCATTTGAAGTAAAAATCTAATGTAATTTTTTAGTGGAAGTTGGCAAGACGATTTTAAAGTTTATCTTCAAGGTTAAACAAAACATGTTTGGAAAAGATTAATTAATGACAACCCAAATAGATATTAGAACTATAAAACTAGAACACTTAGAACAGGGTGGTATTGGAACAAGACTAGACAAAGAGATTAATGGAACAAACTAGAATCCAGAAATAACCCCATTATTGAGGCAGAGTTTTCAAATGGAGAAAGATTGGCTCTTCGATATTTTCATATATAGAAATTTCAGGAGAATAAAGTTAAAAATTATAAAGTGTTGAGACAATACAGAAAATTTGTTTCAGTGAGAATAACTCAATAGAATTAATTAGCAAAAAAAAAAAAAAAAAAAATACCAAGAGCAAATTAACAAGAGAGGATACTCAGACTGTTGAGACATCACAATGATAAAAACTAAAAGATTATGGATAATGAGTTGGTTTAAATGTACTCTGAAGACTACTAGTGAACGACTAAAGTGGTCGGATGCATGAAGGACAATTTCACACTGTCAAAATTACAAATGTACGTTTATGCTTGAGCCAGCAACTATCAAGTCATAAAGTCTTCAAAATAACTTGTATGTAGTAGGATAGTCATTGCAACACTTAAATTTGAATATCCACCTGTGAAAGAATGGCTAAATTACACATCTACATGCATTTAGCAACATGGAAAGGGTAAGAAATGGTAAATAAAGAATCTCTACCAAATTGTTAACTCATTGGTTACTTTATGTAACAAGAAAGAGGATGTGAAAGGACTATTTTCTATACTTATATATGTTATTTTTAAAATTTAATTTTTCCTAAGTAAAAATAGCAAAGTACAAGAAGACATGTATTGTCACATAAAGCAAAAGATACTTTAAGGAGTACATGGGCCAGGAGAGATTAAGAGGCTAATAAAAGCACATTTGTTTTGGCAAGGAGTCATAATACTTGAGCAATTTTAATGAAGCAGCCAAGATGTAAAAGCCAGATTGCATAGGATTTCAAGGTAAGTAAGGGACTAGCGTTAAGAGAGTTTCTCAGGTGAGAAGGTTCAGAACACACGGAAGTGAGCATCAGCATTCCAGATAATTGGAACCCTGTGTAAGTATGAAGATTAAGATTCCAGCTAATAAAAATGGATAGTCCTCCACCTGTCTACTTTAGGATTTCCAAAGTTGCTTAATTAATCAGGTTTGCATCTACTTCCAGAGAAGGAAGTAGGACCAAAAATTGACCTCAGGATTTTGGTAACCATTTCTACTTCCTTTGTTCCCTCACGCTTTCCAGGCATTCTTGTTCTTCCTCAGGGCATCCCAACTTGCTCTTTATCTGCCCAACAAAACATTATTTCAGGGAGCTGACCCCATCTAAAATTAGGAAAAAGCTACTGCAGAAGAAGTTCAGGCCTAGAGAATAGTCTTTTTTTTATTTTATTTTTTTTATTGATTTTTTTACAGAGAGGAAGGGAGAGGGATAGAGAGCTTAGAAACATCGACGAGAAACATTGATCAGCTGCCTCCTGCACACCCCCTCCAGGGATGTGCCTGCAACCAATGTACATGCCCTTGACCGGAATCAAACCTGGGACTTTTCAGCCCACAGACCAGCAGCGCTCTATCCACTGAGCCAAACCGGTTTTGGCAATAGCCTGACTTTCCATTTCTACCTTCAGATTACCGTTTTAGTCAACTAAATCTTTTCACTTGGAGACATACTTAGATGCCTCATACTTTCCTCAGTATTTTGTATAAACCTTTCAGAACATATATTAGACATTAAAATAGGCTATAAAAAAAGTCAGCCAGGAAAATGGGCTTCTCAATTTGTTAAGCTATTATAGAGGAGAATCTTTTCATAGGTAATTAGGTCCTATTTTTACTATCCCTAAAAGCTTGTTTTTAGCTGAATAACGGATCACTGTGTAGTAGTTTCCATAAAAGTTTTAAGTAGGTAAATTATATTGATGATGTACAGGGTATAAAACAATGAAATTGGTAGTTTTCAAGAAAAAGGCTATTCTCTCAAACGCATTTCAAATGAGAATGTTCTATAACTTTTCCAGCTTTGCTACACTTTCCAGTATAAGTTATTTCTAGTTTCCAGTGCTATGTGTGTGGGGATTGTTATTTTTTCCATCTTTTGGGTCTAAAATTCAATGTTCTGATTTCTAGATCAGGAGATTTGCCTATTCGTTAGAATAAAGTTTAGAACTTTTAAAAATATATTTTTTATCGAGGAAGAGGAAGGGGGAGAGAAACATAAATGATGAGAATCGTTGATTGGCTGCCTCCTGCATGCTCCCCACTGGGGAATCGAGTCTGCAACCCAGGCATATGCCCTTGATCGGAATCTAACCTGGGACCTTTCAGTTTGCAGGCCAACATTATCCACTGAGCCAAACTGGCTGGGGCATAGAACTTTTTAAAAAGTATATTTGTATTTATTTCAGAGAGGAGAGAGAGAAACAAATGATGAGAAACATTGTTTGGCTGCCTCCTGCTCCCCACTAATAGGGATTGAGCCTGAAACCCCTGCAGATACCCTGACAGAATCAAACTGATCTGGTTCATAGGTCCTCAATCACTGAGAACTTATTTGTTGATATAATTGACATTAATTTTGAGTGTAACAATTCATTATTATTCTAGTGCATAGCTCTAATTGGGGGAGGGGGAAGCATCTAAATCACTACACTAAATCTAGCCTCCTACTTCAAAGAAAAACTAGGAATTGAGTTCTCAATTCCTGGCCCAAAACCTGTGACCATCTTGATACTGTCCATTCTTTAAAATATATATATATATATTTTTATTGACTTCAGAGAGAGGGATAGAAACCAATAATTATTGATCAGCTGCCTCTTACATGGCCCACAATGAGTTGGAGCCTGAAACCCAGGAATGTGCCCTGAACGAGAATTGAGCCCGTGACTTGGTTCACAGATCAGTGCTCAACCACTGACCCATGCCAGCCAGGTGCTCCATTCTAAAGCTAATTTCTCTTGTGCTCTGGAAAGACTACTTGTCATCTCTTCAACCTTTTCCATGTGTTTTCAGAATGCTAACATCTTATTCTAACCACAATTTAATCTGCAATTAAATTTCTTAGCAGCTCTTAATTATTTTGTCTTATATCACCTACACAATCCATTACAACTGGCACTGGCACTTAGTAATTAGGGGATATTTATCAATCTTCCCATATTTTTCTGACTACCCTTTTTGAAATGTTTTCCTCATTACTGCTTTTCTTATTTTAATTGTGCTCTCACCTTCCTAGCTGCAAAGCTGTTCCCCAGGGATCTTTTTATACAGATACTAGATTTGAATGCCACCTTCCATTTGACTTCACATACTTTTTTTAAAAATTGTAGTGTATTTTAAATTTATTTTTGTTGATTTTGGAGAGAGGAAGAAACATCTGTCACCTCTCAAACCCACTACCTAGATATGTATCCTAACTGGGAATCAAACCCACCTTTCAGTATTTTGGGACAATGCTCCAACCAGTCAATCTATATACTTTTAAGCATTTGATAAGAACTATGATGGTTTTCCCAAAAAGCAACACAACAGGAAATTTTTCCTACATTTCTCAATTCAGACCCCAGCATTTCTTCCATGCTTGTATATTCAAAAGTTCAGCTATCTCAAATCCAGTACATACTTATCCAGTTTTCTTATTGGACCACTCTATGTTTGAAAAAAATCTATTTCAAAAAAGAAAAGTCAACCTTAGATGCAGATTAGGATATACTTGTTTAAAAATGTCTAGTGGCTCCCACTGTCAATTTTAATACAAACTCCTTAGCATGACCAAGACTATATAATCTATTCCATTACTGGATTTTAACCCTGTAAAATTTAATTTTTGAAAACATACTGTGTTTACATTTGCTGTTATTCTTCAGAGATGCCCTTCTCAGGAATGAACTCCACTGCTAGCTAATCTCCAGGTAGTTTGGTTTGTCTATTTCTATCCTAGCATTTTTCTTAACTATAGAATAGTTTGCACTAAAATGAAGCAAAGCCTGCTTTATGTTCTTGTTTTATACCTTTCTAAGGTGATTGAATTTCACCTATAAATTGGGGGGATACCATCTATCATACAAGATTTTCTTTAAGTCCTAAATAATATATGTAAAATGTTTATCAATGCCTACCATATAGTAAATGCTCAACAAACTATAAATTTCCTGTTTTATTGCCTATCTCCTCCAATAGAAGGCTCATAAGTGCCACTTGGTTTTAAAGCTGAAGAAAATAGTCACAAGCTAAAGCCATTCAAGAAATAAAGAGACACAAACCAAGTTTCTTCATCATCCTATTTATTACATGTATGAATATTAACATCTCATGGTATCCATCTAATTCAGTCAAAACCAACAAATGAAAAAGGTTAACCATGTTTCAAATGAACATTCTTACAGACTCCCCTGTAACTTAAAATAGAAATATGTTCACTGCATAAAATTGTGACAAATTTGAAAAATGTCATTAAAAAAAAAGTCACCTTTAGTACTTAAATATATTCGTTAATTGTTTGATGGCATCAATGTCCAAGTTAAAGAATAAAAGTTGCTTCGTTACTTTTCAAAAATGGACATCTGAATGGTTCTCTCTATAGCTAGAGATTATATATATACTTATATATATAATATGCATAAATGTCCTATTTCTAAAAATTTTTCAAATCTGGCTTTCCTATTTGAGAAAAATCCTGCAGCACTCTCTCACAACCCCCCTTTGAAGGATAAAACTTAGACTGCTTTAATCATAAGAACTACCAGAAAAAAATCGTATGTTGAAGTTGCCGTTTAATTCCATTTTCACCCAATAAAAAGTACAGAAACATTGTCTTTATTTGATGGTGTGCATAAATATTACACTCCATAGGTAGCAAAAATATTTTTTTATTTATAATTTACAGTTTCACAAGTGAAAATCGTACATTTTTACATATACAATTTCATTTTGTTAAATTTGCACACATCTACAGAACTTTCACACAACAAGCACCTGAAACTGTGCAGGCAGTAGGATATGCAAATACTAAAATGTATTTATTAACCAAATGATAGCTGAAGGCCCTGCCTCAGCTAGACAATTTATATAGATAGGTCTATATATACATAAAAAAAATTCTTCACCTTCTAGATCCAAACAGCAGCTTTTTAAAAAAAGAAAAACATACCTTTCTCATTTTATTTAAACTGACTCAACTGTATCATTTTCTGTTTTAATTTCAATGGGTGTTGCTATGTTCTCCTCTGTACAAGCTGGTGGGGTATCAATTTGTTCTTCCTTAACTTTGGGACTTTCACAGGGTTCCTGCAATTCATTTTTGACAATGTTCAACATAATGTTCAAAGGGTTTTCAACTGGTGTCTTGCTGGGAGATGGCGTACAATCAAATGAAGATGTCTACAAAATAAAAAAACCTCATATAAGTACTGATTTCACTTCAAAAGTGTATTAAATTAGTTTTATAGGACACTTATATGGGCAAAGAAACATATATCACATGCAACTGCTTCCCCACAAAACAAGACTACTAAAAAGCCTAATCTTTTGATGGCCTACATATATCTACAAAACTGCCTCTCTGAACCCATGAAATATTTGAAAGGCAGTATGTTTTGTTCCATTGTTTGGATTTAAAAAGTGGTCACTATAAAAAATGTTTGAATTTCTAAGGGAAACACATTCATATATTTTTCAGATTCCATGTGTGACCATTTAACAAGTATTCCTATATTATATGGCTCAGTGAAGTATGTAAGAAAAAAGCAGTACATGCTACCCATAATTCTAGAAACCGATTCCCATCATAATCCTTCAAATCTTCCAGTTTTCCTTGAATTTCTGACTAGTGCTCTAGTAAAAATCATCATTATTGAAGTGATCGGAATGCAAGGAATAAAGAAATTTAAATCAGATTCTAACAATATAAGATTAAAATTAATTCTCTATGCAAAAATAACAATGTAAATTGAGAACAGTAACCAAAAAGAACTTACATTTTGGTAATCTTCATAACATGATGGATGATAAATCTGAAGCAAAAAGAAAAAAAGTAAGTAGATATTCACATGTATATTCATTTCTAATGGCTATTCTAATGAGATTTTCTTTTCTAATTTAAACCAGAAGATAACTATGTTTGGAAAATCAACTGTTTACTAGTGGATTAAAAAATTTTCATTCTGATTTCTCTTTAAAGTTGGCTTTCTGCATTTAAGTAGATAACATGCTACTTTCAAGGCAGTAACAGCTTTAATGAAATAGAAATTTAGAATACGAAGTGTGGTTAGACAGAAAGACTAGATTCAGAAGACCCAGTCCTAGGTTTATCATTAACTAGTTTTGCAACTTCTTATATAAATGAGTTTAAAACCAGGTGACTGCTAAGATCCCTTCCAACTCAAATATTGACTAAATTTAATACCTCCAAAATATCTTTTTTTATTAAAAACAAAAACGATTCTCTTTCAAAGTAGTGAGCTACCTTTACAAAAAACAAATTTTAAAGCTTCCTATAAAGAGCTGAAAATTACCTTTCCATCCACTCTAATGGCATTCTTTAAATGCCACTCCTCCTCCTCTTCATCCCAGTATTGTTCAAATTGTTCTTGACAGATTTCACAACTCTAAAATGGAGTAATATAAAATGAAATGTACTAACAGAACACATTAAGTAAAAATATATAAACATTAAGTGGAAGAAGGATTTGAGTTTTCTTAAAGTTTAAACAACGTTTGACATATAATACAGATACAAATTAATAAATTTCACTGCTATTGATCACTAATAGATATTATGTAAAGAACTACAGTGGTTATAAAACCCCAAGTCAAATCACAGAGTACAGCTGAAGAGTAAAGCTTACACAAAACCTTAGTATCACTAAAAGAGGGATATAAATAAATGTTTATTTTAAGTGAGCGAAATGACCAGAGATAGAAAATTTAACATTCTTTTCTTACCTCTACTGCTCCAGCTGGCCCTGCAGGCACACTTTGGAACTCCTTTTCTTTAGCAGCTTCCTGAGTTTTGAGCACAACTTCTTCATGCACCTTTTCAAAAAATTGGCTCTTTGCACGTTCTTCCAAATCAGCTATTTCCTCAAATTCTATCCAATCCTTAAAAGGGGTTGATTTAAAAGAAGAGTATTTTCATTTGTTCCTAAACTTTTACTGCATATCTTCATTATAATAAAAGTATGGGTACCTTCTTCTTCTACAATATTATTTAAAATTATGTGTTCTCTTTCAACATTTGTTTTAAAAGAGTCAAAATAAATAAGTAAATAAAATTACATCCTCTCTTTGAGCCCGATAATTACTAGACAACATAAAGGCACTAATTACTCTTAAACCTTAATATTAATTTTCCACTGCCTCTAGACTTACAACTACTAAATTTAAACAAGATAAATTTTATGTACAATTAAAAAAAAAAATCAGTCATAGCAACGTGGAATTCTAGGCCTAGAAGAAATCTGTGTTCCACTCTAATTTCAACGAAAGACAATATACACTATTCAAATTTCTTTTATTTAAAAAACCTTTTATATTCTAGCGATCAAATATTATTCAAAACATTCACAAGTTAGATCCCAGCAATTATTTATATCAAGCATGTCAAACTCGCAGCCCACGTAGCCCAAAACAAGTATTTTTGCGGTCCAGCCAATATAACAGTATGTAAGAAATGTTATAATAAAAATTTTGTAACTTAATTTTTATAACATTTTGTTATACATAATTATTAATAATGAACTACAACATTCACTAATGACTGATTATTATAATTGTATTCCATTCATTTCCCTTACGTGCCGGCGCACCCTTTCTCTCCACTAATACTAGCAGGGAATATTTTAGCAGCCAGTTGCCATGTCATTATCTTGGACAGACTTGTTTGGTGTGTGCAACAGGAAATATTTTGCTTTCTGAGAACAAGAAAAATAGACTTCTTTGCATTATGCTTATTAATTTGTGCAATTCTTCAGTGTCTGCTAAGTTAATGTCCAAGAAAAAAATATTAATTTTTATTAAAATATTTTATTTTATGTTAACGATTACTCATTATTTCAGCCCTTTGTATTCAGCATGTCTCTATCGAAATAAAACTACATTTCTATGAAAATTAAAGCTTTTGTTTTTTTTGCGGCCAACATAAACTTAAACCTTGTTTATTTGGCCCATGTTAGCCTTTGAGTTTGACATACTCGATTTGAATTAATATACTTTTAGAATTATAGAATTTAAAGGCTGACAGTTTACTTACTGTTAAACTGTAGTACCAACGTCTATGAGTGACTTTCCTGCTAACATCTTTTTCAGTTCTATTTTGCCGATAATGCCAGTCCAAGTGATCTGCATATACATCTGTCTGTGATGTTGTAAACCTCATTCCACAAGAGTAACACTGAATACCAGTGTACAGTCGATTTATAACACTATCATAACGCCTTTTTAAAAAACAAAGAATCTTTAGTTTTTAATGGAATTTAAAAAAAGACAATTACAAATATTTCCATTTTCTATTATTTTAATAATTCTATTATTTTAATAATGCTGATGCCATTATTATGTGACAAAAAAATATTACTGACACTCTTCCCTTAACTTGGGTGAATATGTAACATAAAATCCATCGTATTATTGACAGACCTGGCCTAATTGCTTATTTATTTTTGGCTAAAAATGTGCTAACTAATAAAGCAATAATTGGCCTGTTCTTAGACTAGTGTCAGTATCAAGAAGGACACAGCAAGCAGACATGGCAGAATAATTAAGAGTTCACCTCTCCAAATTTTTTAAATTCTCAGTAATTCAACTGCCCCACCCTGGTCTAAAAGAATACTGGACGAGATACAGAAACACTAATTGTATGGGTTACTAAAAAGAAAAATTTATAAGACTAATGGGAAACTAAGATCAGCAATAATATTTTTTAAAAATTCTAGGTTCCCTATTTTAATTGAAATTGTATACAGAGCAAGAAAATCCACAAACAGGGCAGTTAGGAATGCCAAACAATTTTTTAGATAGCAGAATAAAACAAAGGACAGTATACTAGTAACTTTGTATACCAGCAAATAAAATAAATAGTGTCATAATATTAATAGTGAATGATTTCATAAAAAATGGTTATATAACAAAAAAATTAGTAGAACAGTAAGAGAACTAGCTAAATCTTCACTTTCAGAAAGTCAAAAGGCTTCTAAAATAAATGAAGCAATGTGATCAATCACCCCTGAAACCTATAATTTTACTAACCAATGTCACTCCAATAAATTCAATACAATTTCAATTAATTTTTAAGAAAAGAAACAATAAAACAGAAAAATTAGGGTGGTGCAAAAGTAGGTTTAGAATTGTTTGAATGGAAATTAATACAATAATTCATTAAAAATAATACAAGTTTGTGTACTCACACAACTGTAAACCTGTATTTTTGCCCCACTATTCATGCATGTATCTTGTAAGAAAGTAAGAGAAATGCTAGGAACCACAGAATTTAAATGTTCTTTTATAACTAATATATAGGCAATAGAAAATTATAAAAAGATTTTCACCAAAAGTTAAAAGGGGTTATCAGTAAAGTGGGAAGTGTAGGTCATTTTATTTTCTTGACTTGTATTTTCTAATTTCTCACAATGAATATTACTTATAAAGGAAAAATAGATTTTTAAAAATTTTCTGAAATACTAGAGTACAAAAATTTAATTCTCTTAGCCCCAAAAGCATAAGAATATCAATGAAGAAAAAATAATAAGAATAAAGATAAAATAGAAGATGAGTCATTATTAAATATCTAATATTTACACCACCTGTATTTGTTACACCAAACACAGATATGACAAAATAGATTTTGGGGGGAAGCCCTGGGCCTAAATATTTGTGCAAACAAATTTTAAAAGGGGATTTAAAATAGGCTTCCTTAAATTTATGTTGTGTATTTTACAACATTAAAAAAAAAAAAGAAAGAAAGAAAGAAAGAAAACAGGCTTTCTAGATTTTAAAAGAAGCATATGAGGGGTAAAATTAATATCATTAATAATAATGTCCACTGTTAGTAAAGTCATTGCCCTTTTTATCTTAGAAAATTAGAATACATACTGTTTTAATTCTTCAATTGTAAAATTGGTAAGATCTGGAACATCTTGATCTTCATTTTGATCTTCCTCCTCTTCAGTGGGAGGCTGAGCAGCAACTTCATTTGTTTCTTCAATTAAAAAGAAATATACCAATTTCTCAATACCATTCTTCCACGTGTTTTTTATATAGGAATACTACAGTGTTATAAGCAATAGAGAACCCCATATTGTCTATTCAGCACTTCTAAACTTATATTTATTTGCTGGTGAAAATATTTATCACTTATTTTGACAAGTGATATTAGGTTTGACCTAAAATCAATTAAAAGTCAATCTTTACAAAATTTTCCTTCAGCAATATTCAAATTATTTGTAAAAAACTACATTAACACTGAATAGTAAAAAGTCTGCACATTATCTATAGAAATGTTAATAAATTGAAATAATGTTCACTAAATTTAAAAATAATTTTATGATGCCAAAACCGGTTTGGCTCAATGGATAGAGCGTCGGCTTGGGGACTGAAGGGACCTGGGTTCGATTCCGGTCAAGGTCATGTACCTTGGTTGCTGGCATATCCCCAGTAGGGGGTGTGCAGGAGGCAGCTGATCGATGACTCTCTCTCATCGATGTTTCTAGGTCTCTCTCTCTCCCCCCCTTTCTCTCTGTACAAAATCAATAAAATATATTTTAAATAAAATTAAAAAATAATACTTTTATTATAAACCAATTCTATTAGATTTCAAAAAAAATCAGAGTATATAATAAAAATTTAGTCATTGTAAGTAAGAACTTTTATAACTTACATTATGTATCATACACCTGTATAACTTAATGGAGCTCTGTAGAGATGAAGCATGACATACTTACGTGTTGTAGATGAATCAGGCTGAGACAATTTCAGAATTCCTGTTTTTAGCAGTTTTGAAAATAATTCATTTACATCCACCTGACTGAGGTGATTATCAGGATATGCCTTAGGAAGGGCTCCTTTGAAAAAAAAAACAGTCTCAAAATAAAAGAAAAACTTAAGATATAAATTATATTAAACATGAAAAGTTTTTTTGATTTCTTAAAGATGTCCTATCAACAATATATTTTATAAACTCTTGTTAAGGATGACTATAAATTAATTACATCAAAAGCTCCTAAAATGAACTTTACATTTAGGTAAGTAAATCATCACCTCTTAAAAATATACTCTAGACAAATACTAAAAAACACAGATACTTTATACTCATACTCCATTCTAGGCAATGCAGCCCATCACTTCTAACCACTTCTACTTCCAACTATCTAAAATCTCTTATTCATCATCTTATAACTATACTGAGGGGTAGGGGGGAATACCCAAAGCCCAAGTGGAAGTACTTCTTACCCTCCATCCCCATGACTACCTAGGGGAACAGATGCAGGAAGATGAACCATGTGGCTCCAAGTATACCTGGCACTCTGACCTTTACTGAATTATTGCACTTGCAAAGCAGTTCAAGCTATTGCTAAATAGGTGTGAGGATTATCAAAACTTCAATAATTAAGCTCACTAGTGAGGAATCAATTCAGTTACATATTTTGTTAAGCAGTAATCTATGATTCTTTCACTCAACTACAAAAGTATTATTTCTATGTATTTGTATGTCACTGCATCTCACTACACATCTAGAAAATGTTATGGACCACTAAAAATTCCTTCTTGAGAAGAAATTCAATTTGCATCCACAATACACATATCCCTGCTCTTAACCACTGCATATTCTTCCACTTAGCACAATCCCTTGGACAATAGACTTAAATGTCTGGATACATGAATGAATAAATAAATCAACCCTGAGATCAATTACAATAGCATTTCACACATTACTTTAACTTTTACCTTTCATTAGAATTATTTGTCTTAGTCCTAACTAGCTACTATTTATAGGTCTTCAGATGGTCAAGATTAGTGATCAAAAACATGAACTATGAAAAAAAAAAACGTGAACTATGGAACCAGATTGATGGGATTCTAACTAGAAATCCCACATTTTAGTTTTGTGACATGATCAAGTTGCTTATCTGTACCTCAGTTTCCTTTACTTATAAAAAGGTAATAATAATTGTTCCTCGATTGTTATGAGGAGTAAATGAATTCATAATTTTAATGCACTAAGATGTTCAGAACTATATATAGTATCTGTTTGATTTGTTTTTAAATTTGGAGTTTTGCACACTAACCTCAATCCAACAAATCCTCTACCCAATAAGAAAAACTAAATTCTAAAGTAGGATGTATATAATTTAAGTTACAAAATACTTTTGCATTTATGATCTCATTATTTTATAAAAAATTTTTCAGGCAAATACTGACTTTTATCATATTCTGTCTAGAGAGGAAGAAAATGAAGCCCAGAGAGAATTTTTGTTAATATCCTGCCTATCTAGAAATAAAAGTGAAAATATTAAAGTTTTCTGACTTTAGATTCCAAATTCTTTCCTTATCTTTCATTACAATGACACCAAAAAACATTAACCTAATCAAACTAGAAATTAAAAACAAAAAGCTTTCAAATTAATTGAGTGAATTCCTTATGACGACACTGTTTAAGAACTAATGCATAAGCTAGAACTTGGCTAGGACTTCCCTAATTACTTCAGAAGATTTGGATAACTCCCTAACCTGGTAAACTGAATAGTACCATGTTAAAGCATGTTTCTGAAGATTCAGAAATAAAACAGCCTGGCTGGTGTTGCTCAGTAGTTGAGCATCAACCTATGAACCAGAAGGTAACAGTCGTAGGCTCAATCCCCAGTAGGGGGCGTGCAGGTGGCAGCCAATCAATGATTCTCTCTCATTGATTTTTTCTGATTTTTCTCTCTCCTTTCCTATCTGAAATCAATAAACATATATTTTAAAAAACAATTTTCATTTTTAAAGCCCTTATACCCAATATATTATTATACCCATAACGATATTGTTATGCTTCAACCCAGACTAACAAAGATGCTTATCAGTGTACTTGACTAAAGAAACAGTTTTTTTCTACTCTTTTAACATGTTGGGTATAATTAAATTTGAGTGTCCATAATCAACTTTATAAGGCAATATAATACCCCTAGTATTTACTTAAAGTTTATTGAATCATCACACATATACATAAAATATCAAATAATGAGATTTCTAAGGTTTGTCATTTATCACTTTAACATAAGTATCACATTCCTCCCCAACCTTCCAGCTTCCAATAGTTTTCATTCCTCCCTTTTTAAATGAGCTACTAGTCCTCGATAATCATCTCTAGCTGTAATAGGATTAATTTGAACACATCAACAATGTAAACAAACTCAGTAGCTATTCAACAAGACAATAATTATTTGCCTTTTGAAAAACACAAAGGTCAGCAAGTACATACCTGAAGGATTTTGAACAAATGCTCCAGGATTTTGTGGATGAACGGGTAAAAATTGTTGTCCCTGGCCAAATGGTACTGGCTGAGCAACACCAGTCAGAACCTTTAAGAGAAACACTGGTTTTAAGAACATCTGTTCCATATTTTAAGCAAAATTTTAACATACTTATCACATAAAAATATTTACATAATCATAAAGCTTGGTTTCTATACTAATAAATATTTATGAGTATAACCTGACTGGGTCACTTCATTTCTAGGCTTTCTACAATAAAAGGAACAATAATACCTTCCCAAATCTGTTTCATAGAATTATAAAGAACTGAGAATGGATGTGAAGCTTCTTTGAAAAGTTGAAAATACCATGTAGACATCAGGTAATCAACAAGTAGCTGTGTGACCTTATATAAGTTACTTTACTGCTCGTGCTTTCTCTTATTTTAAAAATATAAGAACTGACATCCAGAGATGTGATCTATACATAGTCATTAAGGATAGAGTTAGAAGCAAAAATGAGACCAGAACGCCTGACCTGATCACAAGTGTCAAAAGCCAGTTTTAATTAGCAATTGAACTTTTTTGTGATCATCTTGCTTGGCCTTAATACCTTGGGTTACAAAGTAGACTGCAAAAGACATCAAGGAAATGTTAAAAAAATGAAAAGTCATGAAACTTTTGTGCAGGCATACAAATACTGTAATTGTAGTTCAAAATGAGGTAGGCCTTCTACATGTTCCCGCCATGTAAATAATTATACATTCATAAGCCTTGTTCAGTATCCATGTGAACTTTCAGTGGTATGTATATGTAATAAAACCCAATTCAGTTTAATGGTCCAAGCAAGACTCAGTCAAATCCCACTCCTAAATATCTGGCAATAACAGTATCATTTCTTTTAAGAACATACAATAGAGTAAATCTGTACAGAACAATTGTTCTTTCAAATTATTGGATAGCAGCCAAAACCGGTTTGGCTCAGTGGATAGAGCATTGGCCTGCGGACTAAAAGATCCCAGGTTCGATTCCAGTCAAGGGCACGTGCCTTGGTTGCGGACACCTACCCAGTGGAAAGTGTGCAGGAGGCAGCTGATGGATGTTTCTCTCTCATCGATGTTTCTAACTCTCTATCCCTCTCCCTTCCTCTCTGTAAAAAAATCAATAAAATTTATTAAAAAAATTATTGGATAGCAACAGGAGATTGTTTTCTATCAATAACTAGAGGCCTGGTGCATGAAATTCTTTCATGGTTATGTGTGTGTCCCTCAGCCTACCCTGCACCCACACCAATATAGGATCCCTTGAGGGATGTCTGACTGCCAATTTAAGCCCGATTCCATATATTTTAAAAATAATGCTTTTAATGTGATTTTAAAAATCTTTTGGTTTTGCCTTTTCTTTCATGCAATGTTACTAGTATAACATGATTTTGTCCTAGTGTCAGCAAGTGCAAAAGAATACCAACAAGTGATACAATGAATACATTTGGGTGGGTGTTACAAGTTTGCTGTGTTGATATTAGTATCAAATATTTTCTATTTGACTAGAACGTATAGGAAGATGCTGCAAAGTAGGAGGAGAGGAAGAAAAATATTCATAGTCTGTAAAAGCATTGACAATTTGATTTTCTTACTCAACTCAGACTAAGAAAGTTCTTAAAGAGTAACCTAAAAAACAAGATCTAGCCCAGCCGGTGTGGCTCAATGGTTGATTGTCTACCTAAGAACCAAGAGGTGACAGTTCAATTCCCGATCAGGGCATGTGCCCAGGTTGCAGGCTCAATCCTGATCCCCATTGTGGGATGTGCAAGAGGCAGTCAATCAATGATTCTCTCTCATCATTGATGTTTCTCCCTCTCTTGCCCTCTTCCTTCCTCTCTGAAATCAATAAAAAATAAAACATAAGATCTCTGGTTAAAGCTTATCAAGGCTCACAGATCTACAATGTAGCAGAGATCTATTAAACACCCTCACAATTATATAATACTTTACTAGTTTTGTAACCTAAAGCAAACAAACAAACAAAAACATTGTGGGGAAGCTATCCAGGTGTGAAGGCAAGAAGTATAAGGGAAATATCTATACTTCACAGCATGATTTTGCTGTGAACCTACAAGTACTCTAAAAAGTCCACTTGTGGCCCTAGCAGGGTTGGCTCAGTGGACAGAGCACCAACCTGCAAACTGAAAGGTCCCAGGTTCGATTCCGGTCAAGGGCACATGCCCGGGTTGTGGGTTTACCAGTGGGGATTTCCAGGAGGCAGCCAATCAATGATTCTCTCTCATCATGGATGTTTCTAACTCTCTCTCCCCCCTTCCCGCTTCCTTCCTCTCTGAAATCAATACAAATATATTTTTAAAAAAATAAAAAGTGTGAACGTGTGCACGCGTTGAGAGTGTGTGTGTGTGTGTGTGTGTGTGTGTGTGTGTGTGTGTGAAAGAGAGAGAGATTTCTCTAGATACTGGAATAGCTAAAGTCAATTTTTTATTGAAATTGCAAATTTTAGACCTAAGAGACTCTTCCCAACTCCCTAGCATGTGGGGTTTTTGAAGTACATTAAAAACTTTCCAATCTATGAACTTGTCTCCTGAAGACCTTCCCCAAACCCTAAAAACATTAAAAATGGTTCATAGCTCCACACAACATAATTTTAGAATACAACACAACAGACTTACCTGTTGAGATGCCTGAATGTTTCCTACTGTTATTGGAGTGGGTAAATTGCCAAAGTTTCCAAATTGAGAACTTTGAAGATTCTTTTCATCAAAATAGTGTCCAGAAGCTCTGCTAAGAGGATTTGAGAAACTCTGGTTTCCAGGGCCATGTGGTCCATTAAAATTTGGTCCTTGAGGTGAATCAAATATTTGTTCATGTCTTTGGAATTGCAGTCCTTGGGATGGGGCATTAAAAGCATTGCCAGGCGGTTCATTATATGGGCCAGTCTGATTGAAAGAAACGGATTCAAGCCTTTGTGAAGGATGATTGTCAAATCGTGCACCTTGAAGACCAAGGGGAATATCAAACCTTGATGCTTGCTGGTGTTGTGGACCATCAAATCTTTGAGGAACACCATCAAATCTTGGTTGAACCTGCTGTCCAGGTGGTCCATCAAACCTCTGTGGGCCTGGTTGACCAGTTCTTTCAAATCTAGGACCTGGTTGACCATGTAATCCATCAAATCTTGGTAAGAGTGATGGCTGACCTGGCTGCCCATCAAACCTTAAAGCATGACAACCTTCAAATCTTGGACCGCCTTGACCCAGAGGCCCTTCAATTCTCAGTCCACCTCCTGGTACAGGACCCTCAAACCTCATTCCACCTCCTTGTTGGACTAAAGGCCCCTCAAACCTAATCCCAACCCCTGGTTGACCATGTGGACCCTCAAATCTAAGGTTCCCACCGAGTTGATTATGTTGTCCTTCAAACCTCAGACCAGCTACTGACTGACCGTGGGGGCCCTCAAACCTCATTCCAACTCCCTGCTGTAGCAAAGGGCCCTCAAATCTGATCCCACCTGTTGGCTGACCATGAGGTCCATCAAACCTAATTGCAGCTCCTGATGGACCATGACCTCCCTCAAATCTAAGTCCACTTACAGGCTGACCTCGGGGATTATCAAATCTAAGTCCACCCACAGGCTGACCATGAGGTCCCTCAAACCTCAGACCTCCCACAGGTTGACCCCGATGTCCCTCAAACCTGAGCCCACCCACAGGCTGGCCACCTGGTCCTTCAAATCGTAGACCACCTGCAGATCCCTCAAACCTCAGACCAGGGGAACCTTCAAATCGAAAACCACCTCCGCCTGCTTGACCAATTGGCCCCTCAAACCTCAGAGGTGTCCCTACTGGTCCTGGAGGACCTTCAAATCTCAAAGGACACCCGCCTCCTAGCTGACCTTGTGGTCCTTCAAATCTCAAAGGGCCACCTCCCCCCATTTGTCCAGGTGACCCATCAAATCGAAGAGAACCTGGTGCAGGAGGTCCATCAATTCTAGGGCTTAATTTATTAGGTCCTTCAAAAATCATCTTGGTTGGGCCATCTCTTGTTACTGATGGCCTACTAGGTCCATCAAATAATGGTCTGTCTTCAGCTAATGCTGTTAGTCGCTGATTTGTATCGAGGCCGGCAAATCGTGATGCTGGGCTATCTACAAATGGTTTATCTGAATCTTCATATCTAGGTCGCTTAAGTGGAAAACGATCATTGAATGGTGACCTCTGCTCTTCTCGTACACCTTTTAAAAAGAAAATAAATTATTTTCCTTGAATCTGAATTTATATAAAATTATCTTCAAATCTTTCTACATTCGTGTACATGTTTATCCAAAAATATCCATAACTATCTCACTTCATTACAGGGGAGGGAAAAGACACCACTGAAACAGCCTTTGGTAAAATGATGCCCTCTAGAGTCAGACACACCTGGATTTAAAAAATCCCCATTCTGTCAACTTACCATTTTTTTTTAAGTAAGTTATTTAACTTGTCTGGTCTTATTTCCTATCTGTGAAATGGGGATAATATATATTTCACTGGGTTGTTGTGAGGGTTAAATCAGATTACATATATAAAGAACCTAGTAAAATACCTGATATATAATAGATTTTATAAATATTGACTCTCTTCCCTTCCCTCTGAGGGAAAAACAAATTGAAACAAAAAAAGGTAGTCTGAACAGTCACAAAAAATCCATCCCCACTTAGCTGTTCATTTTCCCTTCACTGCTGTGATTCAATAGGCATAATCTGATTTAACTTTCTACCTTTAGCAGAGACTTGCTCGTCATGTCTTCTCCGGCCCTCATGGGGTGAAAGATTCTCAGCATAAGAACGACTCCCAGATATAGGAGAAAGACGTCTTGCTCTTTCACTAAATTGTTCTTTTCTGTCAAACTGTGCTCCACTATTCCTACTTGCATGTTTACTTTTGGATGGCTCACATTCTATTCCAGACAACAAGGCATCAGTCAAAGGGTAGTCAAAAATATCAGGATCTAAGAGATCAAGTCTTGGAAATGAATGCTGAACCTGTGTCCTTTTCAGTTTTGCTTTATGTTCATAGTAGGTTAATTCAGCATCAGATAAGAGAGGTTTCTTTTTTAATCCACCTTTATTTTCTTCTGAAGGACTATCGCGTACATTGCATCTATGTTTACCTTCTTGATACTGAAATAGCTGTCGAATTTGATGCACAACAACAAGGAACTCATCCTGTGTAATTTCACCAGATGCTAAACGTTCACTCGTCTGCATGGGATGATAAAAAGAAGTCAAGTATTTAAACATAAGAAGTACTTATAAAAATACTTAGACAAAAACAGTATTATATTACATGGGATCATGGGTAACTACCTTTTGAAGTAATTCTCTTTTGCTTGCAAGAGTTAACTCTTTAGGAATCTGAAGATTGGCATCTACACTTAATCGATGCTGTTGCTTTGGGGTTCGAGGTGACAAGATTCCTTTAGCGCTTGACCAGCTTTCCCTATGCCTTAGATGAGGAGATTTACTATGGTCATCACTTTGTTGTAAGCTGAAACCATAAAAGCAGTATGTTACTTCATAAACTTTAAATATTCAGGACCATATTTAAGAATCCTTTTCAAAGCCTCCGGTTAAAATTATTATATGTAATCATAAAAGTTCATTAAAAGCACAAGATCGCCGAAGCTGGTTTGGTTCAGTGGTAGAGCAGACCGACGGTCAAGGGCATGTACATTGGTTGCGGGCACATACCCGGTAGGGGGTGTGCAAGAGGCAGCTGGTCGATGTTTCTCTCATAGATGTTTCTCTCTCCCTTCCTCTCTGTAAAAAATCAATAAAATATATTTAAAAAAAATAAAATAAAAGCACAAGATCTTAAGTCAGGAAAATCAGATAAATTCTAATTCTTGTCCTGTATGCAGCCTTAGAAAGATTAACCTAAACTTCATTTTCCTAATCTGTAAAATAGGAGTAATGACATTTAACCCATGATGTCATAAGAATTAAGTGAAAAAATAAAGCAACAATTACAGCACCCCATGAACATTATCCAACTTTTAAGTTAACACTGTACTTTAAAATGCACATATTATTTCACTTGATTTAAAATGTGAAGATCCTACCTTTTATTTTCTTCCCAACCAGATTTCCATCTTTTGTTAGACTTGGAACTTGACCAATTTTCTATGTTCTCCTTTGGTTCCGTGCCTGACTTTGTAGAATGCTGACTTGTAGTTTCTTGCGGTCGCTCCTCTTCAGTCTTTTTTATTCGCCTTGGATCTCGAACATCCTGTTTAGTACTTCTCTTAGCATTTCTTTCTTCCCTGGAAGGTGGCATAAAGTCTTCCATATGTGACTGCTTACATCCAGATTGGCGAATCTTTCCAGCTTTGGCTGTCGAGGTTGGAGACATACTCCTTTGCCTTCGTTTGGGTGACCGCCTATCTCTTCTTTTAGGAGAATGTATAATTGGTGACCGAGACTTGGGTGATCTCGATCTTGATCGCTTTCTAGTACTTGATCTCCCTGGTTTTGTTCCCTGTTTTTCTGAGTCTTCCGTTATTACATCTTGTTTTTGAACAATGCCATTAACGATTTTATTTCGACTTCCAGCCAGTCTATGTTCAGATGATTTCATATGCTCTTCTTTATCTTTTTTTTCTGAAGTTTTTCTCTTCTCTTTTAAGTCATCATCTTTGCTATCAGTCTTATCTGGAAGATGTTTTTTTAATCTTGGATCTCTCTTACTCAAGTCAGACATCCTTGGGCATTCAGAATCTTGATTTTTCAAGTCTTTTGTGTGAGAGAATTTGTTTTTCAAAGGTGATGGTGATTTAGATTTAGATTTAGATTTAGAATCTAACTGGTCAAGTTCTTTCTTGGTTATTTTTTCACCTGATTTACTTTTTTCTTGTTTGGATGAGTTTAGTTTTTCAGAAGGTATAGTTTTACTTGTCTTAATATCAGATTGGTTTAATGTGTTCATTAGGAATTCTTTTCTGTGACTTTGATCTTTTCCATGAGAAGAATGCTGGCTCAACCTATTAAGACGGGGATCCCGGTTTGTTCCTTTCAAGTCCTGAATTTGTAAGGATGGACCTGGACGGCTTTTTTCAGGTTGCAAAGGAATCTGATGGGGAGTTTTAACTCCCATAGGAGGAATTTGTGAAACATGTAATTTGGATGGTGCAGATCCAGAACCTAAGTTGGATGTCTCCTGCTGAACACTAAGAGAAACTGCCTGAAATACAATACAAAGTAAAGGTTTATGTTAATACTATAAAACATATAAATTATCAAGAAATTGAAACTTAGAATATGCTTTATTCAATAAATACATTTACTCAATACTGTTTTATTCAATAAATACATTTACTCCATACGGTTTTTACATTGGATAATTTTAAGTGGAGATTAAAGTGAAAAGAGAAAGTTCATATACCTATGTGGCCTGTTATTTCTTACTAGTCCTTTACTTGGAGTTTTATAATTTAATCTCTAGGTAGAATGGAAAAAGTGGCACTAATAATAAACATACAAAACTCTGCCTTCCTGAACCTCCTCACTCTCAAACAAACTTAAGAGCCAAGTAAAATAACTTTAAAGTCATTCATGCATATGAGCACGTAATCTTCCTAGAGTTGTTAATTTTGTGGTGGCTTTTCTTTTATTTCCTTCTATGAACCTGACGTCTGCTCATGAAGCACAAGCTCATAAAAGATTCAAGACTCTGCAAAAACATTAACCACAACACACCGACTATACTGGGACTGATACTAAATCTACATGATTTAATTAACAAAACTAAGGTGTTATCTTCAAAGATAGGTATCCAATAGAAAAGTACTTGAGAAGAAAATAGTGTAGTTTATACTTGAGTTTCACAATATGGATATAAAAATGTGCTCTAACAAATACACCATAATTTGTGAAATAAAAGTGGGAAAAGATACTATTAATAAAAATAACATGTTAAAAGAATTCAAACATAAAATAATTTACTTCTCTATCAGAAGACATTATTGAAATATTTAAAATGTATATTTCCTGTACTTACCAGTTGTGCTTTAGCTTGCTCTAGTTCAAGCTCCAGCTTTTTCTGCTGAAGTTCTAATAATTGTTTTTGTTTTGCAAGTAACTGCTGCCTTATTAGTTGTTCTTGAGTAAGATTCTTTTGTATATCAGGAACAATTGGAGGAGTGGAGATGCTAGGGGAACTGACCACTGTGCCAGGTGTTGAAGGCTCTTCAGGCTATAAGAGAAAATTATTTGTTAAAAAACTACGTATCACAGCTAAAAAGGAAGCTAAGAGGGAACTGAAAATTATGAGTTTATCTCTTAATAAATACCATCCATAATTTTAAATGGCTAATCATGTTTAAAAACACAAAGAAAACTATTCAGGAATTTAAAATCAAAATAAGTACATTATGTAATACCTAAACAATATATGATTAAATGTACTATGAACCTGAAGAGAAAAAAAAAAATTTAACTGTTTCAAGCACAGGTTATTTTTGATATTTCTTTCTGGCAACCAATTTTAGAAAAGTCAAAATTTGACAGTTAAAAATATTAGCCACACACCATTCTTGTAAAACTTACCGATTTATTTAAAAATTTAGGATTCACATGGATGCTAGATGTATTCACATTGGGGGGTAGAGGTTTAATAGGCCAAGCAGGATCTAACGAATTGACTCTGACATCCAGGGCATAAAGTTTCTTCAATGGGAATATCTCATCCCATGTGGAACGTAATTTAAATAAACTTTTTCTAGTATTTTCATCCACCTAGAACAACAGAACAATTCTATGGCTTGTTAAGTCACTATAGAATGTTTTAAATATTAAGTATAAAGCTATTATCAGTCTCTTCTTCACATATAGCACTCATACTGCTCATTCATATATATACAACAGCAAGAATTTATTCAAGATATAATTTACAAATGTTAAAGAAATTCTCAAAAAAATTAAAGTTATAAACTAGCCTTCATTAAAGCAAACCACTAGGCAAGTCTTTCTCCTTTTAAAAATATAATTCTACAGGAAGTTTGACTTTGAGATTACTAAGACAAAGAAATACTATATGCAGATAGAGCCCACAGATGCTCATATGCTTCAGAAAAACCTCAAAAGTCCCTTATGGCCAGAATGCAGATGTGAAAAAAAAAAACAAACTTATAAATGGGCTTTCTTGCACTTACTTGCTTGTAGCCACATAAAAAAGGCTTATTGAAAAAAAAAAAAAAGTGCAAAATGTTTCCAAGTTTTAGGTCTTGAAATAGCATTTCTAATGTTATTCTTACTCTGGACAAAACATATAACCATAAAATTAGGAAGCAGTTTACCTGATGGCTTAAATTTCTTAAATTATTTACATGGTAATATAAAGTTAAAATTCAGGAAAAAAAAAAAAAAAAAAAGAACTATCTCACTAACCAATCTTCTGCAATACAATATGGTTTGATACCTCAGAATAAACTATTTGTGGTGTGGAAGGCACCTTAATAAAATTCAAAATCTTACCTACTGATGAGCTTTAAGTTTTATAGCTTAACTGCTCATGCTTATGATGGGCATAACTTTTTTAAATTAGCCATCAGAGAAACCTTGTATTTAGGAAAACTGAATTAGCTATTTAACTTTAGGATAATAAAGTCTTGGCTATCTATATTCAAATCTTCAGATAATAATATTTACTACAAGGTCATTTTCATCAACTGTAAGATCTTAAGGCCCAGTTAGATTCAGTAAAGGTATTCTATCAAACACCCAAATGAATTTGAACATATTAAAACTAAAGCCTAGTTGGTTTAGCTCCCTAACTTCTACAATGCCAAGTTAACTTCTCCTTAAGGCCACGGCTCAGGTAAGCAGTATTTAGCAAAGGTCTACAATTACTATTAACAAGCTCTTAACACAATCTGAAATATGGCTTTCCAAATTTCTTCTGCATGTACTTACTTAGCAGTATTTCTTTTCTCTAGAAATTTAAAGGGAAAAAATTGCTCAAGTAGCAACTACATTTTCTTTCTAACAAAATCTGATACTGAATAGTTCTTTCAAAATAATCCCAATTCTCCTAGTAAGACAACTTTTAAGTTTTCTCCAAACACAAGTACTTCTAAATATAAGAACTTCCAACTTTTTGTTAGGAAACAATCTCTAAAATTATCTTATAAATGCCCTTTTACTAAATTTGAAAGATAAAAGCCTGACAGGAAGATAATTACTTCAGAAATCTCTTTGTCTCCTCAACATAGTAACTTATTTACCAAACTACCAGATACAATGCTATTGAAAGAATGTACTATCTTTAGGTCTAGAACAAACCAACCTTTCTTCTGAACACTAAGAGGTTAAAAAGAATTTCCAATATAACCTAAGGCAATTAATGGGTCCCTATTCACACATACCTCGAACATTCATATAAAACATACTTGAATAACAAAAGGAAACAAAACAAAATCACAAGTTTCAGTAATCAATAGTATGTTGAGACACACTTGTAGACTACTTTTTTTTTCCAGATAGGAATAGTCAACAACCTAACACCAGAAATGTAAACAATGAAATTTGAAATGCTCTTGATAGCTTCATATTTTTTTGCCAATCTAAAATCAAAGTCATCTAGAGGAGAAAATAGGGTACACATCTGTAATTCCCTCAGCAAAAATAAATTTAAATATAAAAATAAAAGCAAAGTCATCTAATCTTGAATGGGTATTGTAAAACTCCTAGAATTTGAGTTAAAAATCTAACATAAAACACTACCTTTAGCATGGTACTTGATAAATGTCCAAGAGAATAAACATTTCACCACCCAAGAAAACCCAACACAAAAGCAAGTATTTATTTAATCAGGAACACTTTTTTTTTTTTAAATTCAAATGTTTCTAAATGCATATATACCTTTTCAAACACACAAATAAATGTTGCAACTAGATTTTTAGTAAAGGCAGTGAGATACTCTCGTCCAACGTTTTTCACGATAGAATCCATAAGGTACATTACAGGAAGCTTCTCTGAGGAAGGAGCCTGAATAAAAAGAAACTGATAAGTTTAGTATAATGAATTGCCACCAAATACTTCTAAAAGTGAATTTTTAAACATACAATACAGACCTCTATTTTTGTTGATAATTTAAAATTAACGTTTATGAAACATTTGTAGTCAATCAAGTAGTCATTTCTTACAGTGATCTTTAGCTGAGCATACAAAACAAGCTCAAAATCACCATTAAGAAAACCTTAATCTTTAGTATACTCATTTAATGCTCAATAAAATTTCAGGTTCATATGATAAAGACCTGGTTTAAGTGACCAAAAAGTAGGGGAGAGATATTTTCTGCAATCCAAGTATAATGTGACCTACATTAAATTATAATGGTGTACCTAGACTCAATGAAGTTTTCAAGCTTCTTGCAGAAACACTAATTTCCATAAGTATATTTTATGTTAAAGTCTATGAAGCTTTTGTTACCTGTAAAATCATTAGGATTATTTCTCTATAATCCAACGAACAAAGAAATCAAGTATACTTCATAGATGAAGTTAATGGCAAAAAAAAAAAAAAAAAAAAACACCAAAAAAACTTTTAAACTTGCAGGAAGGTGCAAGTTACTGATACAAGAAAAACTGGATGGAGCGGCCGCTGAGTCATGTAAATCAGGTTGAACTTGACTCTGGAAACCAGGATTTGTCCTGAAGATTTTCTTCACAGCATGGACTCTCCGTCGAAATTATTTTTCCTCTGACATGCACAAACCAGAGGTTCTAAGTTTGTGCAGAGCCAGTGTGGTGATGCAGATACAGGTGGCCCTTTCCAAAGCAAACTAATGTTGCCCCAGTTCAACTGGAATGTCTACCCATCACTGGCTTTCAGAAGGCACAGCAAGTTTCCAGAAAGCATCAGCAGGTTCACAGACTTGCCGAGGAGCATTAAGACACACCATATAAACTAAGTGTTAAATCCGACTCCACAGGAGCAACCATGATTTAAAAAAAAAATTATCCCCATTTACCCATCCCACGTGTAGAGGAATCTTAACCCTGAACAACACTTACCCATAGCTACCTGTAGCTAGGGTAGGCTCACAGTTCTGCAGTACACAATTCCACCATATTTCACAAAACCAATTGCCCATATAAGTGTGTAGAAGTGCTCTTGCTTCTGATAACCTTTACTACAACCAAAGTTGACTAAGGAAACCTTTGAATAACCTTGTATGAAAAATTTCTTTTCCGGTAATTCTAATAAAAGGGTTCAAAAGGCCACTCACTGCATGTGGGTAAATTAAGAATCAACATGTCAAATGCTTTATTGCTGTGTCTTTATCTTACCATGTCATGTTTTATACCATTTTAGTCATTGTGATCGTTAAGAAAACAACAGGCTCTCTATAAAACCAAAATCTGTTCAGTAGGCTAATTTTTTATTGTACAAGTGAATCCTATATGTAATATTTTTTCGCTACTGTCTCATTGGAGGAGTCAAATTTAGTGTGAATCCTTAAGTTTAGCAATGCTGAGATGCTAGAAAATAAGGACACAAACATCCACCTCCAGAAACACAAAACCAAGCCAGTTTGCTACCAAATGACAGAAAATCCCTCCCCTCACCCTCAACCCCATCCCCTGATTAAGGTTATTTCCCCAAAGTGACTTTTACATCTTTTCCTAAATCTGGCTTTACAAAAATAATCAGGAAATGTGTGCCAAAAAAAATTTTAGCTGGCTTTTATCAGCAAATAGTCCATCTATTTTCACCACTCTGTGTAGCCATACACAAATACAAGTTTTAATGGGACCCTATATTCAGCATTTACTTTTTATTTCTCGAAGATCTTCAGGATTCATAAAACCCAGCAAAGAAACTTGAGTGACAACTTGAGATACTACATATTAGGCTCTGAGGAATATTAGTAATCCCCCCAAATATTAGGTATTTAGACTTTTAAAAAATGTTATTTTTAAAAAATTCAAGTGGTTTCATTTTTAAAAAAAGGCATTCAATGTCAAGTTAAGCCTTCAACAAGGCAAAAATTAAGTTTTCATGTCCAACGTGTTTGTGGTATCAACAAAAAGGACGTTGAGTATGAGGAATACTTCCTTTTTAAATCTCATACTTAAAAAAAAAAGAACAATAGCTGTTTGACACCAACATTCACAGGAAAAGGAGAATGAAGGCTTCTATTTTAAGCTGCCAGCCTGAGCATGACAAACTTGTTGGGCCCTTAAAAAACAAACAAACAAAAACCTTATTACTTTTTATCCTTTTTAAATTAAGGTATGAAAGGACCACCTGAAACCGTGTATCTTGTGAATGGATTTACCCAAGAGTGGATGGAACCTAAAGAATGAACCCAAGTCACTTAAAGACTTTTGTTTAAAACACACAACCACGTAGATAAAAATAAGTCTTGGAAGCAGATTCTACACCTTACAAAGGTAAATAAAAAAGACAAATACATATTTTATATGTTTTATTCACAAATTTTATAATACCAATCACACATTTCAAAACCATTTATTAGTCAGACCACTCAGTTTTACACTAGACAGAAACCGCCTCTAAACAATATATTTGGTGGTTGTTGTTAAAGTGGCCTTTTAAAAGGGGTTCACTCTGCTAAGAGGAAGCTCATCCTGATCATTTCAATGACTAACAACTAGAAAAAGAAAAAAAAAACTAAACCATAAGTACAAGCTTGAAGAACTTAAAACGTATTGCTGGGAGACTATTAGAACTCATTATGATAACCAAGTTGAACAGTAACTTTACTTAAGTGACATCACTCCCACATGAATGCACAGAAGAGGAGGACTACAGGGAAATATAGGGTGGCAGAGGACCACTTCTGTCAAGGGGTGAAGAAAAAAGCACGTCTCCCCTATCAAGGAAGGGAGGGGGGGAAAAAAGAGAAAAGGAAGAGGAGGGACTTAACTTAAAAAAAAAAAAAAACTACAAGTACTTGTTACCCAATGGGCCAGTTCTCCACCTACAGGTTGGATCAAACCTCCTCCCCCCCCCCCCCCAAACCCATACCCCACCCTAACCCCGATTTCCCACTTGGGGGGACAAATAAAGCACTCCAAGAGGAGAATGGAAGTTCTATCTAGCCGCCCCCACCCCAAAACGGGGCTGACGGGTGTGAGCAGCTGCCTGGCTGGCTGGCAGGGAATGGATTCTTCTCTCTTCCCTTTTGCATCATGTGCTTTGCAGGCGCCATGTTGGGCTCCTAACAAGCGGCTGCTCCACTCAGGGCCAATGCCCTATGCCCACCCCCCCGACAGCTCGCTCCCAGGTCCCCCTTCACCTCCTTCCAACCCACACAGCACAGGTTACCCAAAAGGGTTCTGGGGGGCTAGGGAGGGAGGGGGGGAAGAAGCGGGGGGGGGGGGGGAACCACTCCCCACCTTCCCAGGGGCTCAAAATGCTTTTCACTCTTAACTTCCCCGCACCCACAAACTGCCGTCAAGTCTCCCCCCTCCCCAAAGGGCTCTGGTCAAAGCGTGTGTCGGGCTCTGCGATGCGGTGGCCTAGATAGGGAGCTGGCAAGCGGAAGTGGGGCTCCACCCTTCGCCCGCCCCGCTCCCTCCCCGCCGGAGAGGCCCACGCTCGAAGCCTGGGCCCGAGACCGAGCCAGAGTCGGAGGGGGGAGGAGAGGGGGGTTGGAGAGGAACGCTGTCCCCCTTTTGGATGGAAGCGAGACCTGGGATGAGGCTGACACTAAAATCAGGGAGTATTAGAAGAATAGGAGGCTGCGGGGTGTATAAAAACCTTGGCGGTTTGGGCCTCGATGAGAGAGACGATCTCCTTGGCGAAGGGCAGGTTCTCCTCGGCTAGAATGGTCAGCATATTGATGTGCGGTTTGCTATTGAAGGTCAGGTCTTCGAGGGATGACTGATAATCCCGACAGGCGTCCTCCCGGGCCCCCGCGGTACCGGCCTCGGCCGGCGTCGGCTCTGACATTGCGCCGCGGCCCCCCTCCGAGGTCCGCCGCCGCCGAAGCTGAAGCCGCTCTCGACACCCCGCCTCCCTTTCCGACTGCGCTTCCTCTCCCCGGCTCTCTCGCGGCTCCGGCCTCACCACATGCTGACCGCGGAGGGGGGTGGGGGGACGACACGGGGGGGACCTCGGGTACGCAACGCCGCCCTCTCACGCGTGATCTCTCCGTCCGCTTCCAGCCGCCTCAGGAGCCCCTTTCTCCACAGGCACAAAATGGCGCCGGCGCTGGCGGCTCCAGCTCCGAAAATGTCTGTGTTCCCAACCGCTGCGTCGTGCGAAATGAGCTAGGGGAGGGGAAATGTGCGGTAAAGGGGCGGGGCCGTTGGGCAAGGGCGAGCGTGATAGGCTGGACGTCGTGGCGTCACAAGCCCCGCCTCCGCTCTTCCGCAGAACGTCCGGGGCACCGTCCGCCCGCCGCCCCGGACCGGGGCTTTCGCAATGCCTCCGGCTCAGAGGTGCCTTGGAAAAGACGGGCCCTCTCATTGGCCAGTTCGTAAGGGACTGTCCGGTCATGTGTTACCATAACAACCCATTCTGGGCGGCCCGGAGGCCTGGAGAGGCTGTTCCCGAGGCCCAACCCAACCGTTTAAGGGGAAAGCGCAGCCGGCCCCCCCTTGGCCCCGCCCTCTGCGAGCCCCCAGCCACTGATCAGCTTTGTCAATCATTCTCCTCCCGCCCTTCCCGGCGGCTGGGCGGGGGGCCAGGGGGCGGAGATTTCCTGCTCTCCGCGCCACTCCCCTCCCCTTCCCCTTCGCCGCTCCCGTCTCAGGTGCTCCCCAGAGCCTGGGCGGGGCCAGCGGCTGCGCCCCGCTGTCTGCCCGCACGGAGCGGAGGGGGTGCGGGGGGGTGACTCCGACTTTACCCTTAACCTCGGGAGAGTCGCTCGAGTCGATTTCAGCACGCTGCTTCCCACACCCGCCAACAAAAACACCAGACTGGCTTCCTGGAGTTGAGTCCCCAGGAAAATGACTTTATTGAGAGGGTGTGTGTGTGACAGAGACAGAGACAGAGCAGAGACAGAGCAGAGACAGACAGACAGGATTTGGAAGAGATCTTTGGGAAGCCCCCTCGGATCTCTCGTTCGGATTCCCATCAGCCACACCAGCCACGAGCCTGACAGCGCCTCTCTGGTCATCGCACGCTTGAAAACAGCCTTAGAACACGCTGTTTGGGGCCTGTCGGGAAAATGTGTATATTTCAACTCTGAGGCTCTTTCCCCAAGCTTCTAAAATCCTGTCTGAAGGCTGGGCATGATACTCTAAAAGCACAAAGCGTTCATCTAATTCAGTCATGCAACCGCAGCACAATACAATCAACTAAAAATGGGTTTTGTTTTGTCTTCCCACTGCGTAAAGATAAAAATAAACATGTAGGCTAAAAATAAAAAGTACTAATTAGATAAACTTTGCTGCCTTAGGTTACCAAGCTCTGTAGAGATATTTTGTTGTTCGCCAGAAAAAACCGCTCTGAAGAAATAAATGAAGCAATTCCTTTATTTGTCCCCTGTAAAATAGAATTTTTATTTCTTTTTTGTTTTGTTTGAGGTTTTTTTTTTTAGAAGCTTTATTGAAATATATTGATATATATATAATAAACTACAAGTAAAGATTGTTTTGAAGCTGAGAAACTGTTGAAAACTTTATTGATCTCAGTAATTTCATACCATTGTTATTGTGGTATTTGGATTTAATAGACCGTTCAAATTTAGGAATGGTCTGAATTCCTGTTTTCTGAAGGAAGATAAATGTATGGGCTAAGACAGTCCTCTAACAGTTTTCCTTGTAATTTCAAAGGTGGATTTAATTACTATTTAGATTTTGAGGTATAGAACATATCTGCCTGTCATTTTTAATATTCTTTTTAACAACCAAGTGTGCTTCAAAAAAAAAAAAAGTTTTCAAAGCTCTATTTTCACTTCTATTTGTAACACTCCCAGGCTAAGCATAGAGAAACTATATATGCCTAGTATCATAAAAATCCATGCAACAAATCCATGCACCCACCAACGACACAGAAAACTCAAGAGTGAAGTAGCAATCTTATTCAAATTATGTGCAATACTATAATAAGACTATTTTTCTTCTTTAAATATATTTTTATTGATTTCAGAGAGGAAGAGAGAGATGGAAACATCGGTGATGAGAGGGAATTATTGACTGGCTGTGTCTTGCACATCAGATGGAGCCTGCAGCCCAGGCCTGTGCCCTTGACCGGAATAGAGCCCTGGACACTTCATTCCGCAGGAACGACACTCTATCCACTGAGCCAAACCGGCTAGGGCAAGACTATTTTTCTTTATATCCTCGGGACAGATAACAAACTAGGTAATGATATTTTTAAGTATACAAATAAATGCCTGAAACGTCTCCCAGGATAGGTTTGGTGCCAGTTCTTTCATCAGAGTATGTACCTCATGGCCTCTGCACCAACATTAAGCCCCAGCTATCTTCCCATCTCTGTGTTACTTGCAGTGGTGAACCTGATAGGCCCTCGGCCCAGCCTTCATGAAATTTAAAGCCCTATTATAATTATAATCTCATAGAGTAGTATGAAAAAGTACTATATCTGACTAGGAAACAGTGGAATGTATTCCAGAACTGTTTTAAAAAATGAAACCCATTGACTATTGTGTTTCTGAAGGATATGAAACTTAACCTTTTTTTTTTTTTTTAAATAAGGAAATAGTATTCTCCCTTGGTTCACAGGGTGCAAAAGAAGTTAATTTCTCCTAAAAATGTTTTTAGATAAAAAAAGCTCTATTCTAGGCAATCAATTACCCTTCTGATGTAAATTTTTTGTGTCATTAGAAAAACTAAATGTGTATACTAAATAGAAATTACAAAAGGAAATAAGGAAACAAAAATTAGAAAGCCATCTCTTTAATGCTTCAGTTGTTTGGAACATCTTCCCAAATACCAAAAATTTTCTGGTTCAATCCCTGTCAAGACAAGTACTTTGATGTTTCTCTCTCTCTCTTTGTTTCTCTCTCTCTCTCTCTCTAAAAATCAATTTTAAAAAATCCTTAGGTGAGGATTAAAAAAAAGTTTTTAAAGTAATCCCTTTGATAAGTTATATAATTGTCTAATCACTGGGTTGTACACCTAAAACAAATATAATATTGTGCATCAACTGTAATTGAAAAATAAAAAATTATTTAAAAATATATACAGCAGACCCCAATGATAAAGTATAAATAAATAAAACCTCAGCTATTGTTTTTTTAAAAAAGCAATCCCTTTGAAAACATAAAATAGATTATTAACTAGCACTGACAGCAGGTGGAATTTCACCTTAAACATGTGAATCCAGTGTGTGTTAATAATATTCAAGAATAATTTTTACACTATATATAGATAGATAGATAGATAGATAGATATAGATATATATAGTCAAGACATTTCACCTTTTCACTTACCAGAAGCACTTTTCAGCTTCTCTTTGGCATAGCTGATTACCAGCATCATTATTCCTGCCCTTTGGGTCTATTGTTAAGTAAAATATGGGTTCTGTGAACACCAGCGCTGTGATACCAGGAGAGTCAATCTGATAACTGAGATGCCTACTAAGTGAATAACATGCATAGAGTATGGATACTGTGGACAAAGAGATGATTCACATCCTGGGAAGGATGGAGTGGGATGGAACAAGATTGTGTCACGCTATTGAGAATGGCATCAGTTTAAAACTTCTAAATTGTTTATTTCTGAAATTTTCCATTTAATGTTTTCAGACAATAGTTGGCTGTAAGAGACTTTGGAAAGTTAAACCACAGATAAGGGGGAACTACTGGTAGAGACTTGAGAAATACTTAATTTTATCGGTAACATATTAACATTCCAGCTCTTAAGGAAATCGTTTTCTCAGAGGTTTTGTTTCATTTTTTATATGCTGATAAATATTTTACATTTTGCCAGAAGCATGTGAATTTGCTTCGTTTTGGATTCATGACCCTCTGTACACTATCACCATCCATATATATAAAAGCTTAAATGACCATTTCAATCATTATGACCAAATCCAGAAATGACCGGAATTATAGATTGACCAGTCACTATGATGTGCACTGACCACCAGGGAGCAGACACTCAATGTAGTGGTCAGTGTGCTCCCACAGCCAACCTCCCTCAGTCCCTCCCCACATCCAGCAGATCCCAGCTGGCCCGACCCCCGATCAGGACCTTGATCACTTGCCAGGCCTAGGGACCCCACCTGTATACAAATTTCATGCACCCAGCCTGAAGTGTAAAATATTTCAGAGAGACTGGCTTGTGTGGCTCAGTGATTGAGCATCCACCTATGAACCAAGAGGTTAAAGTTCGATTCCTGGACAGGGCACATGCCCCTGGTTGTGGGCTCCAACACCAGTAGGGGGCGTGCAGGAGGCAGCGGGTCCATGATTCTCTCCCATCCTGGATGTTTCTATCTCTCTTTCTCTTTCCCTTTCTTTCTGAAATAAAAAAAATAAAAAATAAAAAAAATAAAAAAATTAACATTTCCAAAAGAGTTCTATTAACAAACAAATAATTACCTACTGTATATTTATTTTAAAAATTGCTTTGATGTTTACAGATTAATCCAGAAAAATCAGCTGCCCTATGATCTCTGATGAGTCAGGGTTTTCATGGTTCTATTTATTTAGCTCATTTTAAATCAAAGAAATATTCTGATTATAAGACATTTTACATGATCTTATTTTTACCAACTTCGAAATGTGTTTACTCTCCCTGCTATAAATCAAAGGCTTCAATAACCAAAGCCTTCTCTAAGAGCACCTGCCTCTGAACCAGAATTGTAACACTATACTTCATATAATCTACTTTACCCCTTTATAATATGTGCAAAGAACTCTCATTGTTTTATTTATTTAAATAAATTGAATATTACATAATTTTTAGTAATTCACTTTTTTAAAGTATTACTTATGATTTTAGAGAATTTAGATTTTTAAAGAATCTAGCACATAA